AGATAATGATGGCATGAATTTGTAAGCGTATAAAAGGGATTCAGATGAATATTGCTATTCTTATATAATTATCTTATAATTAGTGTGAAGCATTTGGGTCGGCTTTAGACAATTTTCACTCTTACAAACTTTCAAGAATTGTTGTTTCCTATGCAAAATGTTATTTTCAGGATTAAAGATATTTTCAATGGAAACGCGAGCTTTCTTAGACATAATTATTTTCTTCCTTTCTGGCTATAGGCAATTGCAGGTAATAGGCCCTCAAGATAAAAAGGTAAATTTTAATCAGCAGTTCCATCACAAAATCTTACAAAAATGGGACACTGCAGCAAACTTTCGTAATACATAGTTCTGGAAATTTTGGCGAATATAAGTTACAAGATTCATCAACTGTACTGACTTTTTACTTGTACGACTACTCATACAATAACCTTTTGTAAAGGATGTCAACGCAATAAGCAGTACCAATGTGGGTGGTGTAAGAGGAAACATGAGTTGTATATACATATGCTTCTATGTGCATTCCTGCACAACAATAAATTATACTACACATTCAATAAATATGCAAAGTAATTGAGTTATAATATTATGATAAATTAAATGGAAGTTTGTCAGAACGTCGTCGATACGATAAAAAAAGAGAATTTATTTTGGTCCGGATATAAAGATACATGATATATCATGTTTTATTGGTATATCAAGATAAATGGACGACTTAACAAGTTACATTTTTCTTATTACAAAAGATAATTGCAATAAACCCCAATTATCAAGAAACATTAGAATGAATAGATTAATGGTAGTCTCTATTTTTGCCAGCAATCTGCACCATCCCTAATCTGCAATTTTTCAAATGATTGACAGCTCGGAGTAATTTTTCTCGAGTTTCAATCCCTCAATAGAATTAATACTTACTGAATAATTTCCGGTCTTTCCTGCCTCGCCACTTAATAACAAAGTAAATACACCTTATTGTATATATTGAAATTTGATCAAACCATTTTCGTAGAATGACGACAACCCTACTAACCATATTTTGATTTTGTTCAACCAATTGGTGATCTCGTTTCTCGTGTTTTACGAAATATAGCGATTGGTCACTCATTCTGGTTGTTCGTGCGTCAGTGTTGTGGTTTAAGGATAAAATCTTAATTTAATATATGTGTCTATCTATACTCATGAGGAGTTTTGCAAGCAATATGCATGCAATGCTTTCTTATGAATAAATACACTATGGTATTCTGTTAATATGGTAAATTGGGATCGCGTACTGGCACTGACTGGCAGGATACAGAAATAATGTATGAGTGTTAAATCTTTTGAATTTAACAGTTACAGAACAACATAACAGTTCAGTTGGCTTACTTAGACAATCTTATCGCAAGTTTATACGATGACTTTATGACGGGTGCGTGGTCATTTGCAGTGTTTTCGTACTTATGTCGAGTTTTTTCATCAAAACTTAGTTTCATTTTGATTATGCGTGATATCGTGGATTTTGTGAAGTGTAGTACCGCAAGTACTATAGTACGGTTGACCCAATTATTTCGATTCAAACGGTCCAAAAGCGTCATAAGAGCTCACTTGTGTTAGAACTGTAAGTCAACTCAAGTTTATTTTTCCAACAATTCCAAATTCTATTTCCAAAAAAATCAAATTTACACAAATTACAAGAAAGAAATTAATTACACAATTTTACTGGGATAGGAAAACCGTTGGGAACTAAATCTGGTTATCGAGCAGCGATACCCAAGGTTAGCTTATGGCAGGGGTGGACAACCTTTTTTGGCTCGCGTGCCAAAATCGGCTAAATTTAAGGACAAAATTCTTCCGCGTGCCGACCAAAAGTAATAACAATGCTTTGCTACTTTTAAAGCAAAAATACACAATAATAAACATTTTAAACATGTACAGACTGATTCACTATTCGGGAAAATATTAGTCCGACACATAAACTTGATTACTTTTCTAATTCTATATCAGTGAGACTTCTGCTGCTGCATTACAGCTGATAGAGATTTTACATTGGGGATATATTTTGTAACTTTCAAAGAAATACACGAACTACTAGTTTCATCTTTCAGGCTACTTCTGTTACGAGACTTAATAAAGTTCATAACTGAGAACAGAAATTCACAATTATATGTAGATAAAACATGGAGAGAAGTGTATTTGCAAAGTTTTTAAGACACGAAAAAAATTCGGAAATGGCATACCAATCACGCAATTGTTCGTTTTCTGCACTTCTCTCTTGTATTCCCTTCCCTAATCGCTTATATATTTTTTTCGAAATCAATTTATAACAGTGAGTTAGCAAGTAGCTATAACCAACAAGAGCTGTACAACTTCATAAATCAAGCAAAAATTACGAAAAATGGTGGCACAGACAATCTTTATTACGTTAGAATTAGCCAAATGAATACTGCGCTATTCTCGTGCTTAATCATTTGTTACGCCATAATACATATTTTTTGTAGCCATATGTTAACAAACGATAATGAATAAACGAACACCTAGTTTCATCAGATAATTCAGAGTCTTGAAACTTTTAATCTGAAGGAGAATGATCTCGTTTCCGAGGCCTCGCTCGCGTGCCGAATAAATGGGCTCGCGTGACAAGTTTGGCACGCGTGCCAGGGGTTGCCCACCCCTGGCTTATGGTATCTCATGGTTTTAGCGATTTGTCCAACTAACATCTCTATCTAGACTCTAGAGATAGACAATTATTGGAAATTATTTAAAAAAAAAACATCTGACCACCAAATTCCGTATTCCCCATTTCAAATGGATTTATTAAAGTAAAATTGCTTTCGTTGTGATAATCATTTGGTAGATTGTGAAGGTGACATACCCGTGGTTATAATGGTAGAAAATATATAATGGAAAAATTCTAGTGCAAAAAATCAAATATTATTGAGTTGATATTGTAGGCTTCATAATAATGAATAGTGATATTTGATCACAGCCGGTACCTTGAGTGACCTAGGATAAAAATTCAAGTTTGTAAACAATAGTCCAGCAATGTCAAAAAAGAGTTCATACAACATCATGGCAATCCCATGAGAGTTTCAATGAAGTTATAAAGAAGTTCAACTTTACGCCAAATCAACAAATTCGAGCTTGAACTTCGATTCATCAAAGATGTGATAGACTTTAGCAACGGATTTCAAAGACATTCTAATCCGAGCTACCCATAGATCCACAAGGATATATTTATTGGATGATATGGAAAGACGAGTGCTTGCGAAGCAGTGAATCGGTGTCGGTTCGGATACATTCCCGATAGTTATTGATGGTTCATTAGTCAGCAAGATTTGTACATTCGTAACTTTGCTTGTCCTAGACATCAAATCCTGTGTAAATGATTTGATTAATATTAATTGTGCTACTAATGATGATTGTTGTGTGTTTGACAATGCCAATTTGTTTTTCACTAAAGTTAATAATATTGACTACATTTTAAATAAATTTATGTTATGTACCTTCTTCAAATGCCAGACTAAAATATTAAATATTTTTAATAAGCAAAGAGGGAATCGATTTTTTTCTTTGAATATTTTAATATTTATTGAGACAAGCGTGTTAATGATAATATAAGAAATAAACTAAACATAAGGAATTACCTGAAAAAAATTCAATTCGTAACACCAAAGTGGGTCAAAATATTGAATTGACTTCAATGCGAACAGAAACTTTTGACTGAATTCAATTATATTTTACATCACTTCTCAAACATGCGACACTTGACCTATTTTTTAACCAATAATTGTGCATCTCGTACTCCAAAGATGTAAGTCTTGTTTACGTGGTTCCAAAACATCCTACCGATATTATTGTTTTTACGACAAAGTGAGTATCAAAAAGAGTAAATGAATAAATTATTTCTGTAATAATGAAGTTCGTTAAAAAACGTTTTGGCATTATTATCAACGAATTCAAAAACAGGATAATAACGAAAAATAATTCAACCAACCTTATCGATCTTGATCGGTAAGTATGTTGATAGGTATTTGTCTGTATGTCTGTGTGTTAGATGCACGCGATATCTCACGAAAGCGAGGTTCAATCTGCTCCAAATTTTAAATGTGCATTCATCTTAGCTCGGATCAGAAGCCCGTTGATTTTGGAAACATTATGTCGTATAATTAGCGAGTTAATAATTGATTAGTGATGGGACACACGGTGTCACTATGGAGTAAGACCACTGTTTTGGGGGATCCCCTGACCTTCGATCGATAAGTCTTCGGTTTCCAACCGAATTCTAGTTGTGTGTTTTATCCGATTTCATTGTTAGGTGTGTTCAGGGAATACCAACAACTGTTCGAAATTGGCGTGATACAATTTTATTTTGTAAACTTTGGCACTTATCTTCATTTGATTTTTCACCTCTGATATAGAGTATAAATTTATACGCAATTGATGAAGTGCGAATTTATAGCATTTTCCTCTTCCTTTGTTCTGATAAATTAAACTTCTGCGCGGAGAACAGGAGAAAAACACGTGATGTGTGATCAAATAGTTTTAATTTGCGTTAGAACTATTTAATGAGTACGAAATTGCACAATACTTTTAAAACAGTTGACTTCGGAACGAACAGGAAACAAGTGGTAAGAATCGCACAGAACTGAAGTGACATAATTTGGTTCATTTGGTGATTTTTATATTTGTTCCACGCAAAACTGGCAACTTTTTGTTCCCAAATTTTCCATAATAAAATATAAATTTAAGTTTTATTTCCTATTAGGTTATTTTCCTATTTGAAATATTTCTTGTATCTTAACACTGATCCACAGAAACTTGGGACATAATACAGTACACATGTCTTTTATTTTCGGAGATTGAGATTTTAGTAAAAATAGAGAATACGTTAGAATCTGCTGACAAATAGAATTGTTATCATTCAAGTATCAAGATTCAAATATATTTTTGTGAAAGTATGATATATTAACTTATTATTTTTCACTCAAAAACAAGCGCACGAATAAATGTGTTGAACTTACTCGGAATCTCGCAAACATATCCCTGAGTTCTTGACCCGTCATTATTAATCCACTTCATATTATCCCTCGTTGTCCCATAAGAACTCATAAACAAATATCCATTTCCTTGGCTCACCGAAGACCACGCCCACTTGCTATTGGTAATGGGCGTATCGTCAACCCATAGCCAATCGGTATTTGGTTTGTAAGCTCCGATCCAAAATTCAATTGTGCCTCCTTCACCATATTGATCTATTATTTGACTTTCAACAAAATCTTGTATTGCGTCTGTTTTCATCATTGCGACTGATCCTCCAAGACTATTGCAAGTTGTATTTGCGTCACCAAATGTTTTCTTTTTGTAATAGTTGACGTGATATTTGCAATTTTTATAAAGGTTATACGTTGGTTCTGCAAAATAAAATTTGAAACCCAAACTGCCTTTCGTAGATTTTTCAAAACAACTATTTCATATCAATGTTTCACTGATTGCATCAGGATTGTAAATACTAAAAATTGAGTCGAAATAACTATTAAAACTACCAAAATGCAAAATATTTTTTGTATTTAATCTCGAATATGCATCATTTATCACTTCAACGCAATATGAATGTATATAATAAGGGTATTATATATTATTTACCTTCACACGTCGTTCCATTGTATTCTGGTCGACAAGTGCAAATGTAATATGGCTCTGCAGTCGTATATTGACAGTTGGCCCCATTTTTACAAGGTGATGAATCGCAGGCATCTTAAATTAAGTTTGTACAAATATTTATTGTCATTCAAACTGTCTCAATTGGGATTGATTGTGATTCTAAGATTACAGCGAAATATTTTGTTAGTAATCTATAAACAAGTTGCATCCTAAAGACAGTGCAAGTTCTTAATAAAATATGATTTTCTATTGGATTGTAAAAAAGAAAAAAAACACAAAAATTGAACAGTTTGTATTTATCATATAATGGAAATTAATACAACCATACCTTCTTATGTTTATAGCAGTTGAATATGCAGATACACAATACACGTGTAAAAGAAAAACTCTAACTTCACATATCATGAACACAATAAATGATTTGTAAAGCAAATAAAGTTTACTTATATACCTACCATTAACTACCAACATCAAAGTAACTATTCTTGAGTAAGACGAATTGTTGCTCTGAGGACCAGCTTCAAACTTGTACGAAATAGTGGCCGACGAAACTTCTATGGGACCAATGTTGATTGTCAATGTTGTTGAAGGATTGCTGCTATTGATATCGCTGGTCGTAACGAATTTGATTTTCACGTTATTCTGATTTCTAACATTCACATCAACGTTTTCATTATATGATGCAATGTGGAGTTGAACATCGATGCTTTCTCCTCTCTTCACATCCCTTTTTGTAGGTGTTGTAGAGATTGTTATAAAATCTGTAAAATATATTAGACAAATATTTAATTAATGATATAATCGTTATTGACATATATATAATTATCTTGCACCGTTGAAGTTATATTACTTATACATAAAATTATTCTTTTCTTTCTTTATAAATCAGTCGTAATGTGAATATTTTATTTCAATATTCAAACATGGCTATGCTTGATATGATTATATTAATTAGATATTAGTTAGTTAGATAAAATGATATTAGTTAGAAATTGTATGAGGCTCAAATGAGCTTGAATTTAATCATAGAGATGAGGTGACCAAAGAAAATGCAGTATTTGATCATGAAATAACCTCAACTAGATCATCTGTTAGATTCATGCCTTGCTATTGACGTGAGATTATGGTCGGTTTGGGGCTTTCCTGCGGGTTAGAATCAACAGGCTTTGGACAGAAAGAAAGTGAGCAATGAGTTAATTGATAACTTAAATTTGAAGATCTGAAATTTTATTTGCTTGCTTAATGAGAATATATTTCAATTTCTGATCCAAAAGTGAGAACATTACGAGATTGATAAATTCAACATATTATGTTATGATATATTTTACACTTCTGAAAGGTTTCAATTTAGATTCTATGGATAATATATGGTTTAGATTTCTGAAAAAGCTGAGACTCAACAAATCCTAATATGAAGGGTGAAAAAAAAATACAAGAAAGAATATCATGATATTCATAGCAGCAATGTCAATGTTGAATGAATGGGGATAACCATGGGATTGAGCGAATTAATTTCAACACAAAAAATTAGATTTAAATCTTACTTTCATATTATTATTACTACAGACTATTTGAATCTTTATATTTATAGGTCTAATAAGAGTGAAGTTATATGATATGATATTTAAAAGTTTCAATGTTTAGAACTGCAGTTTGGAAGAATCATAATATTAATTGATTTATTCAAACAAAACCTTGCCTTTTTCGCATTTTGTTCCAAAATACCCTGCATTGCATGTGCATGTATACCGTGGTTTCTTAATCGTGCAGCTTCCCTTGTTTAGGCACACATCGCTACCACAGCTACCAGATGACACATCTGAGAATATATATAGATATAATATTTGCTGAATATGTACAAACGTTAAACGAACAACTCATAATTCTTTGCAATACTAAATTTTTTACAATGTTCCTTTTTACATGTGGAGGTTTTTAAACAAATATCAGTGGTAAAATAAATTATGTAGTACTATCAATTAGCCTAAATACATTGCTATTATACTATACATTATACATTTTATTTTTCTGCTGCAAGATTGCAAGATATTGGAAGATTGGAAGTCGTAATCACACATATTGAATTTTATATTAGACTATACATTGCATGTTTCATGAAATATCTTCAGCTTGTCTATTGTTATATCGGAAAATATAACTATCAAATTATTGACAACAAGTGTAACGACACTAAATAACAATACGATATATATATGTTTATTAGAGGGTTTTTATTCCACTATTTTATTTAGGTAGATGTTAAGATCAAAATAAAATCTAATTTTTGTATCAGTAGTATATAATTGTAATAATTTATTAAATATATAGTTATCAATTTAAATATAGTTAACAAGTCCGTAGATTATAAAAATTGACATTAATTTAGGTGTTTGTGTACTCACTCTTCTGACAGATATAACCAGATTTTGTTGTACAAATCGTATCGACCCATTTATAATTGGCCTCGGCATATTTCATCAAACAGTTTTCGCTAGTTGTCCCATTTGGCTCGTTTCCCCAAAGTGGCCACCTCATCCTAGACTCGCAAAATGTAAAAGTATCAGATCTACGCGTTTATTCTACCCTACAAGAAGAGTCCAACAAAATTTGCTTGTAATGATTTGTATGAAAAGCTTAAGTAGTAATAACTTTCACTCTATTTTAAGGCCTAATTTATATGGCATCGTAGTTGAATGAACGGTATTAATTATGAAACTTTGGTATGCAATAGGTCGATTCCATGGCAATTTATTTTAAAAAATTGCAAATTCTGATTCATTTATTTTTTTGAAAATATGAAATGCTATAGAGTTTGTATTATATATACATATGTATTTATATTATTTGTAATATACAAGGTATACTTTGGACTGAACATGCACCTTCAGGGAAAAAATAAACCACTTAAAATTGACGATATCAATGTATTGTGTGGATCATTATAAAATATATATAGTAAACACGTGGCGCTCAAAATCGAGTGACGCGAAGAAGGCGTGGCATTTGCGCGCAATGCTCGTGATCAATAGTTGCGTTGTTTACACATATTGGGATATATTATTTGACGATGGCCATTTATGGCCTAGGTAAGAGTGTGAAGATAATTTCAGCTTATCGCTCGAAGGGTTTAAGACAAAGAAAGTGTACAATATAAGCAAATGCCAAGAAGTGAATCCTTGTTTTTTTCTTCGAATATTTGAATGATAAGTTAGCTTGATACATATATATTCAAAGTAATAAATAATCGAATCACCAATTTGAATCATTTTTACTAAAAGCTGTTCCATCTCCCCATTTCCAACTGCCTTCTGTCTCTGAATCACTTCCACTTGTCCAGTAATTAATGGTTCCACTGAAAATTAAACATCTACTCACACTCTACTCAGGTAGCAATCGTGGATTAGCGCGTAATTACTACATACACTGTATGCTAAAGTATAAAACAAGCCTCCCAAATATTTTTGGAATGAATTTTACGTTGTAATATTGAGTCCTAATTGGTAATTCAGATACAGTGAGTTGTAAAAAGTGTATTCATTGTTTGATAAAACATACATCGAACGAAATACCAAGTTGGCGGTTGTTGAATGACACTTTCCATGAACTTCGCTGCGTTTTTTACATTACTTCATGCGCAACATGAAAAATCATATTAAAGGATAAATAAACGCATGTGACAAGCACACAAACGTCGTGAAGAAATAAACCGCCGTTTGATTAGTATCCGGAATCAAGTGGGTCCAATAACTAATACAGTAATCACCTCTACAAATATACTTACTTTTGAGATAGCTTTGTCGTCAACAATGAATCTAATTCATTAGTTGTAATAGAAACCAAGCTTTTTCCAATTGCAGTGCAAGATGATTTAGCATCAGGAACTGATTTCATCGGATCGCTAATTATTGTTAAAGCTAAATTACTGTTATAGAGGATCCAAGTCAAATCTGAATATAATAATCAATTTTGGGGCTGAAAAACAATCCTTGTTACAGAATTTTATAATCAAGAAAATCAGATTGTATAAGAACATTGTGTGCTCTACTATGTATGCTTCCACTTTTCTTTATTGTCCAATAGGTTTTTATAAATCCATCCACTTATTTCTATCAGAATGTTTTTCAATGTTGCTGCAATGTTGTTGTTTTTTTCATAAAAAATGCCAAATATATTACCAAAATTACCATACATTTTTGTTTCGCAATAAAAATATTTTTTAAGTTAACTCAACAGCGTGGTGTCAACATCAGTTTGGGTAACATGACTAAGAAAGTTCCCTTCCGAAACCCAATATACGAATTTAGTGTAAGAATATCAAAGGGAACGTTCAACTCAATACATACATTTCTGATATATATATATTAGCAGTCAAATATTATTATGTTCTAATATTTCAATATTCATATTAGTTTACTTATTAAGTGCTTCACATTTGCGATTGTATTCTGCGTTAAATATTGTTTAAATAGGCATTTTTGAAAGAACTAGCGTAATATAAGAAAAGATTGATAAATTTAACTTACCTGATTGACATACATACCGCAACCCGACTCTGCAGTCAGTGTTATACCATTTTCCATCGGAGGTTCTGGATGCTCCACAGTAGTTATCATTAATTGCTGCGAACAGTTCGCGATAATTGGTGGCCCTGAAGGAGTAAAACATTTTTGCTCATAGAAGTTTCATCTTATCACTTGCACACAAGTTTTTATTGCTTGATTTATGCATTTTGGAACTTCAAAAATAAATATTTCAATGTATTTACTGTTCCTTGTCGTCAATTTCAAAAAAATTATCGAGAGAAACAGATATGGTTGGGTTATTTCAATATTTAGGAAAACAATTAACGAAAATTCTTTGGTAAAACCTCGCACAAAAGCTAACTAAAGTTATATTTAGATATAAATCCTAAGAATCGTTAAAGTTTTTTGGGATGTGAATACAATGAAACATAGCTTATTATCGAACAGAAAGATCATTTTCAGAAGAAAATATACATCACCTGTCAATTGTTTCAAAATAAAGATTCAACATTTTTATTTAGGAGTGTAGCTGTCGAAGAATAATTGCTTGACGGTGATAAATAGAATTACTTTCGATACCAATTAAATTTTCTCAAGTTTCATAGGAATAGAGATAATTTTTAACAGTTGAAAACCTGCTACGACATTAAAAAGTTGTTCAGACATACTGTAAAACCGACATTTTTGAAAATGCACTGAACAATATTTACATTTTTTAGCGTATATAATATATGTAAATAAAAACGAGTACGTATTATATTTGCGATTAAATTATTATAGATATACGTCATAGTAGTCTACATATCTTTATAGTTATAGTGCAGAAAAAGTCACAAAAGATAATTATTACAATAATAATTTAGATTAAGAATGTACACGCAGTTTGTATATCATTCATTATTTTATTAAATATCATTTTGTACAGATGGCGTTCAAATATTAAAATATTTGTTTAGAAAAATATCTGTGGAACGTGCAAACATATTGAATTGAGGGGAAACATATAATGGTATTACTAGCCATTTTGTATATTTCAATGAATCCATGTTGTTCCATTTCCATCCACTGTCATAATGCAAACCGATCCAAATATTTGTCTGAGAAAAAATTTATTTGCTAACAATTTATCTATTATTTAATTAATTATATAAAAAATCTTGTGAAAACAATCGGAGGTTTTATTTCACATATAACACAGAACTACATGATTGTAGATCGTTACAACACAAACTTCTAAAAAATATTTTTTTTTTGACTTCCTGAAATATGCGTCCCAAAATGGCGCAGAATCCTGAACTCAGGTTGTGTACCAGGTTGGGGTTCAGGTTATGCGATATCTTGGTGCGCGTACTTCAGGAGTACCCAATAATATATCTTTATAGAGTTTATATAAGATATTGTCTTAAGGAAAGAACCAATATCAGTCCTGTTTAAACGGTTGAGAAACAATAATGTCCAAGACTAATATATAAAACTTCAAACAAGCATTCGTGCCTACTAAAAAATAAAGTATTGCGCGTTTTGAATATACAAGCGACAAGCGGTCATTATATTTTATTGATGTTTCGGTATCAAAATTTCAAATAGTATTATTTGTATATAAACACTTATTGCAATATGCGTACGTTGTCAATTTTCTCACTGCAACCTGAGTTTCTTCATCTTTCATCTCAACAAGCCATGCATTTCTTCCTTCACATACAGCCTTGGCATCATCATAACTCTTTCCATCTTGAAATACTTCTAATCTGTAGTTTCGAAAATTTGATGTACCTGAACATGTAGCAACCATTGTATTTAAAATTTATCTTGAAGAAAAAAATCTTTTAAAATATTGCTTTTATTTGCTTAAATACCAATATCAGATTGAGCAAAGGACTTATCTATAACAACTGGGTGTTAACCAATAGTTTGAATAGCAAATATCAAAAAATGTTCTACCATATAGAAAAACGTATTAAATACAACTATTGCCATAAATGTTTGGAAGTTATTCAACTGCTTGTTTTACTTATTACGTTAAAATAAACAAATATTTATGTTTTGCCCGTTAACAAAATCCAAGCCCGTTTAGAAGATCTCTTACCATCGCAATAGACTTCATTTGAAACTGGATTTTTATCAGGTCTTATTTACTTCTCAACGTAGTAAGATTTAAACTTTGTACCAAGAAAAAGAGCTTGTGAGAGGGAACTAAGCTTTGAGATGAATGTAGAACACCAATACTCGTTACATGTAAAGTACCATATTGCAGTCCAACTTCTTTTTACCAGTAGTGGCAAAGTCAATCATAAGACAGACAAGATGAACTGGGTGACTATTTTAAATGAATAAAACGCATATTACTTACCGCTTGGATCTCGCCCCTGCACGACAATAATGAGAAACAAGAAGATGATAAAGTCAAATACATTCATATCAATTTTATTATTATTTAGTCATCCTCACATATTCAAATTCGTTATGCTGTCTTATAACAAGAAAGGTAGCTATAGTTAATACAAATCGAAAAAAAACGCGTATGGATTTTTGATTTTACGCAACTTTCATTGACACCCTTACCCTGAATAATTTTAATTTGATGTTACCACATGCATAAAATTTGGCAATTTCTTGGAAAGATTTTCTACCTCAATCTAGGTCGGGGATTTTCAAACTTTTGGTGTCATGGAGTTCGTAAAGAGATGACTATTATTTACGGAGCTCCATAATGAATTTATAGACATAAAACATTGTTATTTACGAAATTCCTATATCGCCGTATAAGGCCCCTTCTGTTCTCATCAGGCGATATATAGCAATGTACCATCAGTCAACAAATCAAGAACATTTCAACCAAGTTTCGTTCCTACGACTATTGTTCAAGCAGCGATAAACTCATGACTTGTTTTGTTCTGAATTTTAAGATTTATTCAATGATATTCTACAACAAAATCAATGTTTAAACAAAAGTTTGTATTTAAATGTAATGACATTCAACAATAGTCGTTCGAAAGGACGAAAGCGGATAAATACATTTTACGGGCTCAAATCAAGATTTCAATTTTTACTTTTGTAACACTTTTTTTTTTTTCTTTAAAAAGCACTTCGCAATATAGCATTTCGTTCTGAACAATGGAAAATCTGTCACTAAAATGTTGTGAAAAAACACTTCACACTATTCAATGAACATATATATATATGCTCTTTGCACTATTCTATTGCAATAAAATTGCACACACTTTACCAATTCGCTACAGCCATTTTTTGGCGTCATGGCGGGAACCTGCTTGTCAACAACTCGGTTGTGCTTCAGTTTTGTTTTGATTCTCAGATTGGTAAGTAATAAGTATAGTATTTTGTAATGTGTTCAAAGTTTTCTTCCAGTTTGAATGATGAACCAATTTATGGCATTTTTAAATTTCACCTCATATAGTATGTTTTCACATGTAAATGGTACATTTTTTCTTCTGCAAAGATTTCGAATGCTGGTTCGATATTGTTCATATTTTGGACAGTGTATTAAAAAATGTTCAGTGTCTTCAACTTCCCTGTTGCATTGGTCGCATATTTCATCTACATTTTTATTGAATTTCGAAAGATGTTTATTTAGCATACCATGTCCTGTTTGAAGTCTAAAAATATTTCTTGTTTGTATTCTTGATTCTTTTATTTTTTTCGAGTAATTTGGTAATATTCCCGGAAATATTCTTTTATAGTATAGTCCTGATATGTTTTGTTTATATTGTATATTCCATCTTTCTTGTATATAATGTTTTATTTGGTCTTTATTTTCAGGTTTTGACAAGTCATTTTCTTCAAGCTCTGTTATAGTTTTGAATGATACAAATTTATCTCTCACATATTCACGTTGCCAGGATTCTTCGAGTACTTTTGCTGAGGTAAGTTGAACCGAGTTTTGTAATTTTAATCGGTAATTCAAGCATAATTGTTTTCTTCTTAATGCCAGCTCCAATGCAAATGCGAAGGGCTTGATTTTGTATTGTTTCCAATTTTGTTAGCAATGTTTTTGATGCTGTGCTATAGATTTGGGTTCCATAATCAAACAACGAGCGAATTAAGGAGCGGTATAATAGTAGCATTGTGTGTAATTGTGATCCCCATTTGGAACCACTAACATATTTCAAAATATTTAATCTCTGCGCTGCTTTTGTTACGATATTTTCTATGTTCTTTCCATGTCATTTTCTTATCAAATATCATGCCCAAATATTTTACTTTGTCAAGTATTGGTATATTTACTCCTCCAATTTGTAACTTAATTTCTGGATTTCTTCTTTTGTTGCTAAATAACACAGCTGAACATTAACTAGGAGATATTTTCATACCCCATGTGATTCACCATTCTTCTATTTTTTTCAGATTTGATTGAACGCTACGTTCCAAAAATTCAATATTTCTTCCTGTTTTGTATATCCCAAAATCATCAGCAAACTGTCCACAATCTGTATCTCGTAAAGTTGATGGAAGATCATCTACAAAAATGAGATAGAAACACGGAGACAGAATTGAACCTTGACTAAGTCCTCGTATCGGATGGTAGGTATCAGATAACTTGTCTTCAACTCTAACACAGAATGATCGGTTTTCTAAAATATTGTCAAAAAAGTTGAACATTTTTCCATTTATTCCCATGTCTGCTATTTTTCCTATTAGTCCATGGTGGCATACAATGTCATAAGCTTTATTAAAGTCAAGAAATACAGCTAAAGTTGCTCGTCTTGTTTGAAGAGATTTTGTGATTGTATCTTGAAGGGTAATAAGTGTATCAAGTGTGGATCTTTGTTTGCGAAAAGCACTTTGAATATTGTTGAGTTTTTCATTCAATTCTAAATATATCATCAGTCTGTTGCCAACAATTTTTTCCATAATTTTACATAAGCAAGAGGTTAGAGAAATAGGCCTGTATGAGTCTGGGTCTGATTTCTGTTTACCTGTTTTATGGATTGGTATCATGATTGAGTGCTTCCATGCTACTTCCATGCTACTGGTATTTGTCCGGTATCCCAGATGTTGTTAAATAAGTTAGGGACTATTCCTTTGCATGGTCCTGGAAGTTTTTTGATCATCTTGTATGTAACCTGATCTTCCCCTGGGGTAGTATCATCTTTACAATCTTTCAATGCCCTCTCTAGATCATGTATTGTTATTCGTCTATTATATGATGACATAGTTGGGTTTGTGCTTTGTTGAATTTCCATTTTAACTTGGTTGTAATACTGTTGACGAATATTTTTATTTGTGTTATATACATCATCTTGACTGTCTGAACACATGGTTTGGGCAAACACTCTGGCAAGTACATCAGCTTTTTCCTTGTTGTTTGCTTCTCCCTATTTCCGGATTTTAGTTTATAGTCATTGTTTTGTATATTCCCTTTCATTTTCTTTATAGTATTCCAAACAATTTTTGGATTTGTTTTGGTATCCCACTTTATTTGAGTTTGTTCCCAGTATTCCCTCTTTTGCTGTAGTATTACTTTTTTGATGTTGCTACCGCCTTGTTAAATGCCACTAGGTCTTGGGGTAGAGAACTTTTTTTTAGTTTCCTATATGCTTTCGTTTTTTTTTTTTACAGCCTTGCTGCAAATTTTATTCCACCATGGTATTGCATTTTTCGATAAAGCAATCACATTTTGTGGAGTACATGATGTGACGCTGAGAATTATGCCCTGACACAGGTTTGTATTAAAAAGTTCAACGTCATCGTTTATTGTTGAACCATTTATGTGATTGAAGCTTTCAACTTTATATTTTTCCCAGTCTGTTCTTTTAGTCGAGATGTATGGTTGCCTTGTTGCCTTTGAGGTGTTTTTATATGAGTTCAATGACATCCAGATTAAATTATGGTCACTTGCTTAATTTTCATGTAATATCTCCATTATGCATAAGTGGGCAATGTCTTTCGTTGTTATGCATAAATCAATGACAGAGCTTTCATTCCCATTTCCCACTCTTGTAGGCATTTCATCATTTAAAATAACTAATTCATGGCTTTCAATGAATGACTGTAGAACCTGTCCTCTTGAATTTGTCTGTGAACAATGCCAAATAGTGTTTTGGGCATTGAACTCTCCACATATGATTACTTTTTGTCTGTGTATATTAGGAATTTCATTCAAAACCTCCTGTGTGATATTTACTCCAGGGTTGTATACATTGAACAAATAAAATCCATTAATTTCTATTGCCTGAATTTCAATTTGCGTTGTCGTAACCTGTATTCTTTGGAATGATAAAGAAGTTTTCACTGCTATTAAGCATCCTCCTCCCCTTCTTCTGAGCCTGTCTTTCCTATAAATTTGGTATGTCTATTTCGTCTTTTGGATTCAACCATGTCTCTTGTAAGCAAATTATATCTGGTATTTGATGTGTATGGTATATAAAATGAACTAATTCTGAAATTTTATTTTTGATGCTTCTAGAATTCCATTGTAAAATTGTGAGGGCCATCAGGACGTTTCATTTTGGTCTTTCTCATCCATTTGTACCAAATTTTCTATTTGATCAGTTGTTGTCATATCAATTTTGAGTCTTGCTACCTCAGCAATTATCTTTGTTATATTATATTCAGTTGGTGTTTTCATTGCGACTATTCTTTTTAGGATATCTGTAATGAATTCGATCAAGCTCACTATGTCCATGGTTGATGTTTGTGGAATTGGATTCTGTTGAGTAGGTGAGTATGGAATCGATTTTTTTGTTTTTGCCTGTTTTGATTGTGTTGACTCTGATTCTGTTCTCTTTTGTTGTTTTTGATCATATTTTTGATTTTGAGGTTGCTAATTTTCTTCGCCTGAATTGTACGTGCTGCTTCAGCATAGGTCATGTTTCCTTGCTTTTGTAGAATTTGAATGTTTTTTTGCTTCTTATACTCTGGGCATTTGGGGCTAGCACCGCTATGATTTCCCAGGCATCGATAGTTATGCCATAAACAAAGCGGTAATTCAAATATGGCAGTACCTATTGTACCTTATAATAGATAATGTAATTTTTGAATTACCACCTTGTTGCCACATTTCGACGCTAACGTTGTCAAATTTTATTAATGCCATTATAGCTTCTTTGGAAAATTACAACATAAACCAAGTCAAGATTTTAATAAATAAACAAATAACTCGCGAAGCTCCTAGGTTTCTCACACCGAGCCATGGGTTCCGCATGGAGCACTTAGAGAACCAATGATCTAGCTAGATTCTAGATAACATAAACCCCGCGAACTATATATGACTAGGCTTGTGAGTATATACGAGCTATATAATAGACAAAACTTTACGTAGAAGTTAAGAGGCATTGGAAAAACTTAATTACTTCAGTTTCAATAAATTACTGTGAGAAATTAGCAATTTTTATAGTTAAAATTTGGCATATATAAATGTAGTTACCTTGTTTTTATTTAAGATATATCTAAACACTAGCAATACATCTTGCAATAGTTTCAATAACAGATTTGAAAATATCACACGGTTTTTTCCTATAAATTCATAGTAAATATTGTACTGTACATTACGTTATGGGTTACGTCTACATAAATGATTTTATACATTTGTAAACTAATTCTCTCTTAACTTTACTTTAAAAAGCTTTTAGACTCGATAAAGTATGACGCTCTACAAATTTCAAATGCATATAACTCACCACTTGGATTTTGACTCTGTATGACAATAATCAGAAAAGATAAGTCATCAAGTCAATAATATTCATAGTAATTCTAACATTATATGAATGTTTTGTTTAATTTTTTACACTGTAATACAAAATGAAACGCAGCAAATATGAGTAAGTCTAGAAGTATGTTTATTTTAAGCCTATTTAATTTACGTTTACGCTGCCTGTATCGATATAAAGAAAAATTTCTAGACCAATAATAGCTTTTTTGCCGAACTGCGATGTATGTCTCCTTTGTTGTGATATAGGAAAATCATTGTTAGGATGGCATTTCAAGAAACAATTTGTAAAGACGCCCGATTGCACAATATTTGCGTCATAGCTCGTGTGTTTTATTGTTATCTATTTTCAAGTGCATGATTTCATATGGAATAGATGTCGTCTTATAGCAGATTGTTATTGCAACCTTTACATCGCTCTGCTGATATACTGTAACAATAGAGCTAAGACAATAAGGCCTAACCTCTGATTATCCGGGTACGTCGAGTCCATTCATTATTTTTGTCTTCATGATCTATTCGTTTGCACTACCTGTGGCTTGAAATTTCGGAAGTTGAAGTAGAGGAGGATGTCACGTGCAGAGGTTTTGTTATAATTATTAGTTATAATAAGGCCATAAGAAAATTAGGACCTCCTGAAGTATGCGCAACAAGATGGCGCACACCCTGAACTCGGGTTGTGTACCAGGTTGAGGTTCAGGTTGTGCGACATCTTGATGCGCATACTTTAGGAGTACCAAAAATTACTTGCACTAACATAGATGCGCAATAACAGAGCACTAACTCCTATTGAGTATTGATGCACATGCATAGCTGGTAAAGGTTTTGATATTTGATCCCACGTTTAAAATACTTTGAAAGATAAATAATTTCTTTTGAATATCCTGCAAGAATACACAACACTACGACCTCTGATTGTATAAAGGGTTCTTAGTGTACTTGTGAATGAACAGTATTTTATTGCTAACTACTTACTACCTTGTAGATAAAGTCTTTGATATAGTATACAATAACTTTTTATTGTGTCCCATATTAATTCTAGAATATTTGATTATTTTAAACTTACTTTGAAACACATGGGATGCCCCAGCTTATTAGTAAGGGTACATCGCTGCTTTCATTTTCCTATAAATCGCTCTAGTCAAAAGGACATGGCCTGAGGTGGAATTAGAAATTAAGTTTGTTTGTATAGTTTTTTATTTAACTCTCGAATATATTACAACTCTGCTTTCTATATCTGCTAATCTTGCACTTATACAATTCTACGTTATATGAAATGCAAGATGTAGAGGTTTCTAATCCAAACACACCCACATACAACGAAAACAAACGTACGAGATTACCTTCAGTAACTCTTTTTCTAACAGTAATTTCATTCACAGTTTTCCATGCAATTGATAATTGATTGCTTTCTGTAGCATTGGTAATTTGAGACTGCAGGGAGTTTTGCTTTTCTTTGAGATATGTAGTTTCAAGATTTTCTTAGCATCGTTATGCTTTATGATGTTGTTTCTGCTTAAGGTGGTGTTTTTTTATTTTATTTGTGCAAGCCTGTTACATTGTATTCCACTGAGCGCTCTACTACTACAGGGTTGCGGTGATTCCCTAACTCAGGCCTGCCCAACCTTTTTTATTGTCGTGGGCCACTTTCATATAAGAAAATTCATTGCGTGCCGCAACCGTTTTCACTAGACTTCAGTACCAGCCAAGATACGATTTAAGTTAGAATTTACATAAAACATAAAAATCAAGTTTATTCACCTAAAATTAATCGAGTCAATAATGACTAAGGCAAAATATTCAAATATCAAATCATTAGAATAGCAATTTACTATTCGAATACCTGATGGTAACACGTGACCTGGACTTTGCACGTCACTGATTCATACGCTGGTATCCGCACTGCATGGACCTTTCGCTTACAGCAAAATACGTCAAAATTGGTGATATATTTGCGTTGTTCTATTCAATTTTTTCCTGTAGCTCTATTGTTTCAATTTTTAAATGAGCATATTGTGCGTCAATGTCGCTTGAGTTTCAACAACTTTTTAGTGAGCCGTTTAGCAATCAGCATTACAATTACCTAATGAAGTAAGTAACATTCCGGAAATTTCCGAACGTATATATCAGGGGTGGGCAAAAATTTTTAGTATAAGAGTCGCATAATTTTTGAAATTATCAATATTAGATCGTGAACTGAAAATAACTTTACACAAACGTATAAAAACAATATTTCAAAGTATATATGCTCATACGGTTTGCCCACCATTTGTATATATATATATATATATATTGTATATATTAATTTGAATATAAAGAAATACCACTAAAATCAATTCTATCAATTCTTAACGGATACGCAGTGACAACGTTTCAGAAGTTTTACAAAATTTGAATCAGAAATAACATGGACACGATAGAAAAATACAAACAGATAAAAAACAACGAATCCTGGATCTAGTCATAAAGTTACGTCGGCGATAGGGGGAACCAAAGCCGAGACGAAAGATAATATTCCGAACGGAATTACTTTCCTCCCTATAAATGTTCTCAGCGTCTCGTCGCCAACAATTACACAATAGCATTTGAGTTTGCCAAACAGAACAGTTAATACCAAACCTAAACATCGATGTCCACCAGGTGACAAGTCTATAATACAGGTGGTAACGAGAACCGAAATTTGGATGTAGATTGCGGATACAATCACACCAGAATCACGAATAATATTTTAATGGCGGAAAGTTCGAGTCTGACTACGACAAAGGAAAATCCAGATATCTCTCCCTAGCAATAACTCCCGCAAAGAGAATAAACGAAATAGCGATCAGAGACCGCCGACTTATCGATCTTCCACATGTTCAATTAGGGGATATCCCAAAACAGAAACCGCAGATTCGATTCCTTCGCTCCGACTCAATAGCGACACCGCGTGTCCCATCACTAATTAATTAATAGCTCGCTAATTATACGACATAATCCGTCCACAAACACAGGGCTTCTGATCCGAGATATGATGAATGAACATGAAAAATGTGGAGCAGATTCAACCTCGCTTTCTGAGATATCGCGTAACATACGAAAGTGTCTAACAGACAAACAAACAAACAGACAAATATCTATCAAAATACTTACTTACCGATCGAGATCGATAAGTAAAAACCTTTACGACAGGTACGTAATTGGTGTTTGGCTCGCAAATCCAGGATTTCACCTTTGCCTTCTATAGTTGGCCGGGGTACAGTCATTAGCTGTCGATGTCGAGTCTGATGGTAAAAAGTGTCGGGGTACTAATCCCAGGCGACATAGCCTCAGCATGACCTCGTTTACATTTTACACCTAAGCTAAATTAATACGACTGACTGCACAAAACACGCATTCCAATAAGATAAACTATATCGTAATATTAATATTACTAAAAATCGTAATATTAAACGACACTTTTGCAAATCTAACAGTACCATGCAAAACAAAAAGCAAAAATGGCAAGTTTCCTTTCTCGAAACCAGGGTGGAAGTTTTGCTACCTTGATCTTCAATAAGGTACAATAATGAGTCACCGTAGGGAGACAATAAGTAATATAATATAGGACATAAACTGTCTGGAAACGTGATATGCGTGCTAGATCAGATCTATAGCATGTGGAATAGTGTCACGTTACCTTGATGGATTATAGATGTTAGTCTTTCTAAAACATTAACAGTGTCTTGTGCCTGGTTATGATTATTATTTCAATCTTCATATAGAGATTTATCAAATCAATTTATCCTTGAATTTTTTTTTTTTAATTTTTCCAAGTACACGCTTCAATTCATTTAGCCTCGTTGGGATCCGCGTTAGTGCGTTCCTGAATAACTTATGGGAAAATCTGCCACGAAGCGTAAATTTAAGAATACAACAGCTTCGTCAGTACTGACCAAAGGAAAACTTATTCCGTATGTTTGCATTCTTACAATCACGGGAAATATACGGTTTCGCCCCGTTTTCAGCAATACCATTCTCAACGATGTTATAGTTAAACCATCAGTACAATCACTATATTATATCAACTAATTATGCGTTTGATCTGATGTCATAGATGCATAAAATTGGGTACTCCCGTGGTGTTTTTTTCCGATTTTTATCCGAGTTTTATTCTGATTTTACGAGTTCGGGGACTCTCTGTATTAGTCGAGTGAATATACTCCCTGTCCACAGACTACCGTATCTTTACACAACTTGATGGAAAGTAGGCGAACAAAATTACCTCCATATTGGTACACATACTTATGGAGTGTCACAAATTGAGTTACTTCGCGCATTAAAGAAAAAACATCGAAATCATTTCAATGAAGCAGTCAGATCCAAATTTCAAAGCTACTTTCTACGCTTTTCCTTTGTCACCTATAACACGGGTCGGCAATCTTCAGCATTGAAAGAGCCATTTGGAATCCTTTAAATCAGGGGTGAGCAAATTTCGGCCCGGTCCATCTAAGTGTATCATTCGGCCCACTTGTGCATGCTGAAATTATGACCATAGTTTTATAGTTAGAAATTTCCGTAAAAAATATCGATGGAAATGACGTCATAATGACCCCAATTGTTACATTGTACCTATTAGTATTATATAAATGTTATTTTAGATGTTGCAAACAAACTGCTTTTTATTTAGAGTCATTCATATTGAAGTTTTGAGCCTCCGGCCCAGTAACCAAACTCATTATCTGTAACTGGCCCACTCATAAAAGTGATTGCCCACCACTGCTTTGCATCAAACTCAAATCTACTTGGAGCCGCAACATCTACTCTACTGACAGTGGCAATTATAACTGTCAAAAAACCTCTTATGATGCAATAATCTAGTTTTTTACGAAATTGAAGTAAATGCAACGATTCAGTCAATGACGAAATAAAAAGAATTTGTGGAAAGAAAAGTTTTGACAGACTTGAATAACAACAATGAGAACCATTTCAACCCAGGTCACACTTCGGGGACCTCAGTGATGTGTTATTAGTGAGAACTATTGGTTTGATGCCTCCGCCTTACATTGAATCCTCACTGCTTCAATAAAAATCCGGTAAACAATTTGATTCACGGGAGCCAGAGCATCGAGAACAAAAATCGCTTCTATAGAATCACATTTAAGGTTTTCTCCAATTCGCTTTAGAGAAGCCTCCAACACTTTCAAACTGTCTTATGCACTCAACATCAAAACTACAAACGAAAATCGTCGAATGTGTAAACATTTTAACCAGAAGAGAGAATCCCGTAGTTAACAGTTGAAGATTTCAGAAGTTACTTTCTATCGGAGTATTACAATAGGACAATAGCTGTTGTCAAACTGTTGCAATTCACCTTAAAATAACACTACTCCTACGAATCTTATTTATAGTATTCTATATCGTACTTTATGCTTCCAATTTTTCATAAAATGTTGTTTATAATAAACACTGTGAAATAGACTGTTTTATAGACCAATAGACCATCTTGGGCAGTGGTTCACACACCGGGACACGCGGGCCAATCACGGCCTGTCGAAATGAAGTGGACAGTTTAACACCTTGTGTTTTTACCTTATGCGTTCTAGATACCGCTAATTGATATGACAGTTTAAGCACGTGTTTATGTGCAACAAATCAGTATTATCGGTGTTTTGAATACCGTTACCGGTATCGGCCCCTTGCGGGCGCACCGCGAATATCCTTCCGCTTCTAATTTTGGCCCCGGTCAATCAACTTTGCAAATTACCGATATGCCTTAAATTTGCATGTAGATTAAATGCTCGACCGTTTACGTCAGAATATTACAATAATAGGCGAGTTTATCACATAAACACAGATTAAATACGCTCATGATATGAACTGATTTCGTTTACGTGGGCTTGTTTTAGCATATACGGTTTAAATACGTCCATATTTAATTCTAAAACCAGCTATAGAATATATCTATAATATTCTGCGTAAATTAGCAGAATTAGAATTTATACGAAATCTGAGGAAAATTGGGTTTTACAGGCTTGTTCCTGGGAATGGGATTCTCATGGAAAACGTCACATGGGATGCGACACAACGCATCCGATGTCCATACATTTGAGCATAGCTCTCTTGTTAGTTATAAAGAGCAAAATATATTCAGCATTAACAATATACTTCGTGAAGGGGATGACACTTGCATAATAGTAATAAATATAAAGTTAACAAAGTCTGTAAATTTTGTTGTGTTGCATGTCTCTTCGTACATGTAGTCCTAACAATTTTTATTGAATTTTATTCCAATGGGAATCCCACGGGACAAGCATAATTGCTATGGTGTATGAATGGGACAGAAAAATATGTTCTATGTACAAGCCTGGTTTAACATAGTCATAAAATAATGCTCAAATCATTCTGATGTTTGGATTCAAAATTCACCAAGCTGGCTCATCACATATGCACAATTTTCCAAGCTAACAGAAAAGCAGTGCTTTAATATATTGATACGAAGGCCGAAACGATGTAATACGGTTATACAATCTGTCACCGTAAACTTCCAGTACCGCAGTCTTCACGACTTCGCAATCAAAGCGAACGCGGAACCGCCATAAGGTGAGCAATTTATAATTTTGATGACGTCATCGCACACAAAAAACAAATCTCACAAAGCCCAAAGAATTTTGAAATAAATAAATGTGATAGTCTTCTAGCGAAAAATACAATTTAACTACTGGAAATTTCAAAACAATTGGTCCAGTAGTTATGAGAAAAGCGATTTTTCCATAACAACAACATGAAGTGATTTCTGAAACTCAATTTTCAATTGTTCGAAAGGAAGGCAACGCGTCTTCTGATGCTATATTTACAATTGTCTATTTTCCATCTTTCGATAGTATACATTTCAATGGCACTTTTTTGATTGTCTTATTCCAATGGTAAATTGTTGATTTATATTTTGTAGTATATGAGTACAGTATATAGGAGTGCATTTATTAACGTGACATACATATACAGCCTGAATATGCATATACTGTATATCCAACTCAATATAGCTTGCTTAAAGAGAGCATAATATAATTACCGCCTTTTTCCGAGATAATATTTTATTGACGTGACGCAAAGCAGTCATGTCAGAGATGCAAATATTAAAAATATGTGAAATAAATGCAGATTTACTTCCTCGTTGGGCTAAGCATATGTCAGCCTCCTAATGATGAAATTAAATGACTTAAATGCCAATTCATCTCAAATATTAACCTTGAGCTCTTCCGTATGTATATATTTATACATAAAATTGTTTGATAGTGATATATATGTGTAGATAAACATGTCATAATTCTATCGCAGTTCGTTTATTTCTTGGTCTGATAAAAAACATTAACATTCCATGCGAACTGCCTGCTTTTTCCCAATTTAAATTTGACAAGCGAACTCACAATACTGCAAATTTAATGCTTACACCCAACTATCATTTTTATAACGGTAAGTACACTCAAAATCAATGCTGTGAAACGCATGATTTTACGCCAGATATTTAAATGACCTAACATCAAAAATGGGAGCGTTGGGAAAACACATTAACATTCTATGCGCACTACCTGCATTTTTTCTACATTGAAATTTGGCAGACAAACTCAGAATATTGCAAATTGAATGCTAATGAAAAACGAGTGTCAAAATAACTCTTCTACTACTACCATCTTTATAACGCAGCATTTCTTGGCCGGAGAGGAATTCTATTCGGGTAAGAAATACTGAGATATTGCTTTGTATTTAATATTATTTTATCAATATTGTTTACTTTAGTAATATTATAGTAGTAACGATATCGTGGTAGTAATAATATGCACACATGGATTAGAGATTGCTCAAAAATAAAACTCAATTTTGTGATCGTTAATGTATATTTTATGCTATTTAAAGTTTACAAGCATGCAAGCTTGAAGAACAAAAGCAATGTCAATTTTGGGAACCGCTGCCATAAGCTTTGATATGAATTTGATAATATAAATTAAAACAATATATATATATACTGTTATATATTAGCCTACATAGCTCAATAGTATTCGCAGAAGCATCAAGTTCAGCATTTTATAAATAATTGCATGAAGACCGAATAGAAAACAAAGGATATACAACGTATGTATTCGAGTATAAATTTTATATACCATATTAACAGCGAATAGATGTTGTTCGATAATTCGAATATATATTTTGCGGCAGAGACTAATTATTCCTTATATTACTCATATATATACTGAATAGCACTTCCTCGTACGTTGCAGCGCTGATGCGGTACACGGTGGGCGAGTATGAGGCAATGCCGCAATTTTATACGAATCGTGTATGGCATGCTTAACATACGATCAAAATGATACAAAATATCGGTGATTTCCCAAATTAATCAGCGCTTAGGTTGCTTGATATGACGCATTTCAAAGGTATATGATGAAGACGCTCAAGTCTAATTCGATAGTTTTGCGTTTTGACAGCAATGACAACGATGGAAGCGAAAACATTCTGTTGTTTTCTTCTGTTCCTGTTACCTGTGGGTAAGCTGATGTTATATTTGATGGGAATATAATGGTAGTTTGTGTGGTCCAATATACAGGGTGGTCGCTAGAAAAACAGAAAGTTTGCCAAACAGCTATTTATTTTTACAAAGAACAATTTTCACAACGTTTTTCAAAGGCATATATATGTTATATTACACTCATAGATGCTCAAAATGTTGTCCGTGCACTTCAGGTAAGCTTTGAAAGTTAACTTGTGGGATATCGTTTCAAGCTTATTCATTTGTGAAAATAAATAGCTGTTTGACAAATTTTCTGCTTTTCTATCGACCACCTTTTAGTTTAGTATGTGATTAATAAGACGCTCCATATCGTATGCGTGAAACCAGGTGAAATTTTAGGTGAGATAAGCAGTGTTGGTATTCAGCGGGTTTGCACAAATTACTTCTTGAAATTTCGTGGTAATCAACAAACCCGTCTTCATTTTTTGTAGTGAACGTTTGACGGCCGGCCTTAGCAATTGGTAACGTGCACCGCAGACGACTAGCATTATATTTGTCGTTTAAAATATTAGGTGTTAGATTAATCTTAAGCGTGTCGTGTTAATGAAGCTCACTTAGAAGAATGCATACATTTTCTGATATAGGTGAACCTATGCTAGTCAGTTTTACACACAAAAAAAAATTGTTTCGTAAATTATAATTACACTTCTAGATGGATATAAGTGATACACAATGTTGACAGGACAGTAAAACACCTTAGCGTTGGGACTGTGAGACATAAAATTCCATGTATACATATAATAATATTTTAGGCATGCACCAAAATTGGTACACCCGTAGTGTGTGTAGGGTTAGGGCATATTGTTATTCCGATATTTCTTATCGTATGAAATTGATCCTTTCATATATCGAAACCCCTTTTTCAGTTACGTTATCAACGAAAACGGACACGTGTGAATTCGGAGAAGAAAATTGTAGACAGTATGAATTCTCTACGGTGAGGAACTTTATTTATTTCTTAGTTATGTCAAACATGATCCGTATGTGATAAATTGCTGAAAATAAGAAATGAGGTGTCGAAGTACTAACTTCGAAAAAATAGTACATTCAGATATGAGTTTAGCGATATTGTGAGTGGATTTAATGAGCTATATTTCCTAGAAATAAAAAAATTTGAAATTTTCGTGAAAAAATGTTGTTATCGAGTCGAAAGCGATAGTCGCATTCGATTTTAGTCAGTGAAATCGATTTTATTCCTGAAGTTAATTGGAGTTGTGGAGTTGAAACTTCGTTGTTAAGAGTGACGCGGAAACGGAATCGATGTAGATAATATTCTACAGTGAGAATTTCTTTAACAAACTCTATTTTCTGTCTGTTTCAGATGGAGGAACTCAAGGGTAAGAAAACTTAATTTTGAATAACGCATTGCAAAATCAGTTTTGCAAAAACTGTTTCCAAATAAAATATTAAAGATAAATAAGATTTTGAAACAAATAGGTTTTAAATGGTGTTACATCGCAGCATTATTGATTCTTCGGTTACCCAGTGTTTTCGCCTGTAATATACTCATTTAATGAACACTAAACCCAGCCATCGGAAACGAATTTAATAATTATTCAAAGCAGTTTCAATACTAAACAAATTCAAATGATTGTGACAAAGCTTAACTAACATCCCGCCTGTTATTTTATCATGCCAAACTCTTTCCTCAGCGTTCTAAACCTGTTAAACGGCACGAATAGCAAAATTATTTAGATGCTTGTTCTAGTAGGAGAGTAGTAAGGAGTACCGCTATAGCAAAAAAATGATAAAGTATTATATATTGCTACTTATAAAAATGGTAAATTTAGTGATATATATAGATATAGTTAAATTAATTCAGAATAATGGGAAGGGTATTCATATTTGGAGTCCCAGAGTTATACGTTTTTTTTACAAAATTATGTTTTATTTCTTTTTCTAATTTATGTAGAAAAACTCCTAAATGACAAAGAGCTCGTTGAATATCTTACTAAACAACTTGAAAACAACATGGAAGTTAACATAAATACTGCAGTCACTCAAGATACTTCAGGTATTTTTAGTTTGTTTTTAATGTCTGGTCAGAAAAAAATATCACAAAATTCTGTTTTCAGAAAGAGGAAGCTCATTTCAATGAAAGTTAACTTCTGTCAATATTTTTCACTGAAGCATAATTTTACATATTATAACTAAAATTCGCGTGGTAATCAAATAATACGGAAGTAAATACATTGAATGAGGTACTCTCCCGCGATTTGCTTAATTCGATGAGAGGGTCGAATGGTCGCTTGTCTTTTGTTCAAATGTCTCGAGCAACGGCGGCTTTGTACGATATATCATATGGTTTAGTGGTTGTCAAACTTCTCCGGCCACATCCTGCCCCCTTCTTCAAAATTTGTCAAGTCTCGCGGAACTCTTCCTCAAAATTAACTTGTTAACAATAAGCTGAAAATAACAGATAGTGAGGCAAAAGTTTCATTTCCAAAAACGTCGAAAATACTTAGTTGGAACGTGGATAATGGAATGAATGAAAAATTTAAAACACAGATCTAATCTATACCAAGTATTATTAATTACCTTCACGCCTCCTAAAAAAATGTATGCCAGGTAGAATCCAACAAATATTATTAATTAGCTTCACGCCCCCTCAAAAAATTGAATATGCCCCCCTTATAGGGCGCGCCTCGCCGCTTGAGAATCACTGATATAGTTTTTAATGCTATTGAGTAATACTCCGAAAATGAATTATACACAATCGATTGAAGAGATCGTAAATTCACTGAATTGGGTATTACTATTGCCTATACAAAATGTAAATACACTTCACATTCTGAAGTTATTGTGTATACAGTTGTGTATTTCTTTACCATTCTGAAAAAACACTATACAAAAAAAAAAAAAATTATGAAAAAAGCCAAGAAGACAAGCAGTCGCACGTTTCGACTGAAAACGACTCCGTGCACTACAGTTTAGGTAACAGTGGAGATCACATTATCACAAAAAAAGAATTGGTTTCATAAAAATATTGAGAGTTCGATTTTGTATGTTCCCCCAAAGTAACATCAAACAAAAACTTCTGCTGCTTGTAGGTTATTTTACATCGTAATACAATCGAGTTCAATGTTGATATTTAATCATTTTTTGCAGAAACTAACTTAAAGAAAAATGGCTTCCACAAAGAATATAACGGTCTCTGGTATAAGTACTTCGAGGAAAAAGAAAAATTTGATGTTGCGGTTTGCAAATGTAAACAATATGAAGGCCGACTCATCTCGACTGGATACCGTGACTTCACTATTCGAGAGTAATAATATGATATAAAATAACTTAATGCTAGAATTGCATTCAAAATTCGAAATCTCGTAATTGTTCAATTTGGCCAGCTATTTACTCTAGGATTGGCCAACATTACATAAAATACCCCATCTTGAAATCATCAAAATTTATTAAATAAGATCTTTATTTTGGGGAGAAATTCCTTGATATTTCAGCAAGCTTAACACGTCAGTAGAGATTGACGAAGTACGCTTTCTTATCTCACTTTTTTGTGCAATCCGACAAACAATATTTACCGATCCTATTTCTTTAATTTTTTTATTTAAAGTAATTTTTATCCGAGTTCTGTAATGTTTATTATAATATTTCTTAGGCCGTTGCTTCAAACTACAGGTGGCGGGAACACAAATTCATTTTCCAGATTCTGGATTGGACTACGCAGAGACGACACAAATACGAGTTTGTGGAATTGGAGTGACGGTATTCAAACAACCAATACCGCAAATATATGGATGACAGGGGAACCAAACAATGATGGGGATGGTGAATTTTGTGGCATGAATAAACTCTCTGAATCAGGCGATGAATCAGTTAACGACGCATCGTGCAACGCGAAACTTGCATATTTCTGCGAAGTAGAAATAAAGTAGGATTGGTCAAATAGAAGTACCTACATCGGTGTCTGCAGTTCTTGGAACTGTTGAATGAACAACATTTGTCTCTCTGGCCTCTGTGACAAGATATAAGTCAAATGTACTTTTATTTTTCCTCTTTTTTTGTCCGATTCCGTGTTGATTTTATTCCCCCAAACGACTATGACTCGGCAAGCATGTTTTCTTGAACTTCTCCGGCTATTTGACAAACTATCTAGTTCATTTCTGGACACTGGACAACCAGACGACAACGAGATGATGGAGATGTCATAAAAAAGGCGAAAACAATTTTTCAATTAGATCTTATCCCATAGAATTTTCATTGTTGTTATGTTGCAAACAAACTGTTTTATTTGGAGTCATTTATATGAAGTTCTGAGCCTCCGGCCCAGTAACCAAATTCATTATCTGTAACTGGCCCACTCATAAAAGTGATTTCCCACCCCTGCTTCACATCAAACTCAAATCTACTTGGAGCCGCAACATCTACTCTAATGACAGAGGCAATTATAACTGTCAAAAAACCTCTTATGATGCAATAATATAGTTTTTTACTAAATTGAAGCAAATGCAATAATTCAGTCAATGACGAAATAAAAAGAATTTGTGGAAAGAAAAGTTTTGACAGACTTGAATAACAACAATGAGAACCATTTCAACCCAGGTCACACTTCGGGGACCTCAGTGATGTGTTTTTAGTGAGGTCTATGGGTTTTATGCCTCCGCCTTACATTATTGAATCCTCACTGCTTCAAAAAAATGCTGTAACCACTTTGATTCACGGGAGCCAGAGCTTCAAGAACAAGAATCGCTTCTATAGAATCACATTTAAGGTTTTCTCTAATTCGCTTTAGAGAAGCCTCCAACACTTTCAAACTGTCTTATGCACTCAACATCAAAACTACAAACGAAAATCGTCAAAAGTGTAAACATTTTTACCAGAAGAGAGAATCTCGTAGTTAATTAACAGTTAAAGACTTCAGAAGTTATTTTCTAGCAGAGTATTACATTAGGATAATAGCTGTTATCAAACTGTTGCAATTCACTTTAAAATAACACTACTGCGACGAATCTTATTTCTAGTATTCTATATCGTACTTTATGCTTCGAATTTTTCATAAAATGTTGCTTATAATAGACATTGTGAAATAGACTGTTTTAACATCTTAGGCAGTGCTCACACACCGGGGCACGCGGGCCAATGACGGCCCGCCAAAATTAAGTGGAACAGTTTAAGGCTTGATGTTTTTACTTTTTGCGTTCTAGATAACGCTAATTGATATAACAGTTCAAGCACGTGTTTATGTGCAAAAAATCAACCATATCGGTATTTCAAATACCGTTACCGGTATCGGCCCCTTGCGGGCGCCCCGCGAATATCCTTTCGCTTCTAATTTTGGACTCCGGTCAATCTATTTTGCGAATTATCGATAAGTCCTAAATTTGCATGTAGATTAAATGCTCGACCGTTTACGTCAGAATATTACAATAATAGGCGAGTTTATCACATAAACACAGATTAAATACGATTAGATGTTGTTCTGCATCTTTATTGAGAAAGTTTCGAATATGATAGGAACTGAATTCGTTCACGTGGGCTTGTTTAGCAATACGAGGGTTTTATCACAAACATACGGTTCAAATACGGCCTTATTTAATTCTAAAACCAGCTACAGAATATATCTATAATATTCTGCGTAAATTAACAGAATTAGGATTTATCCGAAATCTGAGGAAAATTGGGTTTTACAGGCTTGTTCATGGGAATGGGATTCTCATGGAATATGTCACATGGGATGCGACACAACTCATTTGTATTTCCCATGATACGGACACGAAAACCGTATGATTTTCAGGGAAATTATGGTAAAACATTTCGTTACGGACTCCGTGTCCATACATTTGAGCATAGCTCTCTTGTTAGTTATAAAAAGCAAAATATATTCAGCATTAAAAATATACTTCGTGAAGGGGATGACACTTGCATAATAGTTATAAATATAAAGTTAACAAAGTCTGTAAATTTTGTTGTGTTGCATGTCCTTCGTACATGTAGTCCTAACAATTTTTATTGAATTTTATTCCAATGGGAATCCCACGGTACAAGCATAATTGCTATGGTGTGGGAATGGAACAGAAAAATATGTCCTATGTACAAGCCTGGTTTAACATAGTCATAAAATAATGCTCAAATCATTCTGATGTTTGGATTCAAAATTCACCAAGCCGGCTCATCACATATGCACAATTTTCCAAGCTAACAGAAAAGCAGTGCTCCAATATATTGATACGCAGGCCGAAACAATGTAATGCGGGTATACAATCTGTCACCGTAAACTTCCAGTACCGCAGTCTTCACGACTTCGCAATCAAAGCGAACGCGGAACCGCCATAAGGTGAGCAATTCATAATTTTGATGACGTCATCGCACACAAAAAAACAAATCTCACAGAGCCCAAAGAATTTTGAAATAAATAAATGTAATAGTCTTCTAGCGAAAAATACAATTTAATCATTGAAAATTTCAAAACAATTGTTCCAGTAGTTATGAGAAAAGCGATTTTTCCATAACAACAACATGAAGTGAATTCTGAAACTCAATTTTCAATTGTTCGAAAGGAAGGCAACGCGTCTTCTGATGCTATATTTACAATTGTCTATTTTCCATCTTTCGATAGTATACATTTCAATGGCACTTTTTTGATTGTATTACCAATGGTAAATTGTTGATTTATATTTGTAGTATATGAGTACAGTATAGGAGTGCATTTATTAACGTGACATACATATACAGCCTGAATATGCATATACTGTATATCCAACTCAATATAGCTTGCTTAAAGAGAGCATAATATAATTACCGCTTTTTTCCGAGAGAATTTTTTATTGACGTGACGCAATGCAGTCATGTCAGAGATGCAAATATTAAAAATATGTGACATAAATGCAGATTTACTTCCTCGTTGGGCTAAGCATATGTCAGCCTCCTAATGATGAAATTAAATGATTTAAATGCCAATTCATCTCAAATATTAACCTTGATCTTTTCGGTATATATATATACTTATTATACATAAAATTGTTTGGTAGTGATATGTGTAGATAAACATGCCATAATTCTATCGCAGTTCATTTATTTTTTGGTCTGAGGAAAAAATTACCATTCCATACGAACTACCTGCTTTTTTTCGAATAAAATTTGAAAAGCGAACTCACAATACTGAAAATTTGATGATAATCTCCGACTACCATTCTTATAACTTATAACGGTCAGTACACTCAACATCTGTGCTGCAATACGCATACTTTTACGCCAGCGTTGGGACTGTGAGACATAAAATTCCATGTATACATATAATAATATTTTAGGCATGCACCAAAATTGGTACACCCGTAGTGTGTGTAGGGTTAGGGCATATTGTTATTCCGATATTTCTTATCGTCGTATGAAATTGATCCTTTCATATATCGAAACCCCTTTTTCAGTTACGTTATCAACGAAAACGGACACGTGTGAATTCGGAGAAGAAAATTGTAGACAGTATGAATTCTCTACGGTGAGGAACATTATTTATTTCTTAGTTATGTCAAACATGATCCGTATGTGATAAATTGCTGAAAATAAGAAATGAGGTGTCGAAGTACTAACTTCGAAAAAATAGTACATTCAGATATGAGTTTAGCGATATTGTGAGTGGATTTAATGAGCTATATTTCCTAGAAATAAAAAAATTTGAAATTTTCGTGAAAAAATGTTGTTATCGAGTCGAAAGCGATAGTCGCATTCGATTTTAGTCAGTGAAATCGATTTTATTCCTGAAGTTAATTGGAGTTGTGGAGTTGAAACTTCGTTGTTAAGAGTGACGCGGAAACGGAATCGATGTAGATAATATTCTACAGTGAGAATTTCTTTAACAAACTCTATTTTCTGTCTGTTTCAGATGGAGGAACTCAAGGGTAAGAAAACTTAATTTTGAATAACGCATTGCAAAATCAGTTTTGCAAAAACTGTTTCCAAATAAAATATTAAAGATAAATAAGATTTTGAAACAAATAGGTTTTAAATGGTGTTACATCGCAGCATTATTGATTCTTCGGTTACCCAGTGTTTTCGCCTGTAATATACTCATTTAATGAACACTAAACCCAGCCATCGGAAACGAATTTAATAATTATTCAAAGCAGTTTCAATACTAAACAAATTCAAATGATTGTGACAAAGCTTAACTAACATCCCGCCTGTTATTTTATCATGCCAAACTCTTTCCTCAGCGTTCTAAACCTGTTAAACGGCACGAATAGCAAAATTATTTAGATGCTTGTTCTAGTAGGAGAGTAGTAAGGAGTACCGCTATAGCAAAAAAATGATAAAGTATTATATATTGCTACTTATAAAAATGGTAAATTTAGTGATATATATAGATATAGTTAAATTAATTCAGAATAATGGGAAGGGTATTCATATTGGAGTCCCAGAGTTATACGTTTTTTTTTACAAAATTATGTTTTATTTCTTTTTCTAATTTATGTAGAAAAACTCCTAAATGACAAAGAGCTCGTTGAATATCTTACTAAACAACTTGAAAACAACATGGAAGTTAACATAAATACTGCAGTCACTCAAGATACTTCAGGTATTTTTAGTTTGTTTTTAATGTCTGGTCAGAAAAAAATATCACAAAATTCTGTTTTCAGAAAGAGGAAGCTCATTTCAATGAAAGTTAACTTCTGTCAATATTTTTCACTGAAGCATAATTTTACATATTATAACTAAAATTCGCGTGGTAATCAAATAATACGGAAGTAAATACATTGAATGAGGTACTCTCCCGCGATTTGCTTAATTCGATGAGAGGGTCGAATGGTCGCTTGTCTTTTGTTCAAATGTCTCGAGCAACGGCGGCTTTGTACGATATATCATATGGTTTAGTGGTTGTCAAACTTCTCCGGCCACATCCTGCCCCCTTCTTCAAAATTTGTCAAGTCTCGCGGAACTCTTCCTCAAAATTAACTTGTTAACAATAAGCTGAAAATAACAGATAGTGAGGCAAAAGTTTCATTTCCAAAAACGTCGAAAATACTTAGTTGGAACGTGGATAATGGAATGAATGAAAAATTTAAAACACAGATCTAATCTATACCAAGTATTATTAATTACCTTCACGCCTCCTAAAAAAATGTATGCCAGGTAGAATCCAACAAATATTATTAATTAGCTTCACGCCCCCTCAAAAAATTGAATATGCCCCCCTTATAGGGCGCGCCTCGCCGCTTGAGAATCACTGATATAGTTTTTAATGCTATTGAGTAATACTCCGAAAATGAATTATACACAATCGATTGAAGAGATCGTAAATTCACTGAATTGGGTATTACTATTGCCTATACAAAATGTAAATACACTTCACATTCTGAAGTTATTGTGTATACAGTTGTGTATTTCTTTACCATTCTGAAAAAACACTATACAAAGAAAAAGAAAAAATTATGAAAAAAGCCAAGAAGACAAGCAGTCGCACGTTTCGACTGAAAACGACTCCGTGCACTACAGTTTAGGTAACAGTGGAGATCACATTATCACAAAAAAAGAATTGGTTTCATAAAAATATTGAGAGTTCGATTTTGTATGTTCCCCCAAAGTAACATCAAACAAAAACTTCTGCTGCTTGTAGGTTATTTTACATCGTAATACAATCGAGTTCAATGTTGATATTTAATCATTTTTTGCAGAAACTAACTTAAAGAAAAATGGCTTCCACAAAGAATATAACGGTCTCTGGTATAAGTACTTCGAGGAAAAAGAAAAATTTGATGTTGCGGTTTGCAAATGTAAACAATATGAAGGCCGACTCATCTCGACTGGATACCGTGACTTCACTATTCGAGAGTAATATGATATAAAATAACTTAATGCTAGAATTGCATTCAAAATTCGAAATCTCGTAATTGTTCAATTTGGCCAGCTATTTACTCTAGGATTGGCCAACATTACATAAAATACCCCATCTTGAAATCATCAAAATTTATTAAATAAGATCTTTATTTTGGGGAGAAATTCCTTGATATTTCAGCAAGCTTAACACGTCAGTAGAGATTGACGAAGTACGCTTTCTTATCTCACTTTTTTGTGCAATCCGACAAACAATATTTACCGATCCTATTTTCTTTAATTTTTTTATTTAAAGTAATTTTTATCCGAGTTCTGTAATGTTTATTATAATATTTCTTAGGCCGTTGCTTCAAACTACAGGTGGCGGGAACACAAATTCATTTTCCAGATTCTGGATTGGACTACGCAGAGACGACACAAATACGAGTTTGTGGAATTGGAGTGACGGTATTCAAACAACCAATACCGCAAATATATGGATGACAGGGGAACCAAACAATGATGGGGATGGTGAATTTTGTGGCATGAATAAACTCTCTGAATCAGGCGATGAATCAGTTAACGACGCATCGTGCAACGCGAAACTTGCATATTTCTGCGAAGTAGAAATAAAGTAGGATTGGTCAAATAGAAGTACCTACATCGGTGTCTGCAGTTCTTGGAACTGTTGAATGAACAACATTTGTCTCTCTGGCCTCTGTGACAAGATATAAGTCAAATGTACTTTTATTTTTCCTCTTTTTTTGTCCGATTCCGTGTTGATTTTATTCCCCCAAATGACTATGACTCGGCAAGCATGTTTTCTTGAACTTCTCCGGCTATTTGACAAACTATCTAGTTCATTTCTGGACACTGGACAACCAGACGACAACGAGATGATGGAGATGTCATAAAAAAGGCGAAAACAATTTTTCAATTAGATCTTATCCCATAGAATTTTCATTGTTGTTATGTTGCAAACAAACTGTTTTATTTGGAGTCATTTATATGAAGTTCTGAGCCTCCGGCCCAGTAACCAAATTCATTATCTGTAACTGGCCCACTCATAAAAGTGATTTCCCACCCCTGCTTCACATCAAACTCAAATCTACTTGGAGCCGCAACATCTACTCTAATGACAGAGGCAATTATAACTGTCAAAAAACCTCTTATGATGCAATAATATAGTTTTTTACTAAATTGAAGCAAATGCAATAATTCAGTCAATGACGAAATAAAAAGAATTTGTGGAAAGAAAAGTTTTGACAGACTTGAATAACAACAATGAGAACCATTTCAACCCAGGTCACACTTCGGGGACCTCAGTGATGTGTTTTTAGTGAGGTCTATGGGTTTTATGCCTCCGCCTTACATTATTGAATCCTCACTGCTTCAAAAAAATGCTGTAACCACTTTGATTCACGGGAGCCAGAGCTTCAAGAACAAGAATCGCTTCTATAGAATCACATTTAAGGTTTTCTCTAATTCGCTTTAGAGAAGCCTCCAACACTTTCAAACTGTCTTATGCACTCAACATCAAAACTACAAACGAAAATCGTCAAAAGTGTAAACATTTTTACCAGAAGAGAGAATCTCGTAGTTAATTAACAGTTAAAGACTTCAGAAGTTATTTTCTAGCAGAGTATTACATTAGGATAATAGCTGTTATCAAACTGTTGCAATTCACTTTAAAATAACACTACTGCGACGAATCTTATTTATAGTATTCTATATCGTACTTTATGCTTCGAATTTTTCATAAAATGTTGCTTATAATAGACATTGTGAAATAGACTGTTTTAACATCTTAGGCAGTGCTCACACACCGGGGCACGCGGGCCAATGACGGCCCGCCCAAAATTAAGTGGAACAGTTTTAAGGCTTGATGTTTTTACTTTTTGCGTTCTAAATGATAACGCTAATTGATATAACAGTTCAAGCACAGTGTTTATGTGCAAAAAATCAACCATATCGGTATTTCAAATACCGTTACCCGGTATCGGCCCCTTGCGGGCGCCCCGCGAATATCCTTTCGCTTCTAATTTTGGACTCCGGTCAATCTATTTTGCGAATTATCGATAAGTCCTAAATTTGCATGTAGATTAAATGCTCGACCGTTTACGTCAGAATATTACAATAATAGGCGAGTTTATCACATAAACACAGATTAAATACGATTAGATGTTGTTCTGCATCTTTATTGAGAAAGTTTCGAATATGATAGGAACTGAATTCGTTCACGTGGGCTTGTTTAGCAATACGAGGGTTTTATCACAAACATACGGTTCAAATACGGCCTTATTTAATTCTAAAACCAGCTACAGAATATATCTATAATATTCTGCGTAAATTAACAGAATTAGGATTTATCCGAAATCTGAGGAAAATTGGGTTTTACAGGCTTGTTCATGGGAATGGGATTCTCATGGAATATGTCACATGGGATGCGACACAACTCATTTGTATTTCCCATGATACGGACACGAAAACCGTATGATTTTCAGGGAAATTATGGTAAAACATTTCGTTACGGACTCCGTGTCCATACATTTGAGCATAGCTCTCTTGTTAGTTATAAAAAGCAAAATATATTCAGCATTAAAAATATACTTCGTGAAGGGGATGACACTTGCATAATAGTTATAAATATAAAGTTAACAAAGTCTGTAAATTTTGTTGTGTTGCATGTCTCTTCGTACATGTAGTCCTAACAATTTTTATTGAATTTTATTCCAATGGGAATCCCACGGTACAAGCATAATTGCTATGGTGTGGGAATGGAACAGAAAAATATGTCCTATGTACAAGCCTGGTTTAACATAGTCATAAAATAATGCTCAAATCATTCTGATGTTTGGATTCAAAATTCACCAAGCCGGCTCATCACATATGCACAATTTTCCAAGCTAACAGAAAAGCAGTGCTCCAATATATTGATACGCAGGCCGAAACAATGTAATGCGGGTATACAATCTGTCACCGTAAACTTCCAGTACCGCAGTCTTCACGACTTCGCAATCAAAGCGAACGCGGAGCCGCCATAAGGTGAGCAATTCATAATTTTGATGACGTCATCGCACACAAAAAAACAAATCTTACAGAGCCCAAAGAATTTTGAAATAAATAAATGTAATAGTCTTCTAGCGAAAAATACAATTTAATCATTGAAAATTTCAAAACAATTGTTCCAGTAGTTATGAGAAAAGCGATTTTTCCATAACAACAACATGAAGTGAATTCTGAAACTCAATTTTCAATTGTTCGAAAGGAAGGCAACGCGTCTTCTGATGCTATATTTACAATTGTCTATTTTCCATCTTTCGATAGTATACATTTCAATGGCACTTTTTTGATTGTATTATTCCAATGGTAAATTGTTGATTTATATTTTGTAGTATATGAGTACAGTATAGGAGTGCATTTATTAACGTGACATACATATACAGCCTGAATATGCATATACTGTATATCCAACTCAATATAGCTTGCTTAAAGAGAGCATAATATAATTACCGCTTTTTTCCGAGAGAATATTTTATTGACGTGACGCAATGCAGTCATGTCAGAGATGCAAATATTAAAAATATGTGACATAAATGCAGATTTACTTCCTCGTTGGGCTAAGCATATGTCAGCCTCCTAATGATGAAATTAAATGATTTAAATGCCAATTCATCTCAAATATTAACCTTGATCTTTTCGGTATATATATATACTTATTATACATAAAATTGTTTGGTAGTGATATGTGTAGATAAACATGCCATAATTCTATCGCAGTTCATTTATTTTTTTGTCTGAGGAAAAAATAACATTCCATACGAACTACCTGCTTTTTTTCGAATAAAATTTGAAAAGCGAACTCACAATACTGAAAATTTGATGATAATCTCCGACTACCATTCTTATAAGTTATAACGGTCAGTACACTCAACATCTGTGCTGCAATACGCATACTTTTACGCCAGATGTTCAAATGACCTCTCACCAAAATTGGGAAGACGATTCGTTGAGAAAACACATTATGCGCACTACCTGCGTTTTTCTACATTAAAATTTGGCAGACAAACTCAGAATACTGCAACTTCAATGCTAATAAACAACGGGTATCACAAATCACTCTGAAGTGCCGCCAACTATCACCTTTATAACGCAGCATTTCTTGACCGGAGAGGAATTCTATTCGGGTGGGAAATACCGAGATATTGCTTTGTATCTAATCTTATTTTACCAATATTGTTTACTTTAGTAATATTATAGTAACGATATCGTGGTAGTAATACTATGTACACACGGATTAGAGATTGAACAAATTATGGAAACGGGGTGTTCATTCACGATAAGGGGGGAGTGATTAAAAAAGAGAGAGTAGGGGAATGTGCCGATAGCGGTTGAGAACCAATGTTTAGAGTTTAGTGCACTGAAAAACTATAATGTAACAAGTAAAGTTTTACGCGGTTACCAAACGTTTCGTTCGCGCGGCGCCAAATGACCAAAAATAAATTCACGACGCACTTATTTATACTTATAAATAAAACTCCATTTTGTGATCGTTAATGTATACTTTATGCTATTTAAAGTTCACGAACGCGCAAGCTTAAAGAACAAAATCAATGTCAACTTTGGGAACCGCTGCCATAAGCTTTAATATTATAAATTAAAACAATATACTGGTATATATTAGCCTACATAGCTCAATAGTATTCGTATCCGCAGAGGCATCAAGTTCAGCATTTTAAAAATAATTGCATGAAGACCGAATAGAATACAAAGGGTATACAACGCATGTATTCGAGTATAAATTTTATATACCATATTAACAGTGAATAGATGCTGTCGATCGATCAAAAGATGTTATACAATATTCGAATATATATTTTGCGGCAGAGACTAATAATTCCTTGTATTAATCATATATACTGAATAGCGCTTCCTTGTACGATGCAGTGCTTATGCAATACACGCTGGGCGAGTATGAGGCAATGCTGCGATTTTATACGAATCGTGCATGGCATGCTTAACATACGATTTAAATAAAACAAAATATTGGTGAATTCCCACATTAATCAGCGCTTGGGTTGCTTGATATGACGCATTTCAAAGGTATATTATGGAGACGCTCAAGTCTAATTCGATAGTTTTGCGTTTTGACAGCAATGGCAACGATGGAAGCGAAAACATTGTGTTGTTTTCTTCTGTTCCTGTTACCTGTAGGTAAGTTATGGTTAGATTTGATGGCAATGCATTAGTGATTTTTTGTGTGGTTTAAGCATGGTGGTCACTAGAAAAATAGAAAATTTGCCAAACAGCTATTTGTTTTCACACAGAACAACTTTCACAAAGTTTTAAAAAATCATATATATGTTATATTACACTCATAGTTGCTCAAAATGTTGTCCGTGCACTTCAGAGCAGTGGGTTAACCTGAAAGTCCGAGCTCGTGTAGCGTTTAGAAGGTTAACTTGTGCGATATATAGCTGGTGTGGAATATATAAATAAATAGCTGTTTGACAAATTTTCTGCTTTTCTAGAGACCACACTGTAGTTTAGTATGTGATTAATAAAACGCTCTATATCGTATGCGTGAAACCAGGTGAAATCTTAGGTGAGATAAGCAGTGGTGGTATTCAGTCGGTCCGTTCTTGGGATGTCGTTTCAGCTAACCCGTCCTTATTTGGGGGGGGGGGACCGTAGCAATTGGTAACGTGCACTGCAGCTGACAGTAGCATTATATTTGGAGTTTTGAGTGTTGTGTATTAGATTTTTATCGTAATGTTAATGTAGCTTAATTAGTAGCATGTATACCTTTTCTGAAATAGAGGAAACCTGTTGTTAGAAAGTTCGATACAAAAAAGAAACTGTTTCCTAAATTTTGATACACAATGTCGACATGGCAGTAAAACACCGTAGCGTCTGGGCAGTGAGACATACAATTTCATTCAGACATGTAATACTTTTTTAGGCATGCACGGAAATTGGTACCTCTGTAGTGTGTGTACCAGGTTAGGGTTAAGGCATAATTTTAGTCCGATTTTTCTTATTTTAGCTCTGTTACGAGTTTGGGGACTGTCTGAGTTAGCCAAGTGAATATACCCGCTGCCCATAGGCTTCCGTCTCTTTACACAACTTGATGTAAAATAGGCGTACAAAATTACTTACCTCCATATTAGTACACACACTTCTGGAGCGCCCGGAAATGTTTCTAATATTCCGGTATAAAATCATATTTTTTGAAGTTTTGTTGCTTCATGTCAAGAAATTTGAAGCTCACTCGTTCTATGTATACAGACAGATAGGCACGTGTCTCGTATTAAATAAAACCTAACAAGAAGTAAAACCTTTTTTCCATGCACATTATCAGCAAAAACGGACACCTGCGAATCGGGAGAAGAAAATTGTAGACAGTATGAATTCTCTACGGTGAGCAATTTTATTTATTCCTTAGTCATGTCAAATATGCTTCGTATGGAATTGCTGAAAATATAGAAAGAGGTATCCAAGTACTAACGTCAAAAAATAGTAAACTTAAGTATGAGTTTGGCGTTATTGTGTGTGGAGTCGGCTGGTTGCATTTCCTATAGAGAAAAATTGACATTTTCGTGAAAAAACGTTGTTATGGAGTCCGAAGCGGGAGTCGCAGTCAATTTTATTTACCGGGATTGAGTTGGTGTTGAAATTTTGTGTCAATGGCGCCACTTGACCGGAATCGGTGTAGGTTTTTATTGCATTTTATTATCACTGAATAATACTTTATAGTGAAAATTTATTTAACAAACTCTATTTTCTGTCTTTTCAGATTGAGGAACTTGAAGGTAAGAAAACTTTGCGTTGCTAGATCAGTTTATACATAAAATTATGGTGCTCCCGAAGTATGTGCACCAAGATGGCACACAACATGAACATAGTTTGTGTACCAGGTTAGGGTTATCAGGTTGTGCGCTATCTTGGTGCACATACTTCTGGAGCTCCAAAATTATTTCGAATTGCTTCAATATTTTGACGAAAAGTTTTCAAAAAAAAACACATTTCGAAATATTTCATAATTTATAAAAACGTCGCATTAACGATTCTTTAGGTACCCTGTGGTTTTGCCTGTAATATACTCATTTTATGAGCACTGAATCCAGCCCATACCGGAAAACATAAGACCAAAGAATCTAACAATTATTCAAAGCAGGTCCAATACTCAAAAATATTCAAATGAATACGACAGAGCACTGCACGAATAGAAAAACTATTCGGGAGCGATTAAAAATGCTTGTTTGTGTTGGTAGCCGTCCTAGTACCACAGTAAGGAATACCGTATAGCAAAAAAATGATTGAGTATTATTCTCACTTATAAAAATGTTAGATATGGTGTTTTAAATAAATTTAGAATAATATGAGGGGTATTCATATAGAAGTCCCAAAATTATACCCATGTTTTATTCCATTTTACAATTTTTGTAGAAAAACTCCTAAATGACAAAGAGCTTTTTGATTATATCAGTAAACAACTTGAAAACAACGTGGAAGTTAACATAAATACTGCAGTCACAACTCAAGATTCTTCAGGTATTTCAATAGTTATTTTTTAAAATCGTGTCATAAAAAGATCACAAAAATTTGTTTTTCAGAAGCAAAAAGCTCAATTCAATGAAAAATAACTTCTATTATTGGTTTAGTATTCAGAAGTTTTTCGCTTGAGATTTGCGATGCGAATTTAGTTTAGTATTTCTTTACATACTATAACCAAAATTTATGAAGTAATCAAGGAAAAAAGAAGTAAATATATTGAATGAGGTACTCTTCCGCGATTTGGTTGATGAGGAGAAATGGTTGCTTGTCTTTTGTGCAAATGTCCCGAGCAATGGAGTCTTTTATGCGATATATCATGGTTCATATTGATTATAACTCCGAAAATGAATCATACACAATCAATTAAAGGAGTCATAAATTCAGTATTACTTTTGCCAATACAAAAATTAACACGTACTTGAGTCTTTTGTGTACTGAAATGTAGGAGGTATGAAATTTGCAAGGCAACAACCCGTTATCCTAACGAAGCGTGAAGCTCTCCTTTTCCTAATCGGAGTCTCTCAAATGTCTGACATTTAATTACTCAGTAATCAGTATTGTATTGTTCCACCATTCTGAAAACACACTATACATACAAATTATGAGAAAATAATTTCAGGGTGAGGGGAGACACGGAAAACCAATATTGGTTATCGAGCAGCGGCGGAATAATAAATAGAGGGCTCTAACTATATATGTTATTTGAAAAAATACCAAATACGTCAATGAGACAAGCAGTCGTACATTTCGACTAAGAAAAGACTCCGCGCACTACAATTTAGGTAACAGTGGATATAGCAGTGTTGAGGCATTCTCGCAAAGAAAGAATTGGCCTCATAAAGAACATTGTAAGTTAGATTGTGTATGTCCCTGAGTAAAATCAAGCAAAAATTTCCTCAATAACTTGCATGTAGGTTATGATACAACTTCAGGTACTCCTGAAGTATGCGTACCAAGGTGGCGAACACCGGAACGTAGTATGTGTACCAGGTTAAGGTGTCCGCCATCTTGGTACGCATACTTCTTCCCAACTTTATACACTCGAGTTCAATGTATGAATATTTAATTATTTCTTTGCAGAAACTATTTTAACAAAAAATGGCTTCCTCAAGGAATGTAACGGTCTTTGGTATAAGTACTTCGAGGGAAAAAAAACATTCAAACTAGCGGTTAGCCAATGCGAACAATATGAAGGCCGACTCATCTCGACTGGATATCGTGATTTTGATATTCGAAGGTGATATTTAGAGATACGAGAATTAATGCTGGAATTGATCAATTTGGCCAGCTATTTACTCTAGGTTTGGCCAATATTGCACAAAATCTACCATCTTGGTATCGTATAAAACTGATTTAATTAATAAAATTTTGATTTTGGGGAGACATTTCATGATATTTCATCAAGGTGAACACGCCAGTTGATGTTGACAAGTACGCTTTCTTCTCAGTTTTTGTATAATCAGGCATTTATCAATCATAATTTCTTTTTTTTTTCAAAGTAATTTTTTACCGAGTTCTGTAATGTTTATTGTAATATTTCTTAGGTCTTTGCTTCAAACTATCCGTGGCAAGAATTCGACTTCCAGATTCTGGATTGGACTACGCAGAGACAACATAAATACGAGTTTGTGGAATTGGAGTGACGGTATTCAAGCAACAAATACATCAGATATATGGATAGCTAGGGAACCAAACAACAGATATGGTGAATTGTGTGGGATGAATAAATCTTCTGTATCGAAAAATCAAACAGTTAACGACTTATCGTGCAACGAGGAACTTGCATATTTCTGCGAAGTAGAAATTAAGTAGGATTGGTCAAATAGAAGTACCTACGTCGGTGTCTGCAGTTCTTGGAACTGCTGAATGAATAACATACGTCTCTCTGGTCTCTGTGACAAGATATAAGTTACTTGTACTTTTTGTCCTATTTCGTGTTGATTTTATTCCCTCAATGACTATGGTTCGACGAGCATGTTTTATTGAACTTCTCCGGGTATCTATAGTTTATTTCCTGGACACTGGCCAACCAGGCGATAACGAGATAACAAAAATGCCACAAAGGAAATAGCGAGAACAATTTTCCAATTAGATCATAGGGATTTTCATTGTTGTATCAATGAATATAATGGCTATAGGCCTAATAAAGTGCAGAAGTGGGTGTTACATTGACTCATTACATTTCTCAACAAACGGTTATACCTGAATACGCAATATCTGAACTCATTTACGTTTTACATTGACGTAATACATTTGTCGGATCTTTTGTACATAGCCCTCGCAAAAAAACACTCCCGCCAACACTGAAATTAAGAAAATTAGTAATTATCTAGTCAGAGTTAGGAATGCAGATTGCGTCGAAAATACAAATTCTTCATAAACCTAACCCCAACTAGATAGTTACTAATTTGTAATTCTAATACGTGGCAGGGAGTTTTTCTCCCAAATATAACATTTTTGCATTAGTGGAGGGCTCTGTAAATAAGATCCCATTTTTCTTTATGATTGTCATTAATGATCAGATCTGATGGTTGGTGCATACATTCGCAATGTTTGTGGTTATTATGCTTACTAATCTCAAATTTATCACTGATTTACGTGGGTACTTGAAAATGCCTCATGATTCATCGCGATTGTCTTTGTCAAATGTGTGGTTTTTTGTGACGCACTATAACTCACAGTGCAGACCATAACACATTGCTTTAATGGTGCAATATAATGTCTAATGACATCATTTCAGGAACTTGATGTCAAAATCATGCTGAAAAAAAAATTGACACACACGTTGAACCTTCAGGTAATGATATAAAACCGCATCTTTGTTTCCAATATACTATTTCTAAGAGACTTATATATCACACAACATCATATGTTGTGTAATGAATAACAATTATAGCTCATGCGGGTCTTAGAATACAGTTTTGGTTGCATTAGAAAAAAGTTTCCTTGTTTTAAGCCGTTAAAATACCTTACCTTACCTATTCCCTATCAATTTACATTTATACTACATATCAATCTTTGTTGTCGTGCTATGAAAATTGTGAAATTCCATAATTTTTTGCTTTTGCTAATTCTGACGGAATAAGGTATTTTCAGCGATGGACTATACAGAAATGCAAATTTTATTTTTATTTTACAAATAAACCTTGTCCCTCTTGAAACGCCAGCAAGACCTGAATTTTGATTTTACCCATTTTCGTTGCATATGGGGAGTCAGTCCCCTTGTATCAAATTCTCGAGTCGTATCTTGGTGGAATTAAGATTAAATTTTATTTTACATTTTTCTCTTCCTAATTTCTAATTGAACATATTATTTATGCTTGTTGTAATCGTGTTAAATTCTTGCAAGAAATCAACACATTTTCCTTTTATGTCCTTTTATTTTCGTATGCAAAAAGTGTTATTTAGAAATAAGCTTCATTTGAAATCGGTGATCCATCCTCATGTCTTGCAGACTGGCGTAGATCGAACGGTGTATGTGCATGATGAAGTTTATTCTCAATATGATAATCTAGTATGAAAAGTCAATCAAAATCCATAAATTTGATATATTTACTATTGAAGCGGAACAGAACCTTTCACAACCCATTCAGTAAAGACAGGAAACGGCGCGTAAGGAAGCCAACTTGAATAATCTTTGACATTTGGTCACCGGGTGCGGGCATATTTTTAGTCGGCTATGGATCTGTGTTAACCATTTAGAAAAATAAGCACGTGTTCTAGGCACCAGGTGGAAGGGGGCACCACAGAAATTAGTACTCATGTAGTATGTGAACCAAGATGGCTGACATAGGAACGTAGTATGTGTACACGTACGTAGTATGTGTTTCCATAGTCGAACTTTTAATGGCCCCTCAGTGTTTTATGAAATGATTCGAGTTGATCTGACGACCTAATATTGGCCAGCTTAAAATAAATTTTTGCTTATTTCTTATTTACAAGCATCATCTTATGATGACGTTGACGCTTTTTAAAAGTATTGAAAACTACGGACAAATGCTATTCAAATATTACTGTGTCCATTACTGTTAAAAAGCGTCAGTCGTTATACGTTTAAATAGTATTTCGCGCTAACTTCTCTTCTTTTCTTTTTTCTTCGTATATCGTGTAAAACTGACTTTTTCTCTGGTTGGGAAAAATGATCTTTACTTGATGGCATTATATGGACACATAAATTATACTTAACACCAATCGATGGAAAATCAACTGTGTATCTGTACCTGCTTGCTTTGATTTCAAACTAATTTTAATGTGTGCTTGGAAATGGCGTAGCGTGTGTGCACTATTTTGAGATATTTTGTTTAGATCAGTGGTTCTCAAAAGTACAATCGTCGAGTGTGTAAACATTCTAACCAGAAGAGAGAATCCCGTAGTTAACAGTTGAAGATTTCAGAAGTTACTTTCTATCGGAGTATTACATTAGGACAATAGCTGTTGTCGAACTGTTGCAATTCACTTTAAAATAACACTACTGCGACGAATCTTATTTATAGTATTCTATATCGTACTTTATGCTTCGAATTTTTCATAAAATGTTGCTTATAATAGACATTGTGAAATAGATTGTTTTAACATCTTAGGCAGTGGTTCACATACCGGGACACGCGGGCCAATCACGGCCCGCCGAAATCAAATAGAACAGTTTAAGGCTTGATGTTTTTACCTTTTGCGTTCTAGATAACGCTAATTGATATGAAAGTTTATGCACGTGTTTATGTGTAACAAATCAATATTATCGGTATTTTAAATACCGTTACCGGTATCGGCCCCTTGCGGGCGCAACAAAAAATATCCTTCCTATATTTTAGGTTTAGGTTGTTGATGGGGGCCAGATGCTTCCAGTCACTTCTTTGCTCTTGTTTTTTTGTTGGCCTTAGCTGCTGCCTTGGTTTTTTTTCACATTTCCAGCCTTTTTGGTAGTTTCCTTGATGACTCCGATAGCAACAGTCTGTCGCTTGTCGTGGACAGCGTAACGACCAAGCAGAGGGTAATTCTTGAACGCTTCGACACACATTGGTTTGCTTGGAACAAGTCTGACCATAGCTGCGTCACCAGATTTCAAAAATTTTGATTCAGCTTCCAGTACCTTACCAGATCTTCTGTCCATCTTCTCTTTCAACTCTGCAAACTTGCACGCAATGTGCGCTGTATGACAATTTAGCACAGGTGCGTTTCGTTCGCGCGACGCCAAATGACCAAGAAAAAATTCACGACGCACTTATTTATACTAATAAATAAAACTCAATTTTGTGATCGTTAATGTATACTTTATGCTATTTAAAGTTCACAAACATGCAGGTCTAATGAACAAAAGCAATGTCAACTTTGGGAACCGCTGCCATAAGCTTTGATATGAATTTGATATTATAAATTTTATAAAACAATATACTGTTATATATTAGCCTACATAGCTCAATAGTATTCGTATCCGCAGAAGCATCAAGTTCAGCATTTTAAAAATAACTGCATGAAGACCGAATAGGAAACAAAGGATATACAACGTATGTATTTGAGTATTAATTTTATATACCATATTAACAGTGAATAGATGCTGTCGATCGATCAAAAGATGTTATACAATATTCGAATATATATTTTGCGGCAGAGACTAATTATTCCTTGTATTACTCGTACTGGATAGCGCTTCCTTGTACGATGCAGTGCTTATGCATACACGGTGGGCGAGTATGAGGCAATGCTGCGATTTTATACGACTCGTGCATGGCATGCTTAACATACGACTAAAATGAAACAAAATATCGGTGATTTCCCAAATTAGTCAGCGCTTAGGTTGCTTGATATGACGCATTTCAAAGGTATATATGATGGAGACGCTCAAGTCTAATTCGATAGTTTTGCGTTTTGACAGCAATTACAACGATGGAAGCGAAAACATTGTGTTGTTTTCTTCTGTTCCTGTTACCTGTGGGTAAGTTATGGTTATATTTGATGGCAATGCATTAGTGATTTTTTGTGTGGTTTAAGCATGGTGGTCACTAGAAAAATAGAAAATTTGCCAAACAGCTATTTATTTTCACAAAGAACAACTTTCACAAAGTTTTAAAAAATCATATATATGTTATATTACACTCATAGAGGCTCAAAATGTTGTCCGTGCACTTCAAAGCAGAGGGTTAACCTGAAAGTCCGAGCTCGTGTAGCGTTTAGAAGGTTAACTTGTGGGATATATAGCTGGTGTGGCATATATAAATAAATATCTGTTTGACAACTTTTCTATCGACCACCTTGTATGTTAGTATGTGAATAATAAAACGCTCTATATCGTATGCGTGAAACCAGGTGAAATCTTAGGTGAGGTAAACAGTGGTGGTATTCAGTTGGTCCGTTCTTGGGATGCCGTTTCAGCTAACCCGCCCTTATTTGGGGGGGGGGGGGGGGGGGCGTAGCAATTCGTAACGTGCACTGCAGGTGACAGTAGCATTATATTTGGCGTTTTAAAGGTTGTGTATTAGATTTTTATCGTAATGTTAATGTCGCTTAAGTAGTAGCATGTATACCTTTTCTGAAATAGAGGAAACCTGTTGTTAGTAAGTTCGATACAAAAAAGAAACTGTTTTCTAAATTTTGATACACAATGTCGACATGGCAGTAAAACACCGTAGCGTCTGGGCAGTGAGACATACAATTTCATTCAGACATGTAATACTTTTTTAGGCATGCACGGAAATTGGTACCTCTGTAGTGTGTGTACCAGGTTAGGAATAGGGCATAATTTTAGTCCGATTTTTCTTATTTTAGTTCTGTTACGAGTTTGGGGACTTTCTGAGTTAGCCAAGTAAATATACCCCCTACCCATAAATTTCAGTCCCTTTACACAACTTGATGTAAAATAGGCGTACAAAATTACTTCCCTCCATATTGGTACACGCACTTCTGGAGCGCCCGGAAATGTTTCTAATATTCCGGTATAAAATCATATTTTGTGAAGTTTTGTTGCTTCATGCCAAGAACTTTGAAGCTCACTCGTTCTATGTATACGGACAGATAGGCACGTGTCTCGTATTAAATAAAACCTAACAAGAAGTAAAACCTTTTCTCCAGGCACATTATCAGCAAAAACGGACACCTGCGAATCGGGAGAAGAAAATTGTAGACAGTATGAATTCTCTACGGTGAGCAATTTTATTTATTCCTCAGTCATGTCAAATATTCTTCGTATGAAATTGCTGAAAATATAGAAAGAGGTATCCAAGTACTAACGTCAAAAAATAGTAAATTTAAGTATGAGTTTGGCGTTATTGTGAGTGGAGTCGGCGGGTTGCATTTCCTAAAGAGAAAAATTAACATTTTCGTGAAAAAACGTTGTTATGGAGACGGAAGCGGGAGTCGCAGTCAATTTTATTTACCGGGATTAAGTTGGTGTTGAAATTTTGTGTTAATGGCGCCACTTGACCGGAGTCGGTGTAGGTTTTTATTGCATTTTATTATCACTGAATAATACTTTATAGTGAAAATTTATTTAACAAACTCTATTTTCTGTCTTTTCAGATTGAGGAACTTGAGGGTAAGAAAACTTTGCGTTGCTAGATCAGTTTATACATATGGTGCACCAAGATGGCACACAACATGAACATAGTATGTGTACCAGGTTAGGGTTATCAGGTTGTGCGCTATCTTGGTGCACATACTTCTGGAGCTCCAAAATTATTTCGAAATGCTTCAATATTTTGACGAAAAGTTTTCAAAAGAAAACACATTTTGAAATATTTCATAATTTATAAAAACGTCGCATTAACGATTCTTTAGGTACCCTGTGGTTTTGCCTGTAATATACTCATTTTATGAGAACTGAATCCAGCCCATACCGGTAAATATAAGACCAAAGAATCTAACAATTATTCAAAGCAGGTCCAATACTCAAAAATTTTCAAATGAATACGACAGAGCACTGCACGAATAGAAAAACTATTCGGGAGCGATTAAAAATGCTTGTTTGTGTTGGTAGCAGTCCTAGTACCACAGTAAGGAATACCGTATAGCAAAAAAATGATTGAGTATTATGTATTCTCACTTATAAAAATGTTAGATATGGTGTTTTAAATAAATTTAGAATAATATGAGGGGTATTCATATAGAAGTCCCAAAATTATACCCATGTTTTATTCCTTTTTACAATTTTTGTAGAAAAACTCGTAAATGACAAAGAGCTTTTTGAATATCTCAGTAAACAACTTGAAAACAACGTGGAAGTTAACATAAATACTGCAGTCTTCAGGTATTTCAATAGTTATTTTTTAAAATCGTGTCATAAAAAGATCACAAAAATTTGTTTTTCAGAAGCAAAAAGCTCAATTCAATGAAAAATAACTTCTATTATTGGTTTAGTATTCAGAAGTTTTTCGCTTGAGATTTGCGATGCGAATTTAGTTTAGTATTTCTTTACATACTATAACCAAAATTTATGAAGTAATCAAGGAAAAAAGAAGTAAATATATTGAATGAGGTACTCTTCCGCGATTTGGTTGATGAGGAGAAATGGTTGCATGTCTTTTGTGCAAATGTCCCGAGCAATGGAGTCTTTTATGCGATATATCATGGTTCATATTGATTATAACTCCGAAAATGAATCATACACAATCAATTAAAGGAGTCATAAATTCAGTATTACTTTTGCCAATACAAAAATTAACACGTACTTGAGTCTTTTGTGTACTGAAATGTAGGAGGTATGAAATTTGCAAGGCAACAACCCGTTATCCTAACGAAGCGTGAAGCTCTCCTTTTCCTAATCGGAGTCTCTCAAATGTCTGACATTTAATTACTCAGTAATCAGTATTGTATTGTTCCACCATTCTGAAAACACACTATACATACAAATTATGAGAAAATAATTTCAGGGTGAGGGGAGACACGGAAAACCAATATTGGTTATCGAGCAGCGGCGGAATAATAAATAGAGGGCTCTAACTATATATGTTATTTGAAAAAATACCAAATACGTCAATGAGACAAGCAGTCGTACATTTCGACTAAGAAAAGACTCCGCGCACTACAATTTAGGTAACAGTGGATATAGCAGTGTTGAGGCATTCTCGCAAAGAAAGAATTGGCCTCATAAAGAACATTGTAAGTTAGATTGTGTATGTCCCTGAGTAAAATCAAGCAAAAATTTCCTCAATAACTTGCTTGTAGGTTATGATACAACTTCAGGTACTCCTGAAGTATGCGTACCAAGGTGGCGAACACCGGAACGTAGTATGTGTACCAGGTTAAGGTGTCCGCCATCTTGGTACGCATACTTCTTCCCAACTTTATACACTTGAGTTCAATGTATGAATATTTAATCATTTCTTTGCAGAAACTATTTTAACAAAAAATGGCTTCCTCAAGGAATGTAACGGTCTTTGGTATAAGTACTTCGAAGGAAAAAAAACATTCAAACTAGCGGTTAGCCAATGCGAACAATATGAAGGCCGACTCATCTCGACTGGATATCGTGATTTTGATATTCGAAGGTGATATTTAGAGATACGAGAATTAATGCTGGAATTGATCAATTTGGCCAGCTATTTACTCTAGGTTTGGCCAATATTGCACAAAATCTACCATCTTGGTATCGTATAAAACTGATTTAATTAATAAAATTTTGATTTTGGGGAGACATTTCATGATATTTCATCAAGGTGAACACGCCAGTTGATGTTGACAAGTACGCTTTCTTCTCAGTTTTTGTATAATCAGGCATTTATCAATCATAATTTCTTTTTTTTTTCCAAAGTAATTTTTTACCGAGTTCTGTAATGTTTATTATAATATTTCTTAGGTCTTTGCTTCAAACTATTCGTGGCAAGAATTCGACTTCCAGATTCTGGATTGGACTACGCAGAGACAACATAAATACGAGTTTGTGGAATTGGAGTGACGGTATTCAAGCAACAAATACATCAGATATATGGATAGCTAGGGAACCAAACAACAGATATGGTGAATTGTGTGGGATGAATAAATCTTCTGTATCGAAAAATCAAACAGTTAACGACTTATCGTGCAACGAGGAACTTGCATATTTCTGCGAAGTAGAAATTAAGTAGGATTGGTCAAATAGAAGTACCTACGTCGGTGTCTGCAGTTCTTGGAACTGCTGAATGAATAACATACGTCTCTCTGGTCTCTGTGACAAGATATAAGTTACTTGTACTTTTTGTCCTATTCCGTGTTGATTTTATTCCCTCAATGACTATGGTTCGACGAGCATGTTTTATTGAACTTCTCCGGGTATCTATAGTTTATTTCCTGGACACTGGCCAACCAGGCGATAACGAGATAACAAAAATGTCACAAAGGAAATGGCGAGAACAATTTTCCAATTAGATCATAGGGATTTTCATTGTTGTATCAATGAATATAATGGCTATAGGCCTAATAAAGTGCAGAAGTGGGTGTTACATTGACTCATTACATTTCTCAACAAACGGTTATACCTGAATACGCAATATCTGAACTCATTTACGTTTTACATTGACGTAATACATTTGTCGGATCTTTTGTACATAGCCCTCGCAAAAAAACACTCCCGCCAACACTGAAATTAAGAAAATTAGTAATTATCTAGTCAGGGTTAGGAATGCAGATTGCGTCGAAAATACAAATTCTTCATAAACCTAACCCCAACTAGATAGTTACTAATTTGTAATTCTAATACGTGGCAGCGAGTTTTTCTCTCAAATTTCACAGTTTCGCATTAGTGGTGAGGGCTTTGTACAAAAGATCCCATCCCAATGATCTGATGGTTGGTGCATACAGTCGCAATGTCTGTGATGATGCTTACTAATTTTGGATTTACCACTGATTTACGTGGGTACTTGAAAATGCTTGATGACGCATCGCGATTGTCTTTGTCAAATGTGTGGTTTTTTTGTGACGCACTATAACTCACAGTGCAGACCATAGCACATTGCTTTAATGGTGCAATATAATGTCTAATGACATCATTTCATGAACTGCATGTCAAAATTATGCTGAAAAAAAAAATTGACACACACGTTGAACCTTCAGGTAATGATATAAAACCGCATCTTTGTTTCCAATATACTATTTCTAAGAGATTTATAGATCACACAACATCATATGTTGCGTAATAAATAACAATTATAGCTCATGCGGATCTCAGAATACAGTTTTGGTTGCATTATCAATCTTTGTTGTCGTGCTATGAAAATTGTGAAATTCCATAATTTTTCGCTTATGCTTATTCTGACGGAATAAGATATTTTCAGCGATGGACTATACAGAAATGCAAATTTGTTTTTCTTTACAAATAAACCTTGTCCCTCTTGAAACGCCAGCAAGACTTGAATTTTGATTTTACCCATTTTCGTTGCATATGAGGAGTAAGTCCCCTTGTATCGAATTCTCGAGTCGTATCTTGGTGGAATTAAGATTAAATTTTATTTTACATTTTTCTCTTCCTAATTTCTAATTGAACATATTATTTGTTCTTGTTGTAATCGTGTTAAATTATTGCAAGAAATCAACACATTTTCCTTTCATGTTCTTTTTTTTTCGTATGCAAAAAGTGTTATTTAGAAATGAGCTTCATTTGAAATCGGTGATCCATCCTCATGTCTTGCAGACTGGCGTAGATCGAACGGTGTATTTGCATGATGAAGTTTATTCTCAATATGATAATCTAGTATGAAAAGTTAATCAAAATTTATAAAATTCGATATATTTACTATTGAAGTTTGAAGTGGAACAGAACCTTTCACAACCCATTCAGTAAAGACAAGAAACGGCGCGTAAGGAAGCCAACTTGAATAATCTTTGACATTTGGTCACCGGGTGCGGGCGTATTTTTAGTCGGCTATGGATCTGTGTTAACCATTTAGAAAAATAAGCACGTGTTCTAGGCACCAGGTGGAAGGGGGCACCACAAAAATTAGTACTCATGTAGTATGTGAACCAAGATGGCTGACATCGGAACGTAGTATGTGTACACGTACGTAGTATGTGCTTCGATAGTTGAACTTTTAATGGCGCCTCAGTGTTTTATGAAATGATTCGAGTTGATCTGACGACCTAATATTGGCCAGCTTAAAATAAATTTCTGCTTATTTCTTATTTACAAGTATCATCTTATGATGACGATGACGCTTTTCAAAAGTATTGAAACTACGGACAAATGCTATTCAAATATTACTGTGTCCATTACTGTTAAAAAGCGTCAGTCGTTATACGTTTAATTAGTATTTCGCATTAACTTCTCTTCTTTTCTTTTTTCTTCGTATTTCGAGTAAAACTGACTTTTTTTCTGGTTGGGAAAAATGATCTTTACTTGATGGCATTATATGGACACATAAATTATACTTAACATCAATCGATGGAAAATCAACTGTGTATCTGTATCTGCTTGCTTTGATTTCAAACTAATTTTGATGTGTGCTTGAAAATGGCGTAGCGTGTGTGCACTATTTTGAGATATTTTGTTTAGATCAGTGGTTCTCAACCTTTTTCAGTTCGTGGACCGGTAAAATTTCAAAATAAATTTTGCGGATCGGCGGACCAAAAATGTCATGAACACAAAACATAATCAAAAAAATGCAATTACGACAAAAATAGTAGGTACAAAAGAAGACAATTCAATTTAACGAGAAATTTGCTGCTGTCTCTTTGATATTATACGTGTTAAACGCGGTTCTAATGAGGTTTCTACATTGCGAAGTAGAGCGTTGACTTCCACACGATTTCTCTGTTTGGTCTTGATATGAGATTACGTTATAAAGCTTTTGTCACCTAGGTAAGTTTGACAGAAAACCAGCAGTTATTTAATGGCTCTGTCAGTGAGCTCCGCCTCCGGATATTCGTTTTCAAGAGATATCCAAAACTTCGCAGATTTCTCTCCTGTTTTTTTTTTTAATTTTATTTGTGTGTATTATTTATGGGAAATTGAAATAAACTTACTTACCTACAATTCGATTTGTTGCGACTCCAAACACGTGATTAATCTGAGGTAATGCATTAGTTACTAAATGAAGCTAGACTGAAGTCAGTGGTGATCAACGACTAACATACCAGTGGTGATAGCATATAATTCTCACTGGGACGAGCGAAAAGGTCAGTAAATAGGGTCAACGGCGGTCAGTGAGTGTGTCACTTCGGTTAGCGACTCCGGTTTTGTATTGCACAGCGCTCAGCGCGAAACATGAATATGTTCGAATTATTTGGGTTTCTGGGATAGTTGGAAGCGGTAGACTCAGAGAGTATGTTAAGTCTCTTTGGTGTGTGTCCAACGACTGAACGAGGCGCATGTCCTGATTATTCGATAATATAATATCGATAATTTTTTTTTTTTAACAATCATTTTATTGTTATGCTGATTATGGAGTCGAAATAAACTCATAACTTACTTATAATATCTAATTTGTGTTTTTTCAGTATCAGAAAAAATAACGTCAGCGTATTCAGACTTAATACTGTAATACCGGTATGACAGTATGATGTGTGGCAAGTACCTACCGTTATTTTTATTTTTTCTATTATTATTATTTTTGTTATCTATATAATTTATGGAATTGCTGTACGTTTTAAGGCTGATCTAAAGTACTGTTTGCTCTCCTGATTCGTATGTATGCTTATTTGCCTAAAAAATTTAACAGTAGCCTATCTGCATACCGTAACTTACTGCAGTACTGACCCAAACATAATGATATTCGGGTCTCGTGTAGTTTCGTACCTAACGTAGACTACTTCTAGTAGGCGTAGCATAACAATTTTTTGACATGTCAATCCTAACCCTCACCTGACTACGCCATTCAAAAATTACGTGACTACGACGTCACAATCACATCATAGAGCTTGCCAAATACTTCTACGATCGCCCGAAATGGCATCGGCGCCGACGATATAGAACTGACTAACGTCAGCGATTTCTCTTCTATCGGGATCATTGCGACGAGAAAACGAGAGAAATGGCTGTTCAATTTCGGGTTCTCGTCTGCGCGTCTTGGATGACAGTTCGCATAGTTTGAAGGGCTCTATTATGTCACTGTGATGTCGTAGTGACGTAACTTTTGGATGGTGTGGTCAAGTGGGGGTTAGGATTGACACATGAAAAAATTGTTATGCTACGCCTCCTAGAAGTACGTTAGGTAAGAAACTACATGAGACCCTCGTATTCCAGTATTCAGTTTTTATTTAACTTGTTTTATCAATCATTTTATCGGCGCATGTTCATTTGCATATGTTATTCCTAACCCCCACCAGACTACCTCATCCAAAAATTATGTCACTACAACATTACAATCACGCCATAGACAGATAGGGTGGCTTACCCACTTTGCGGCCATGACCTATCTGCGACCATCAACTTCATCGATTCAATTAATGCTGAAAAAATCAACGAACCGCAACGATATTTCTCACGCGTTATCGTCCACTTAGGGTGGAGATCAAAAAGGTAGTTTAACCTCGAATCGGAGTTTAACTTTGGATCGGCGGTTTAAGTCCGGTTCAAAAAGGTGGTTTAACTTTCTGTGACGTAAATCTCGACTTAAAATCGGCGATTTTTTAAACCTGGTCTGGAGGTGGTTTAACTCGGTTTGTCGAGTGCATTTGGATTGCGGCGCTTGTCGTGTTGGATGTTATCGCTTACCGTACAATCTATATTGTATTCTGGAGCGACAAAAGGAGTAGCAGGGAGCTCTGTACAAGCGTCACGACGAATAAATAATTGTATACCTGTACCACGAGGCTGCGATATGTAGCATTTGCGGTGGTACCGTACCTGTGCTGTACCTAGTACCGGTACCGTACCTACCGTACCGTACTACGCCCGAACAAAATTATTTACAACGTGGAATTGGGCTATACTATAATAAATCTAGTAAAGTGAATACATACCCAGCGTATTGATACATTTCTGTATTTGCGTTTTTTAATTTTCTTAACAGTTTTTGTGAAGATTTATTTTAGCTTAGATTGTAGACTACAGTTATACCAGTAGCCTATTGCTATATGGGTTCTTGTCATAAACAGACATAGGGCCCAGTATTTTAGTATAGTTTCGTTGATAAGCAGTTGCGCAGTGGTACCGCCGAACAGATACTCCTAGTCCTAATACAGTAATATAAACTTCAAAATGTTTTAACAAAAATGATATATTTTCAGATATTTAGATCTACCAGTGCCCAAAAGATTCCTTTTAATTATATTTTGTGTATGAGCAGAACTGAGATTTACCTACGATATCCATGTATCACTCACTACTGCACTGTGCCCCGGTGTATGTATCTTGTCATCGGCTAATTCACAAGTCTGCAAGTTCCCGAAGTACCGGTAGATAGCAGAAGGTTGACTGGATATTTTGATGTACACCAATGTAAAATCATATTGCATGTTATTGGTATGCTGTTTGCACAGATGTACGATATTTATGGTATTAATGATTCTGACTCTTGCTATATAAAATGAAACTAGAATATTGTAGTACCGTGACCATGAATTTCACCAAATGCTAGATTGCAGGAATGAGTATATTGATAACTATATATTGCCAATAACTTATCATGAATGCAATAGTTCATGCTATCATAACATTTCATTAATGTAACATTGTTTTCTGATTTTTCATTTATTTTTACAGCTGTTTCAAATCAAGTAAACTGTCTGAGTGCCATGATGATGATCAATTTCATCAGCTCTATTGGAAGAGCAAATTTGTGAGTTTGTCACTATTTAAATGTCATATTATTTGTATGTAAACTGTCCTAAATTCATGTTCGTATCAGCCTCTTTAGTATCAGCTGTTAAATTAAAATTATTTTTAGTTTGTGTGTATAATCTGTATTATTCGTATAATGTGAGGATACTTTTATCAAGGGAAATTTCTTATTGGTATTGTCCCAGATATGTTCAAGTAACCGAGATGTGACAAACTTTTCAAAATCATTCCCATTAGTCATTTCTTGTTACATGCAGGCAAAACTAGTGTCACATGATTTTAGAGTAGAGCAAAGTTGTTCGACATGCAATCACAATCGAAGACAAAAGAGGCTTCATTTAATATCTGAAAACTAAAAATACTCTACTGTTTTACTTCTCCAAATTCATATAATTAAAGATACATTGGATTTTATATAATTCAAAAATATCATTTCAGAATACAAAAAAATCTGTACAAATTCGAATACAAATTATTCGGTTTTAGTCATTGCCTAGGTCGAATTTGCTTCTTCAATATCTAGCGCACTTCATCAATATACTATCTTTAACCCTGTATTTTCATTTATACTGTTCAGGTCATGAAGACAAACAACTGTTATGGATAGGATTATAGTAAAAGTGTTGTCAAGTCAAGGTTGCAGCAGTGCTTTATTTTACGACTTCGTGTCCAACAAATATGTGGAACCCGCCTTTGTGTCCAACAAATATGTGGAACCCGGTTAACTTAAGCTTAACAAACAAATAATTCTTGCATGCTGAAACATTTGAAGCAAACGTAGTTATGTCGATTTTTCGTCACTTGGCGAGTCTTTCGCAGAAGAAATAAATAAAACTTTCAAAACGCAACGAAAGCAACAACTATGATTGCACCTGTGTCTGTGTGCATCTGTCTCAAAGCTGTAGAGCCAGGATAAAATTTAGCACCTCTTCCGAATTGATTCCATACTTTTTCCATATCTTGAATGTCAGTACATTTTAGCAGTCATTTGAACAAATGAATATTAGTTATTTTTGCAATACAAATTTTCAAAATAATATGATGTTAAATATGTAGAAGCCTATGGCCCAGAACTTGCCAAGGATAGGTTTTCAGCTGAAGTGTGTTCATTTCGTCTGTTTTCACTCTAAGTAGGATGTGGGTTCTATAATTGAAGTCTTTTTGTTGTTACGCTGAGGTTTAGGGAGAAAATATTAGATTCAATTGGTGTTGTAGACCAGGGTCGTCCAACTCGTGGCCCTTAGGCCATATGTAGAAGCATTTCTAGGTGTTTGCAAAAATAGCCTGTCAAGACAGACCATACATAACTCGTCTTGTTGAAGAGCTTGGGAATTCTATTGCGAGAATTTTAATCGCAAAAGCGGGATATTTTTTATTGTATTCCTTGGCGCTTGAGGAAGCGCTGACATTAAGTTTACTGCTCAGTTGGTGACTTGCTATCTTTTTGCAGGTAGTTAACGATCATATAAAATTACCGTGGAGACCGCAGCCATTGCCCCTGTTAAGGGTTTGACTAGAGGCATTGATTTTTCGACAGCTGTGATCTTGTCTTTGGCTAAACTTTCGGGAATAACCACTGATGGCGACCCGTCAATGGTTGGAAAACAACAGTTTTATTGTTCTAATAATTGTAAAAAATTGATGTGAGGGTATTTTTTTATTATTAACCTGTGGTAGTGTAGCAAAACTAGATCATAACTACCATGTCAATTGGCCCGCGCAATTATTAATGAATTACATGTGATGTGGCCCTTAGACCAAAAAGGTTAGCCGACCCTGTTGTAGTTGTAGACTGTACCAGTAGTGGGAAGAATTCTATTTATGATAAAGTGTTATTATTTTGATATTTCGTGTAATGCGCGTCAGCTCTTCGTAGTTCTACCGCCCAGCTTGTTTTGCTTCGGCAAAATCAACGAAATACATCAAAAACCGACTTTGCAAAGACAGCAAATTACAACAAAATTGGGTTCGCGTTGTCATCGCCCTGGGAATACGGGGTCAAAGAGCAACATGCCACGACGTTTTAAAGAAATGCCTCGTGGCGTCGGACTTAAACCAGGATTAGTTAAGTAACCGCTAAACTAGGTTTTTGATCTCCGGTTAACTATCGAAGTTAAACCGAGTTTAACTAACCCGAGATTAGTCTCAATACAAGTTTAAGTTAAGTGAGGTTTTTGATCTCCACCCTTATCCCTCGTAGCTCTGCGAAATTACACTAAAATGCGGCCACAAATAAAAAAGTTACGACCGAAAACCTGACCGAAGAAAATAAACGGACCATTTTACCATGTCACCAACTACTCATTGTTCCTTTAAAAAAGCTTGAAAATCCATACAAATATAAGAGATAAAGAGATGAAACTTGGCAGGTGGGTAGAGTTGTGTTTCTTTGAACCATCTTTAAAGTTTCGCGTTTCTACATTCAAAAGAGGGGAAGTAGGGGGGTGCGCATTTCCAATACGTCAATAATATCTTTGTCAACTAATTTGCGACCACCATGTTTTTGTCTGTTTGATTGCTATGATGTGGTGCTTTGTTTATAATTTGAAGAATTTTGTTCGAAATAACCGTGTTCTTAAAATATATGATGGTCAGAAATGCAATTAGAAGCCCATTTTTTCACGCATCGCTGCGTATGCCCTAGTCTCGACGCAGCAGAAACGATGTTCAAGGCTTGAAATCCGTGATCGCACACTGGTCGTTCGGTCGCAAATACGTCTTCAGAGTGTCGTACTTTGGTGGTTTGTATAGCTTCAACCCCTGGTCGTAGAAAGTTAATTCAGCGTGTAGAATAAATGCCAATGCACCTACGGTGAAAAAATTAACGTGTTAGAAATATTGGTTTTTGTTTTATAGTCGTTTGAATGAATCGTCCGCAGACTGGCTACACCACCCTAGAGCTTGCTAAAGAATAGCTACGATGGCATGAAATGGCATTTCCGCCCACGAAACTAACTGGCTTATGTCAGAGATCTTTCACACATCGGGATCGTTACGACGAGAAAGCGAAAGAAATAGCTTGCTTGATTTTTCAGTGATCGTCTGCACGTTTTAGATGACAATCCGTATAATTCTGTAATTTGATGGACCTTGTTTCGTCACTGTGACGTTGTAGTGAAGTAATTTTTTGATGACGAGGTCCTGTAGTCAGGTGGGGGTTAGAAATGACATATGCCAAAATGGTCAACATACATGGTAGGATATCTACCCAAACTTACCGGAACGAACCTGTAGATATCTTCTAAAGGTCATTTATTAAACCTCCAGGCCATTTTCCAGTTAAAACAGCAAACTTGTGGCAATAATATGTTTTTTCGATTACCGAAATCGACCCTGAATAACTGAAACGAAGCAGAATTTCCGTGTTTAGTCTACCTACCATCGCGACAAATGTCTGAATGCCGGTTTTCAGAACCAGCCATACTGGATATCATTTTGTCACGATTCAAATCAAATTGTCTTGTCATCTCTCTGCGGTCATTTTTTATCCTTCAGGTTTTTGATCATTTTTCAGACATGATCAATACTGCAATATCAGTTTTATGCGAGTTCTGGAGATTTTTTTTCTTTTTCACAACATAGGTCTAACTGTATAAATCTAGTTAATAGTTAATAGAATGAGGCGAAGTTTTGCACCAAGTCGAATAGTAAAGCAAGAAGTTGAATATTCAGATGAAAATAACAAGTCAACATTGACTAAACGGAAAAGTGAAAATGTACCAAACCAACAACCTTGTTTTAAATGTACAAGAAGCCCAATGGCATCTTCAACACTTAAACTATATCGATCGCCTTTTCGTGACCCTTTAGGAACCTTGTCAGTTAATTCGAATTGCAATGATGTCAGCACGTTTCCAGATGCAAATTCACATGAATCTTTTATCAGAGGAATTCTTTCTAAACCCTTCAAAATTCCGATACCCAACTACAAAGGACCAACATTGGGAGGTAAACTTGGACTAAAAAGGCAGTTGCTTCGAAAACCATTACATGACCCATTCGATGAGAACGCTTTAGTATTATTCGAACCACCTGAACTTTCACCCCATGAAGCCTTGAAAGCTGACAAGACCAAGCTCAAAGTGCATGTAGTTGTTGATCCTATACTTTCAAAAGTAAGTATAGAAAAATATTGTATTTGTGTGGCACACATCTTAGATGTACAAAATGACATTGGATAGGATCTCTTTGGTTGTAAATTAAAGTTGACAAGATCCCTCAATCATAATGTTAATCACTCGCAGGCCTATGGCAGTTTGGAGTCGAACTTTGACTTGCTTTTATTGATATTGGTGCCAGGATCCTATCTCCGATATTCCTTTTTCTCATGTCTCTAATTGGTGTTATTATTCTTGCATCAGGCTAAAATTTGGATATGAATAAAAAATGTTTATTTTAAGTTGGAGTCAGAATGATAAACTAAGTCAACATTTTTGTATTCTAGATCAAACCAGTTTTTTATTCTGATTCATAGGTGCTGAGACCTCATCAACGTGAAGGAGTTAAATTTCTTTATGACTGTGTGACAGGGAATCGACTGGAAAATCTTCATGGTTGCATTATGGCTGATGAAATGGGACTTGGAAAAACATTGCAATGTGTTACATTGATCTGGACATTACTTAAGCAGGTGTGGCTTTTATTGATAAACGGCTCGGCATGGCAACACTGATTACCCTGTGTGAGTTCGCAGGTTCGAATCCAGGTTTGGGGATAGTCATGTGTGAAAGGATAGCTGGACTCCTCGCCGTCATAAGGTGGTTCATTTAACCGCTGGGCGGTTACAGCTTCCTCCACCTGCTTTCGAAAACAAGTAACTTGCTACATATACCTACCATGGTAACCTGGAGAGAGGTCGTGGTTCGCCATATGATTGAAGATGTGGAATATCCGGTAGCATTGCTCACTAGATGAAAAAGCATTATAATATCTTCCTATTTCAGTAGGATTTGTTGAATGATAAGGCCCATATATATTTGGAATGCATCATGCAGTGATATTTTTAAAAAGATATTCATTTTTTTCACCATTTGTTAAAATATCCCAACTCATGTGGTCATGCCATTAAGTGAAAAATATACAATCAAGAATCTGACACTTTGAACTTTTGAAGTATCTTTTAATTTAGAGTCCAGATGTGACGCCTCATATTGAAAAAGCAATTGTTGTATCGCCTGCAAGTCTTGTGAAAAATTGGTCAAACGAACTGAAGAAATGGCTTGGGGATAAAGTTTCAGGCATTGCTATCGAATCTGGAAGCAAGAGTGAAATAAGCAGGTACTGGAAGGTTTTTGTCTCCAAAGTATCTGAAAATAGAACTTTTTCTAGTCTGGTAGTTTCGGTAACTAGTACCATAAGCTAGAGACAGAAAGGTGTTTATCTATCATTTCCAAATTATGGTTTTGATTGGAATTACCATTTACCAGTGATATAGTTACTGTGAGCTTTTTACTTTAGGAATATATTGAAATATCTCTATAATGCCTGTCACCATGTAAGATAGCTGAGCCTAGATTTTACTCATTGTAACTTCTAATAAATATATAAAAAACAGTCAAAATTAAAGTCTATGATGATAGATGATATTTTTAGTTAATAATTCCAAATGACACCCTTTTTTGTTCTATATTTTTCAGAAATTTAGAAAATTTCATGTCACAAAGTGGTCGTAGAGCATTTGCTCCTGTTCTATTTATTTCCTATGAAACCTTCAGATTGCATGTCAATGTTCTTTGTAGAGGGCAGATTGGTTTGCTAATCTGTGATGAAGGACACAGGTAAGAATTTTTTTTTATATTTATTCCCAAATGCCTGACCTGCCTATTCACATCGGCACTCAGTGCGCCATACTAAGTGATAGGACTGCTCGTGCTATCGCACCTCCTGCATGGGTTTGCAGATTTGAATCCTATGCCCGGCTGAGAAGCCGTGGCTTGCCATATGATGAAGCAGTCGCCAAGTCTTATTAATATAAATCTATGGGCAACTGTTTATCTATTACAGTATCATGTATATACAAAGACAACTCATTCGCACTTCAAGAAAATAGGCAATCAAATAGAGAATCTACCACCTTGTCGTTGCTAATTTTGACCTTAATTATGTTAAATTTCATCTATCAACTTCAACAAAATATCTGATTTTACAATTCCACTGAATGGGTATAGATATTAGAAATCCCTTCCTTCATATTGTTCATTCTCTCCCTGTTTCAGACTAAAGAATTCGGATAACCTAACGTACACTGCATTGACCAGTATCAAGTGTAAAAGAAGAGTTATTCTATCTGGAACTCCTATTCAAAATGATTTGCTTGAATACTTCAGTCTTGTACATTTTGTTAACGAAGGTTTATTGGGAACTGCTTCAGAGTTTAAGAAAAAGTAGGTTTTCTCTAATTTTTACTTTTTGTTTGTCCAGTAATTTATTCAGGCTGTCGAATTTGCATGTACCCGTAAGAATTTTATTTTTTGAATAGTTAGGAGTTTACATCATTTCTTTATAGAATAGATATGGTCATGACTCATGAGTTATGACCTACTATTAATTTACTAATGTGAATACATCATGGATATTTATTTTCAAATATGAAAAATTGAATATATTCATATATATGAAATTTGTATAATGTAGGAAATAAGTTAAATTCATTTTATTGAAATCATACTCATGAAGCGAAATCAGTGTTTTGTTCTTTGGGTAGTGCATTACCGGTATCAAGTTAAATTTGTATATTTAAAAGTTTAATTTTAAATTTTGTAATCCTTAAATTGTATCATAAGTTTGAGTCTCGCTCCTGCGAAACTGCATTTGTGCTGGAACCGAAGCTGGAACCACAGTTTGAATATGTTGTGGCTGATGATTGTTATTTTTAACCAGCTTCCCACCCTATTTGTTTGCTTATCGTTGAATTCATTTTTGTTTATTTACTAATAAAATTGTTTGTTTTAGATTTGAGTTACCAATACTTCGAGGCCGGGATGCAGATGCAAGTAATAAACATAAAGAACACGGCGAAGAAAAATTGTTGGAACTTGTTGATCTTGTTAATAAATGCATCATCAGGAGAACTTCAGATATTCTGTTCAAGTAAATACTTATATTTTTTAACCTATCACTTGTTTTTTTACCCTGTTTACAAATCGAGGCACCCTGTGCCATCCACTTCTTCTAAGGTATATTAAATAGGGTATACAATGCTGAACTGTCAAAGAATCTATTTCTTCCCAAAAATAGTAGCCCCCTTTGCACAATGCCTTGTTTGAAGCGAACGGCCCATAAATTGAGAAGCTGTTACTTTTGAAAAATATTGCGAAAACGGTCATAGCTATCAGTAGAGGTTCAGCGAGATAAACTTCCAATCCTTCCTCATCGCCTTTGCACTAGTGGTCAGTCAGTCAGTAGTTTATTTTTCACCAAAATGAAAATGCACTTACAGTGAACATAAACTTCAAAAAAGTTCAAAATGACATTCCATGGTGAATGGTGATGCGAAAAACCAAAGTTGGTTATCGAGCAGCGACACCTGTGATAAGAGTCAAACTTTAATACACGTTAAAATAGAAATAAGACGAACAATATATAAATTAATATATCAACTATTAAAGTCCAAAAACCGAATTTGTCACGAAAAAGAGACTCCAGGCACCATCAAGTACGGGAAGGGTAACCGTGGTCAACGAATATAGTGCTAGAATGCTGTAGTAGAACTAAACATATCATACTTTTGTGTTAGTGCGCAGCAGGACTATTGAATTGCATAAAACGTTTATAGTTCGAAAACCTGATGATAACTTTACACATGCTGTATTTGCTGATCTAGTTATTTATTCAGGTGTTGTACCATGATTTCTGGATGTAAAATTTCTACCATGCATATCTTAAATGAATGACTCCTTTCACTTAAGTTTTGTTACACCTTTTTCTCTAGATATCTTCCAGTCAAAACAGAAATAGTTCTCTGTTGTCCATTATCACCTCTTCAACTCAAACTTTATAATGCTTTGGTCAAATCTTCATCTAAACAAATTGATAACACCAGTAGTAAAAAGGGAAATTCTAATGGCCTGACAGCAAAAGGACTAACTGCCATTAATCAATTAAAGAAGGTATGGTATCTGTGATTTCCTTGCAATAATATTTTGTATATTTTTGATTTGATATCGTGCTTCAATAATAGTTGAAAACAAAAATTAATTGGGATATCGAAAATCTGTTGGATATGTGAATGCTTTTGAAATGTTCTTCATCAGTAGTTTATGCTATTTGCTAATATGAAAGATTCGATATGGGTTATTTACGTTTGTTTATTTTGTGTGCATGTTCTTTACAATGTTGAAGTTTAAATTTTCTGATTTATTGATACAAGCCATATTTGGCTGCAACTCTCTCAGACGCATATTACCTATTCCACTCTATTTGATTTTTATATACTTTTATATTACCTTTCTTGTTTGAAGTCCCAGGTAGTTCGTATTCAGGTAGAACTTTTATATTGGCCTTCAACAAAAAGTTCAATATAGGTGGTATAAAGATCTCAATAAAATACTTTGTATGTGAATGTGTCATAACGATTTTGATGTCAAGTCTAATTCCTGGATCTTTATTTGATTTCTAGCTCTGCAATCATCCATCCCTCATTTATGACAAATGTTTGGAACGAGAGGAAGGATACGATGACATGTTGAAACATTTTCCACCATCATTTAATATTAGTACAGTACAGGTAGGCTGTTTCAATTCAAAATAACTGGATATATTTTTTGAAAATGTTTGAAATATGTCATCTTACAATTAGTGAGCATTGCTCGTATATAGGAAAGTCAAAGCGCCGGATCAATTTTTTAAAAAACGCTTAATTCAAATGTTCCCAAACATATTTGATACCTGATAATTTCAGAATTGGATCGGATCTTTTTTCAAATCAAAATCTCAAATACAAGTAGATATGTAATTGTATGTGACTTTTTATTGTAATGGGTTCTGCAGACAAATAAATTACTGAAGTGAAAACATAGAATTTATTACTTAGACAGTTTGCTAAGTATTCTTACACACAATAAGAAACATGTTCCATCAACAATTCATTAGGAAGAAAGCGTGATATGCCAGAATTGCATTTCAAAAATATGGCTTTACAAAAAATAATATTGAGTGATTCACCTCGACCATTGGCAGACAAAAAAGCAGGATGTCAGCGATTCAAAATTTTTGTTTGAACCAATTTGAATAATTTAATATTCAATTTAAAATGCCCAACTTTAATGATAACTGAACCTAGAATTGGGATTGCTTCCTTATATACTTTTCAGGTTCAGGAGGTTCCATATTATAATGTGAAATTAAATCAATAAACACAATTCACTTGAGTTCTTTATGTGAAATATGAAAAGAGGTAAATATGCAATATCGAAAGCGTGTATGATAAGTTTTCAGCAATGCATATTATCCTGTTGCCTGCTATTATTTATGAGAAAAATTATTTTTCCAGCCAGAATTATCAGGGAAACTTCTTCTTGTTGATTATCTTCTGGCGTTGACAAAATCCAGAACGAGCGACAAGTTTGTTCTTGTGTCAAATTATACTCAAACGTTGGATTTATGTGAAAAACTTTTCAGACAAAGAAGGTTGGTATCATAATATATAACGAGGATGTTAAGCAAGAATTGGTCATTTTCTTCATCTGAATTGTTCATCAATGGAGGTGATTTTGAACAACATAATTGTTTTGGTAATACTATAATATCATACGTTGCCTACCAGATGAGCAGGCCCAGAAATCGGCACTCCAAAAGTGTGTGTACCAATATGGAGGTAACTAATCTTGTTCGCCTACTTTACATCAAGTTGTGTAAAGGGACTGAAACTTTTGGACAGGGGGTATATTCATTTGGCTAACACAAACAGTCCCCGAACTCATGATAGAACTAAAAATAAGGAAAATCGAAGTAAAATCATGGCCTAACCCTAACCTGGTACAAATCCTACTGGAGTATCCAGAAATAGGGCATCCAGAATTTGTTGTTAACTAATCAAATTAGGCATTTATGGGAATGAATTTTTAGTATCATGCTTGTGTATGTGGTTTTAATATAATTTATGTTGTTTGCAATTCAGATATCTCTATGTGAGATTAGATGGAAGTATGTCAATTAAGAAGAGATCTAAAGTTGTTGATAAATTCAATGATCCGTCAAGTCCAGAATACATTTTCATGCTCAGCAGTAAAGCTGGAGGGTATGTTTAAACCGTACATTAAATTTTTAGACAAAGCTTATGAAAAATTTCGCTTTTGCTCCTAATATGACCCTATTCAAGCCGTTGCTGATATCGAACGATTTTAAATTACTTTCTAAATTAATCAAACTTTTGAGCACAATCATACACAAATAGAAGTTGCAGGTGTTGAAATAAATCTTCTTCATTTTTGTAGAAGTTAAGAATGTATTGGGGTCACCCTGTACCTCATAATATCTGCCCATTCCTCTGACCTTAACTGATTTTATCTTCTCAGATGTGGCCTGAACTTGATCGGTGCCAATCGATTGATCATGTTTGACCCTGATTGGAATCCAGCCAATGATGACCAAGCAATGGCTCGAGTATGGAGAGATGGACAGAAGAAACCGTGTTATATTTACAGGTTGGCATATAAATTCAACTTTTGTGTGGCATGGCTCAGATGGCTGTGAAGTCAAATTTTGCCATGTTCCCATTAAAGGCCAAGACGGAGTGACATGTTTTCATTGCAGTGTCACCCGTAGCTACAGTCAGGGCTGGGGAGCCGGAGCTGGAGTCGGAGCCTGGAGCCATGGAGCCGTTATATTTTGATGGAGCCGGAGTCGGAGTTGGAGCCAAGCTTTTTATAACAGATGGAGCTGGAGCCGGAGCTGGAGCTACAAAAAATTTAGTGGCTCCAGGCTCCAGCTCCTAAATATCTCATTTTTTGTTTTTCAAATTTATAATTTTTTTCTGATAGCGTTACAAATGATAAAATCTTTTCTTTCAGCTTATAATTCATTTTAAAAATTTTAGTTCCTAATATTTTTAAAAAGTTTCCAGTTATTCCGTATGTTTGAAAGTTTAGTACAAAATTTGAAGCGGTTCGCTTTTATCAAATTTTGATTCTCATTTCCACTAAGCTGCAATTTTTCATGATTGCGGTCAAGCTCAAAAACCCTAATGGCCAGGGATTTTCGAAGAAGTGATTTTGGAATTTCCATGTAACATATTATGATTTTTTCGTGGCGTTGAATATCCAATCCATTTCAAATGTCTTCAATTCTGTTCAACGTATCTCGAGATTGAGTCGTTTTATGACAAAAGAAAGGTTTAACTACTCCAAAATGCTCCGCAGCAGTCACCTGGCATAAAAATGTATGGCAAAGTGCCCCATTATATCTTGTTTTGATCCATAACATAGCATGTTTTGGGGAAAAGTCTCATCAATTTCCGTTATTTTTTGAATATATAAAAAGTATATCGCAAGTAAGATTGATTGCGTTTAGATTGCAAAGTCAACCGGTAAATAATATGTCGTAGGCAAAAAAAATAATGAGATTAACAAGGCATTTTTTTTAGCTGTTGGGAGTCTCCTAGAACAAAGTTTATAGTGTTTTCCGTTTCATTTTAGTATCTTATAATAACTCTCTAATGTGGAAATTCGGCTTGCGAATTGACCTCTCTATTTATCTTCAACATCTCATCGCTGATAATTATGAATATGCCTCGATTCTAGAACCAACTTTTGGCCTGATTTGGGAGATGGGGACGGCATCTAATTGGGTGACGATGGTAATTTCCTGTATTTTGGGTCTGCTTATTCAATTTGGAACATAAAATACTGCCTCCCCGTCAGGCCAGTTTAAATTATCATGAGTTGAAGGGCTATTGCCGTTACTATCACATGTGCGTTGCATTTCGTGAAAAGCGTCAATTGTTTTAGTCGCCATAAACAGTAGGCCATAACATCTTTTATTTCAGTGTTTATTTTCCCCTTAATCACAATTTCTCAAGACATATGTTTTGTGTCGAGCACCATATTTGTGAGAAAACGAGTTATTACATAATCATCAGTGATGAAATTCTAAGATAAATAAAGAAGTCAATACGCAAACCAAATTTTTCTGATTAAAAAGCGACATTATAAAATACTAAAAATAAAACAGAAAACACCATAAGTTTTGTTTTAGAATGGCCCACGACAGATTTTATTTGGCCGGCATGATTGCCAGTTATGTTGAACACAATTAAATTAAAATAAAAAGACAGTTATTATGGGTTAAATATTATGAGGTAGAAAAAGTCATTATATGCTATTTTAGCGAATGCGCAAACGCTGCGAGCCTGCGACCATTCAAGAAGCCGATTTTCCTTTCCGTCTTATTGTGGGGTGGGTTATATGTAAAACCCTTATATACTGGGTAGACCGATTCGCCCGGAAATACAGCATATAATAACTCTCAGTGGATTCACAAGTTACATGCAGAAACAAAAAGGAATTATCATGACACCGACTTGAAGGGTGTTTACAGCCTAAATAACATGCCACACTTAGAAAACAATTAGCAAAATGCGTTATTGGGCTGCACTACTGATAATGGCTATGGAGCCGGAGCTGGAGCCAGCTCCGGCATAAAAAAAAGAAGCTCCGGAGCCGGAGTTGGAGCTAAAGATTGGATACACTGAGACTCCGGAGCTGGAGCCGGAGCCATCATGATTTCGAACCAGCTCCCCAGCCCTGGCTACAGTTGTCACAAATTTTTTAATGTTGATAAAAGAAAGAAGGCTTTCATACGAAGGTCAAAATTTTTTCAACCAAGATTCAAGGCGATTGTTAAATTTCTCCACATTCACAGTCGCCAAACTTAAATTTTTGGTAGCTCTTACTCCCATCTATTATGCTAATCTTTACTCCAGCAAAACGCCAGACTAAACAATGCTAAATCTCCAATGCCCCACCCTTAAGTGGTAGGCAACATACCTTGTGTCACTTTCGCAAATATACACTCTATACTTCTAAAACTGTATTGGGTAATTGTGCTGAACATATCTCTTACTGGCGCATTTAATGATTATATAAAACACGAATTCATTGTTTCAGTACCTCATTTGGCAATATTGACTTACAGACGTTTCGGCCCATGCCTTGGACATCAGATTATTCCCTATGAGACACATCGCTATTTACAGCCATTTCAATACTTCATAGTAGAGCCACTTGTTCTATTGCATCATTGATTAACATATTTTCGCACTTGATCCTGCGCGGGCCGAAATGTCTGTATATTTGGTAGCAGTAAATACTCAAATTCTATTGCTTTCAGACTTTTAGCCACAAGAACAATTGAAGAAAAAATATTTCAACGTCAAACACACAAGAAAGCTCTTTCATCATGTGTTGTTGATCAAGAAACAGAAGTAGAAAGACATTTTTCTACTGGAGAGTTAAGAAATTTATTTCAACCTTTATCAGAGGATGGAAAGTCACTCACTGGAAGTGACACTCACGATAGGTTGAGTTGTAAACGGTGAGTCAATTTTTCATCTTAGTTAAAAATTCAGAAATATTGTTTTCGCGAATTTTTCAAGTTGCTAATCGTGTCACAAAAGGTTAAAGTTCACAAGGTTACAGACACAAATACATAAAATAGTGTTCTCTTGAATTAGAAGAAAAGGGTGATATTTTGGATAAATATAGAGTCGGCAACCATAGGACGGAATTTGAATCTATTCTTTGGCTTTTTAACAACAAGAACAGTACCGGTATTTGAAAATTGCTACTTTATGTGTCCAATAAAAAGAATGACCATCGTGCATTTGACCCTGTTTTTATCATACACAACTTTTTATTACTAATTTTCATTCTAAACAAGAATAATTGTTACATTAAGATGTGTTAATGGGATACAATCTCGACCACCTCCATCAGAGTCGAACTGTAACTCCGATCTTACTCTGTGGAATCATAGCATTAACAGTAAAGATATTGAAGATCAGATTTTGAAACAAGCTTGGAAGCAATCTGGGGTTACTTTTGCTTTCCACCAGAAGTCTCACGAGGAACAGAGAGGAACTATCTGATGATTTGATTCACTTAAAAATCTTTCACTGCCAAGGAAATTTAGTTTTGCATTCCCCAAGCATGAGCCATAGAAGGTCCACACCTTCATGTGTGTCAATACTAAACGTTTTCTTGAGCAAGCAATTCTTGTTTTTGCTGATTGCAGCAAACTGACTCACCTACATTTTTAGCAATGTACCTTTTTCTGCAGTCTAGTCATAGTATAATGCTACATCTTGCTTGTTGCCATACTCTTCTGACCTTCTGAATATAGCGCTAAAGTTTTCTACTTTATATCACTGTGATATTCTATTCCAGGGGTGCACAGCTGAAATGAGGATCTTTGCCAAAGTTTTTATAATATCTTGTCCTGTGCCACGTTCGAATAATTGTTGGTATTGTAACGAACTTCCATAAAACACATAACAACAAACTTCGATCTAAAAAAAATTAATTTATTCAAACAATTTAATCCCCCGGGGATGTTTTTGAAGGCGATTCAAGGTTATTCCGATATAAACTGGAGTTCTTAAGATTTATTATAATTAAATGCAAGAATTGATGTTTTTCCAAACCATCAGCGTGCTACGTTCGACTTTATGGCGTGCCCCGTGTTGTGCACCCCTGGTTTAGTTCATGTTACCTCTACCCTGCCGTTTTATACACTTGTACTCGTTAATATTATAATAAAAAAATTCTGCTTTCCTATGGCGACATATGATGGAAAAGGTTTGTTTTGCGACAACGTCGGATTTTGAACTGTACGAGCACGGTACACGACAAGCAGACGCTGATTTGTATGTATGATAGTTGGATAAAAGAGGTCAACCTTGTTTTCAAGATGCTTGATTGTCCGTCCTATACAAGGGCCTAGCCAGCCTAAAATTTTATTTTTATATTAACGTAATACGATGCTTACCCGTGACTTTTGCCCTGAACAAAACTAGATAAAAGCGGTCGCTGGAATCTGACGATATCTTAAAGGAGACGTACGTACTTTGCTGTCGAGGGTGTATAATCTCACATTTTCATCCATCTCTGCTGGTTCATTTTGGAAAAAAAAAAGTTATTGGTAGTAAGCCAGGAAGCGGGTTTTCAGTAAATCATTCAAAATTAAACCAATATGGTGTGATAAAAGAGGAAGGACGTAAGAATTTATTTCTCGCTATATATTATTATATATATAATAAAAATTTTGCCCCTTATGGTTACACCTATGTTCCTGTGGGGTCCGTTTTGTTCTTTTATTTCAATTTATTTGTTGTTTTGGATCAGACTGAGAGTGACTCACATTAGTCCATCGCTAAAAAATTTGACAGACGTTGATCCATTTACTGTCGCAATACTGATTGTGTCGGTGATTTTTTAAAGCAGGATATTTTGCTTTGGCAGTTTTACTTACCCCTTTCTGACGACAACAAATACATCTTTATTCGCCGCCGCCGACGACAAATTTCAATTCTGGGCAGATTTTGAAAGATATGTTAATCAAAAATGGCTATTCGCGGTTAATTTATGTTATTGTAGCCTGTATCTCACCAAACTGTAGACTGGCGGTTGATAGTACTTGGGAGAATACATGTCTATTTATATAATAGGTGTCCGTACTACCCCTGTTGATATCCTATGCGACCAAGTTACTGTATCAAAAGTCAGCTTGATACACCAACCGAACGTTTTTTGCTTATGAGCCTGCTTTTTTTTGCCTAAAGTTCTTTGATGTATTTTTGGTGATATATGTCCACTGTCCTGAATTTTGACATAAAATTATTTTCTGTAGTGATTTATTGACAAAAACATGTTTTTATTTTGTGTGAACGCTCAGCAATCTGTCGGAGTGATGTACTCTAGGTTTTCAGTTATTCATATGTTGACAGGACCAATTAAAATAAAAAAGTCGCATATATACAATTACCGCTTCTTGACTCCCAAGTATTCGAGATTCGATTCGAAAAAAATATTCGATTAGATTCGAAAATGCCCAGCTCTAGCTACAAGGCATGTTTCATACAGCTTTGCGTTGACCTTCGGATATGCCTGAAGCTCCCATCCCACCCTCAGGTCAATGGCGCGACAAATATAAATATATAGCAATTAAATTCCCATGAACCCGGTAGTACATAATGAGGTATTCCTCGAAAATACGTCAAAATATCTTTTCACATTTATTGCAGATCGGTGAGGTATTTAACCTAGTACCCTAGGTTGCTGGAAAATAAACAGATTTCCCGATGAATACATAATTACATTTGGGTACAAAGTTCGGACCTCCTGAAATATGCGCGTCAAGATGGCGCACAACCTGAACTTAGGTTGCGTACCAGGTTAGTATTCAGGTTATGCGACGTCTTGGTCCGCATACTTCAGGAGTACCCAAAGTTCTTTAATAATAATTGCTTGAAGTCATCAAATAAAAATTATGAGAATCGTAAAGCGATCATAATTTTCGAAACGAGGTACCTGGTATGAGAACCGATTTTGTGATAAAGCAGAATCAGGTATATTTTTGTTTATAGCACGCCTCGCGATGTTGTCGTAAAAACTATATTGTCGCGTACGACATGTTTGTTTGTGTGTAATCTCGTTGATCATTTACTTGAATCGCTTGATTGTTTGATTTTTATTTATAAAGGAATACTTTCCACTCGAATCGAATATCATTTCCCAACCAAACATAAAACTCGACACATGTTTCTCGCACGAATGTCTGATGGTATCGTCTACTCTGTAATGGAGACACATTTCAATTCGATTTAATAACAACAATTCAATTGAATTGGACCAACAAAGCAACGAGATTTTGTTGCTTTTAAGCACAAGGTTGTGTTGAAAACGTCTGTCTGAAAGGACACGGTCGGGCGCCTGGATAAAGCAGGTAATTACAACATAGTCGAACCGGTTCTAGTCGTGTGTAACGTTCTGGATATGCTATATCTCCGCCTAAGCTTAGGCTCTAGCTGACATAAAAATTGCTTAGTAAAGCTATTTGTCGAAAATAGTTTCGACCTATTCAAAAATTTACGATTTCAATAGAAGGCAGTTACGTCATGCGCATATGTGAATTGAAAATTCATATCTAGAAAGCGTTTCTGCGAGATATTAAAACAGAACATTGATTCAGAAATAGCGCATGATTGCCACCAAGTATATTTATGTCGAAGATAAGTGAAGCACAACCGGTGTATAGCAAAACGATTTAATTTGCTGAAGTTTCGAATTTCTATTTAGAAAAACTTCATCAGGGCATGATATGAAGAGTATACTATCGTATGTATATATAAAAAAGGAAAATGAATTTCAATTTCCTTTTTCAATATTTTACCGTGTTAATTTTTATTTTTGTTTTTCTACTTCATATATATATATATATACGATAGTGTACTCTTCATATCATTTTCTGAATATAAATTCGAAACGTCGGCAAAATAAATCGTTTTGCTATACACCGGTTGTGCTTCGCTTATCTTCGACATTATTTAGGAAGTTCAGGGATAGGTTGTCTTCTAATATCATCAATATTCAACCTGGTGATAGGTTGAACATTGGCCGAACATGGCCCTAAATTGAATGTGTGTAAATTTTTTATTCCGCGTGAGTAATATAAATGAATACAGAATAGGGAAGCGTTGACTTGGTCATATTATTAAAACATCTTTTCATTTAGCGCAGTGTTAGCCTCACAAGATTTAGGCCTTGGGGCTATTGAAAAACCGAATATAGAAACGAGAGTCAAACATATTTTAGAAATGAACATGTAGATGAACGTACCCGTTGCTTTATATAGTGAGAAAGCTCTATAATTGCATCTATGGCGATACAAAAGGACGTCGATCCCCGAGGTAAGATATAATACTTTTATATTAAAAATTAAAAAAACGAATACTCTTTATTCCTAACAACTCTAAACCAGCGCTCTTAGCTAAAATGATCATTCGATAGTTATGCTCAACCGCCACTTTGAGGGACTAACAGAGGTCGGAACACCCGGCATGGTTTATGCTCACAAATATCAATTGGGGAATACAAAAGCAATATTCTGACACTAGTGACTTGACCAATTTTATGTTGTCCACTGGTAAACCTTCAGTCAACAGAACCAGTTGAATGTTGGAAGCGGATATGAAATATCGCTATTTATAGACGGTGAAACCAACTCGATATATTACAGTAATTTATTTATTATATAAGGATTGTTATGCAAACTGTTGTTGTTTTTAAAAAAAATGACCAGTTAATTTTCATTGCATTAGAATGGAAGAAGGTGGTTAGAAAGCTTTTTACTCACTCACTTCAAATTTTACATGGTTTTATATTGTACTGGCATCCCCTTGTATAATATTTGGCACAATTGTTTCTTTGTAAATCAAATGTAATTCGATAAAATTCTTTTAGAATTTGACTGAAATTGGTTGATGTCGTCATGGCCTTATTAGTCATTTCATTTTCTTCGAATTTCAGCATTGCTTCCTTATTTGACTTTCGAAGCCAATAAAGGAAATAATATCCCGGAAAGATATGCTGTATATATAGTAATTCACGGGCGGGCAAAGTTTTCGAACCAGGGGACAAAAATTTAACTCATCATGACTGGAGGGACATGTAAGTGTAACGTGAAAGTTACATTTTATGAACAACATTTACAGTGTTACAAAAGCAAATAGGAAAAAACAATAAGCCTCGTGCCAAGACTAAATTTAATCGCAATCTGCTGGGTTATTTTTTATCTAAAACATCAAAATTTGGGTATAGTTTGGTTGTGGCAGCATCAGGCGGGCCAGATTGAAATACTCAATAGACTATAGACTGTATAACGGACACGATGTGGTTAAGCGCATTAGGAATTTCATATTCAGTATATATTTGAGAAAACTCATTGATAACATCGTGCTGAATAAATTTCAAATATTGTGAGTTTACTTGAAGTACTTTCAAAAACATGTGACCGGTATTTGCGTTGGTGTCAAGTGGCGAAGATCGGAGTGTCGTTAAGCTAAAGCGAAATGCGAGATATTTATGCTTTTTCGAAAAGAATGCTGGCACACTGTTTGAAATATTGTTGTGGTCGTTTTCATGATGAATAAATCTTTCCATTATGCGATGTATTCTCATTGTCATTGTGACAACTGACACTCCAGATATTTTATAACCTATGCCATTTTTTTCCCATTTGTTCCACGAGATTTTCTCAAATCATTATTTCATTAATATTGATCTATGCAAGGCCACGAAAACTTTCATGTACGATCAAGAAACTCATTTAGGTACGTTACCAGTATCATAAAGATATGTTTCAGAGATAAATGAAACCTCCAATCCCATAGGCCACCTTGAAATTCTTTTCTCCTAAGGAAGATAGAATGAAATAATATTTATTCAATTGGAAGAAAGAAAACCGTTTCACCTGCCGTTTCAAAGCATGTGATCGTATCTGTTTAATTATTTCACTGTTCTGAATATGACATCGTAAATATGAATAATCGTAAGCCGATACAAGTGCCACTTCATATGAAAAATTATTCTTGTTTTCGGTACTTTTGACGCCCCCGCTGTCAAAAATTCCCTCGAGGCTCGAAGTGGCCACGAAATGTTCCGCATCTCCACAAGATTAGATCACATGCGTAGCGAGAAAATACTTCTTAAAAAAACGATTAAATTATATTTAAATTTCGTTGTTAACTTTTCACTATATAACAAGAATCATAAACAAAATAAATCGTGCTTCGGGAAATACAATTGCCGAATATAAAAAAAGATGACAGTGGAAGGGACTCAAATAACGTTGCTCTGAGGTTTATTTAAAAATTTAAGTTGAGACTTCAGGAAATTATACCACGAAACGCGAATCCGGTGACGTCCAAGAAATGGCCGAGGCTGATGCCTATATGGTTGCCATTTTCTTAATAAAAATATACTTCTATGGATGCCCATTTTTCAAGATATATATATATAAATTTTTTTTATTTTTGAAAAGCGATTTTGCGGCGTTAGTTGGACATGACTTCGTACGTCTTTTCCAAAATTATTTTGCTGTATTCGTAGGCGATTCTCTGATAACCGGGCATGTTTAGCTTCCTATCAGTCCTTCTCTGAACGAGACAGCCAATCGAGATAGATTAGATTATGTGGTTGTATAGCTTGGATAATTTTGACGGCGAAGCAAGTCTGTAGAGAACTTTTTTGAAAGATATCAGTGATTGCTTGTACCAAGTCTTGTTCGAATCGAAAAGTGATATATATAGCTTATTTTGAGTGCGACTCATGCTATGTTTGATACAGAAAAATGCCTCTAATAATGCCTCCATGGGATCTGACCCTTACTCTAAGATTCATGTTTCTGTGAAATGCTGATGACAATCTAAATTCAAAGTGAATTTTCTGTTTTACGGTATAAGTTATTTTTTTGAACAGGATTTCTTCTCAACGATTACGATATCGGCGTCGACCATCTTGGAGAATCAACGTTTGCAGATGCTATAGCGGAAAGCATACATCAAGTCGAATCTCCTATAACTATCGGTCTATTTGCGAAATGGGGAAGTGGAAAATCATTCTTATTGCGACATCTCGAAAGTAAGCGAAGTATTACAATATCATACAAGTTTATATTTGTGCACTATTGAAACGTGAATTTTTCGCTTACTCCAGCGTTAATGTGAAAATATAAAAAAGGGCGATAAATGGAAAACAAATTTCCCATATTTCTTTCAAGATTTGAGCTTTACGCTATAAGATAACATGTTTGCGATGGTCATGTGTGAATAATACTTTCATATCAATGTAATATAACGGTTTATTTTTTCTATTATAATTGTAATGTACTGAATGTTATCGACTCCCCTAACTTTTTTAAATTTCAAGTTTCCTTGTGGCCAGTTATGCAGTTCTTTCTGTGACAATAAATTACAGTTTATGGATTTTGTCGCATAAGATGATAATCCCACAACATTTAAAAAAAAATATTTAGAAAATTAATTTGTTTGTTCAACTTCTTGCAGGCATTTTAAAAAGATATCAAAGACAAAGTATCGTAGACGAAAAGAAAAAGAAACGATATCCCGAGGATGGGAAAGTGAAATGTTCAACCATATTGTCCGCCATGATATGGCTGTTCTGCATTCTAGTGGCATTTTTCTTCATACTGTTCACTGTGTTATCAGCCGCTAAGCCTGAATTGGTAGCCACAATATTGGGAATTGAAAATTTACTCTCACGAAATTATGAAACAGTCACAACCCCTGCTGTAAACTCTACAACAGCAAATCCTGCTGAGGTAGTACCTCCACACTATTTACAAACTTTGAAAATAATCGGACTTGTGCTGATTCCTATTGAAACTTTAATTGTATTTCTCGTTGCTTGCTGTGGAAAAAGCTGGCTTTCCCTTCATTACTACGGGAGTTGTAGACTATTAACCTATGGCGCTTTCACAAAACTTCCGGTGCGAAAAACGAACACAGATATCGTAGAAGATCCTGGACAAGAACCGGCACACGTACTCAAACATATACGTCCCGAAGATAGAAGACTAGTGATGGCTGCTTCGGAATCTGAAGTGTTTTCAAGGCGTTATATCTTTGTCGACTTCAAAGCTTGGGAATACGCTGGTAGCGATACGTTATGGGCGGGAATAATCACCAACATAACTGACGCCATTGAAGCAGAGTTTGGAATTATAACGGCGAGAATGTTTAGAATGCTTACGGTAAGTTCCAAAGGCGGGCCAACAAGAAAGCTCAGGGGTAACGCAACATGCTGAGCGTTAGAAATACGCTTGCAATCGCACCTCTGATTACCATGCACGGGTTCACATATTCGAATCCTATGGGGGGATGATCACGTGCGTGGGGATTTCTGGACGCTTTTCTGTCGTTAGGTGGTCCATGTAACAACTAGGTGTTTAAGGCTTCCTTCACCAGGTTCATGCTAAGTATTCCTATACCCGATATAAACTGGTAACCGGACGAGAGACCGTGGTACGCCATGTGATTAAGTCAAGTTATCGTCTTTCCTCCCACCGCGGGATAAATATTAAATATCTTATCCTACAATGAAGACAGCCTTATTCTGTGTCTGGCTTTTATCGATTGCAGTCAGTATATTTTAGAACAAGGACATTGCCTTAATATGTGCGTTTATGTGCGGTTAATTGAAAATTTGGCTAAATCTGCAGTCGTTTCATTCTTTTCGGTAGAGCGAAACCATAATGCAATATCGCAGATGCTCGAAAAACCTTGTTCAATAGTTTAATCGTCTTCTATTGTCTGAATTGTATGAACTGTAAATACATATAAAAGCAAACTTAGTGCCGTGTTTCTCCGAAAATAAAGCAGGGTATCATTACATTTTTTTCTTTTTTTCCAAAAATAACACTATGGCCTATTTTTGGGGAATGTCTTTTATTTTAATTTATCAAAAAAAAAAATACAAAGTAGAAAATTGCGAGATTCTTAAATATAAGAAATATGAAAACCAATATTCATTAACTCATTAATAACAGGTTTTTATACAAAATAAATTTAGCGTGTAGCATGTATAATAATAGTGGCAATTCTAATAGGTATTCGAGCATATTTTAAACGATATGTGTATATACAGTGTATACTGGTCGGATAGGCCTATATGTGTAATTATACTTTATTTTATTTTTAATTTCGTGATTTTAGATCGAAGAAATTCCCAAAAACGTGTTAGAGACTGGAAACAGGATTCTTTATGTCAAACTTGGCAACGGGTCTAATATAGATGAAGTTTTAGACATGATGAAACAATACGGTGTGGTGGAAGACTGCGTAAGAATTGCCGGCCGCCCGGGGCAGAAATATTGGAAAGTAACTTACTCGAGTGAAGGCGAACTCCGGGTAGCAAAAGAATGTTTGAAAATAGAAGGATTGGAGGCTACTGATGTCGATCCGACGGTGGGTGAAAGCACGCCTCCAAATTATCGTCGCAACGAGCAGGGTCGGGAAAGTAAACGAAAGTTACTCAAAAAACGCGACGATGTTGAATTGAAAACTTTCAAAACTAACTCAGAGAACAAAGAGAACGACCGCGATATTATTGAACGATTTACGCTTCCTCCCAAAACCTGTTGCTGTAATCGATTTTGTTCCCACTTTTTGAAATATCCCATTAAGCTCTGTGGCTTACCTCGTCTTGTTTGGTGGATTTTGATTGTCGTTTGCAGCATTTTGATTCCAGTTACTGCTTACATTATGGCAGATTATCTTCAATTAGATGTCTATAGGGTAAGTAATTTTGTGGAAGACTTATTTTTGGACACGAATGGACCTATATATCGTTATATTGTTGATCATCGTTGTTAGTATTTTGTTACTTCTTATCATTGTAAAAATATCGCTTCTCTGAGAACTACTGAACCAATTTCTATAAATTTTCAGTGGTTGAAGATTGCATTTTCGCTAGAAGGCTAATACTTTCATTTATTTCAAAAAATTTTATTGGCTCTTGCCTATGGTATTCGTTTTTTTTATGTGGCATAACGTCATTAAAAATTGCGCATCTTATGGCAGTTACGTTAGCATGCTGTACGACGTACGTTTTGGACTCCGTGTCCATACATTTGAGCATCGCTTCCTTTTTTATTATGAAAACGTAAATACATTTAAATGGCCTAGGATTTGAACCTGCTATCTGTATCTTGCGATGCTAAAATAGTTGTCTAATCGTTTCGTCCGTCCGTTACGTACATATTTTGTGCTCAAAAACACGTAGTCCAACAAGGCTTTTAATATAAATCGGACGACATGGCTTTGAGCAAACCCACATTTATAATATACAACACTATTTGCAGACCTTTCGTATTGTACCGGTGATGGGTCAGATTCTTCTTTGGATGCCTGCTGGAATCGCAGTTATCTCCTTGGTTTTCAGATTCATATGGGCAATGTGTCACTCACAACGAAAAAGAATTAATGAAGCGCTGGATGGAACTAAAACCAAAATGGCGGAGCAACTTGGGTTCATGAATAAAGTTAAAACAGAGGTATGTTTATAGATATAATTAGTAGATTTATTATGCGCTACTATAAAGATGATCTTGTGGATTGTGTGACCTGTGACATTTTTGTATGCAACAGGTTGAGCTGTAAACAGAGGGAGTAATATATACACACAGTGGCGTATCTATAGGGAGTGGCGGCCATGGCTCGTGCCTTCGACAGGGGCGCAAAAACGGCGAAAGGTATTAATCATAAAATGTTTTAATAAAATAATTTCAAATTGAAAATAACCGAAACTCGTATTTCACTCGAATGATAACGTACAGGTATCGCATTCCAATAGCAGTCATTATGAATTGTCAACCAAGTCGAGGGGGCGCATTTTTAAATTTTGCCATAGGCGCCATTTTACGGAGATACGCCACTGCATGTACAAATGTTTATGTTTAGTAGATTTACTGTGTGCAAATATCGATATTTTTTGTGGCTTTTGTGACCTTACTTGACGTTGCTAAAAGTCGTATTGTCGTATGTAACAGCTTTTTATGTTTTTCTGTAAAATTTTTTAATGGTTTAGTGTTCGACTTTTTTCTCCCGTATTAATTACTGTTAGACGAGTGTCGCTGCTGCTCGTTAACCAGTTTTGGTTTTTCGCCTCTTTTCATCTTGAAATGCCATATTCACGTTCGTTATATGAAGCGTATTTCAGTGTGCTAAAAAATAAAGCACTGATGACGGATTGTTTTTTAACATCAAATATATTTTCCAGGTGGAAGTAATCACCAAATTAATTCAATGTGCTCGTTTCACACACCAAAAAGATTACAAGATTGTCATAACGATCGATGACTTGGATCGTGTGCCTTTGAAAAAGGTATGATGTCATTGCTGAGCTCAGTGAAAACCCGAACTTTGTACTTTCGTTGGAACGTAATAATGCACATTTCAAAACGCGTTCAATGTTCAATATCTAGCCAGAATGATATTCAAGGGTGCGCAACCTTTATTACAGGATGGCCAGATACAAATAACTCGGCGAAACCGTGGACCGCATTCTCATATAACATAGGCTTTCTAGTAGTTGCAAGCACAAAAAATTGGGTTATTGATCTTGTGACATGCAGAAGCACAAAAGGAATTAGAATTACTCGCACGCACTAGATTATTCTAAATTAAAAACTCGCTTCGCGCCGCACACATTCAAATTTTGCACTCCTGCGTGGGCCGCACAATTTTTTCTTGTGTGCCGCATTTGGGCCGCAGATATATTGTGTTTTTTACTGTTAGTAGTTTCAAACTTTTAATGTCCACACTCATTCAAGGAGTTCGAGACATTCTTAATCAAACCGAATTTTCTTCTTCGATACATAGTGCCTACATGTGCCAAATAAATATCCCTGGTTCCAAGCAAAAACTTGTTTAAAATATCAACGGTTATGTAGGTAGATAAACATATGGCTCGGTGGTGCATCGCGGTAAGCGTTAGGAATTCGCTCGCCACCGCAGATCTGATTACCCTGCGTGGGTTCGTTAGAATCCCATGCGGGTATGGTTATGAGCGAGAGGGTTGCTGGACTCTTCGCCGCCGTAGGGTGGTTCACATAACCGCTGATCGGTTATGGCTTCCTCCGCCATCAAGTCCATGCTTCCGAAAACAAATAACTGGCTAACTAATCCAACACCCGACATGGACTGGTAACCGGCCGTGGCTCGCCATATGATTGAGCCGTTTTATAACCTTCCTCTCTCCGGGATAAATATGTAAATCCTATCCTATCTTAATTGCAGGTACAAGCAGTTCTTGAAGCCGTCAGTATTTTACTCAGTGATAAATCTGCTCCGTTCATATGTTTGATTGCCGTAGACCCAAGAATTGTTGTCAAATGTATAGAGGAAGGAATGGGAGAAGTCCTCAAACAAGCTAAAGTTACAGGACATGAGTACCTGAAGAAGATTATAAATCTCCCGATATGCTTACCCGAAGTAAGTTTACCTTTTGTTGTTTCATGGTTGTCGCTATCCGATAACCAGTATTGGTTGCCCGTGCTTCTCTCCACCGCAAAATGACAATTAATTTCTTTTTGCATTATTTATTAACGAAGTGCATTTATGTTTGGTAGAACAATAAACTAAGTAATATATATAATTTAATGTGAACACGAAATCTATTTACGAAAATTCTACATCTCGGATTCACATCCCTTGAAAAAATTATTTCTTTACCCATAATTGTATATCAGTTACAGCTTGTATATGGTCTTGTTCGGAGCAAAAGACTAAGTAGGCATCGTATAGAGAAAAATTACAAAAGTAAATCTTTTTTGTTAAGATTAGCGATTGTGACAAAAAGCGTTTCATTGCCGGACTCATAGATCAAGCTGATCGCACAATTTCATACAGAATAGAAGATGAACGAGCGAAAAAGCGAGCTGTTGGTTTTCGTAGTAAGACAAACAATACATTTTTATGAGTGACTACTGTTAGAATTTGAAAGTGGTCCAATTTTGTTTTCTATCAAACAATTGCAACGACACATAAAACAAATGTATTTTATCACCAACTGTAAAAAATTGAAGCGGGGGGATGATACAATAGGTTTTTAGAGGTAAAAGTAGGTAACCCATATCTGGCGAAGTGTTTATATAAATTTTAAAATAGTCACTCACATTTGATTGTTTTTTAGCGCGAATTCGATACAATTATTAAAGTACACACATTTAGCTTTTAGTGGTAAAAGTAGGTGCCATATCTGGCGAAGTTTTAATATAAATTTTAAAAATATAAATCACATTTCAATATTTTTATATAGATGGAAACATAACAGCGGTCGACAGCGCAGAGCCAATAGACACAACTGATAATTATAACCAAGCAAACGAAGACCAGATCGATTCTAATCCAGGTGAAAGACTATTCCAACACTATCATTTATCGTTAAATGAAATGTCTCCTCGTCATATTTCGAAACTTATCTAAAATGAAAGTTATCTAAAATGATAACCATCTTAGCAGTGGCGTATCTAGGGTATGGTAGCCATGGTTCGTGTCATGTACGCCGTTTGAATAGGAACGCAAAAAGCGAAAAATTTGATCGTCAAATGTTTCAATAAAATAATTGAACCCTTTGTTTCTATTTAAATAATAACTTACAAGTATCTCAATTCAACAACAGCCATTAAAAATTGTCAGTCAACGATCAAGGGAGTGCATTCACTTGGAAACGAACTTTTTAACAATTTAATTAATATTATAGATATCATCATACATGATGTAAAAAATTGTTCCAATCCGACCGACCATCCGGCCAATATAATTTCCGCCGTGGTATCAATAAGAGGAGTTGATGCAAGAAGACGAGGAGTTCCGTGCGAACCTATTGTGGAACTGGATCACAAAAGCTTTTTGTTTCATTGCAGGTGTGTATTTATGATTGTAAGGTAATTCTTGATCAAATACAAAGCTTATTTGTCAAAGTGTCATTTTACGCTGCAGATTATATGGGATTTCAAAATAATCTTAGATTCGTGAGAGTACAAATCTTAGTACTCTTGCAGTGTGTGTACCAGGTTAGTGTTAGGCCATAATTTCTTTCCGATTTTCCTCATTTTAGTTCAATTACGATTTCGAGGACCGTCTGTGTTAGACAAGTGAATATACACCTGTCCATAAGCTACCTACAACTTAATGTAAAGTAGACGAATAAAATTATTTACCTCCGTATTGGTACACACTTCTGGAGCGCCCAAAGTTTAAACTAAATGTAACTGTTATCTGATAACTGTTGACAAATAACTGCGCCATATGACGACGGCGATGGTCATGATACATTTATTTAATCTCCGCTCGTAAAATTTTTGCCTCTTTCCTATTTTGTTTTGTGTATTCACATCTTTAATTGATTTAAAAGTTATTACCCGATTTTATGCTGTGTTTGTTCATTTTACCGTGAGATTCACTGTTTCGGTGGTGAGCGCGTACTTTTTTGTACGTTTTTAACTTTAACCGTTAAGTTATCATCTCCTTCTCGGTCACTCTGTCTGTTGCATTGTGTTCGTTACTGTTATGTTGTTTTTAAGTCAGAGCGAAGAGAATAAATTTTATTGATTGGTTGAAATGTATCGTTGGCGATATGTCGAAGCATGATATATCATTAGATCATTCTTAATTTTTAATCAGAACAACTTACCTATTTCTTTTTCTAGAAACTTTATTTTCAACGATGAAGACTTGCATAAACATTTACAGGGAAATCCTCGGAACATTAAACGTCTGTTTAATGTCATCTCTCTCACAGCTAGAATCATGAACTGTTTTCATAAAAAGGTAAGTGACAGCGTTTGAGCAGCATTGGATGATATTATGATTTTTCACGAGGGATTTTTTTGTTTCGCGTTCTTCTCCGTTAGCAGTAAAATGCTACCTCAGATCAAAAAACGGCGCTCCAGAAGTATGTGTACCCATGTGGAGGTAATTAATTTGTTTCGCCTACTTTACATCAAATTGTGTAAGGGGACTGAAACCTATGGGCAGGGGGTATATTCACTTTGTTACACAGACAGTCCCCGAACTCGTAATAAACTAAAATAAGGAAAATCAGAATAAAATTATGGTCTAACCCTAACCTGGTGCACACACTATGGGAGTATCCAAAAATCTGATAAAATGACAAATATTTCTGTGCTGGTAATTTTTATTGAATATGTAATTTCTTGTATTTTTTATAACAGGAAAAGCGTACAAGATTTATTCATTCACATATCAACGATAACACTCATAATGGACCTTTTCTTGATGACAACCGACTCGGTAAATCTGAAATTTTATTTGTGATTTAGACTAGACGCAGAAGCTGAAATTCTGAGCAATATTTACTATTGGTGTGGTATAGTCTGTTTTATTGATTGCAGCTGGTTTGACGGTTTATTAGTGGATCACCCATGGGAAACGTAATAAAAAAAATATCCTACTCGAAGTTATTTTTAAAACTTATTTATTATACTATTTATAATTTGAGAGTTTTTTGTTTCAATCTAGTTCGCACTCAACAAGGTGCGGAGGACTTAGTTCGTTGGATTGTACTTGCTGACCAATGGCCGTACAGAACAAGTTATATCTTGCAAGTTATTGAAGATGCAGATCAACGAGGAAGTGCTGGAATTGAGCAAGAAAAGATACCAGATGATTGGACGATTTTTGAGATATTCCAGTAAGATCTTAGTATTTCATCAACAATTATTAATTTTGATACTATTACAAAAACATTTATGAATGGGCATTTCCATTGATATGATAAAACGTAAAGTAGTATTTGTCAGATTTCTATAATGGTTCAGGAGTATTCCAAAATTTGCATTTTTCTTCTGATTCGTTATATACTTTTGAATAAAGCTCATAGTTATTTGATATAACTGAAAAATACTTCGAATAATGGGGTAAGACAAATAATCATGATTTGTTTTTGGCTTCATACTATGGAACGAAATAGAGGAATACAGAATGTCTGTCGTTGCTCAATTTCTTCTATTTGTAAGAATGTTTTGTTTTATATTTGACTCAAATTTATTCCATTTTTTTCTATTAGAAACAAAGTGCAAAATGAATACGAAAAGGGTGAATCGTTGTTAAGTCTCGATGGTGACCCGGATATATTCTACAGTTACATTCAATTGCTCAGGGATTGCGGCTTCACAAAATCAAGGATCAAACGTCTTGAAAGATACACTGTAAATTTGGATTATAGCTTACGACATACAATAGCATTCTATCGAGACTTGTCTTGCATGAACCCAAATGAAAGTAAAACGCCTGTTCAACCAGACGATGACAACGAAAAAGAAAATAAAAATGCAGCGACTAAAAATGCAACTAAGGTTGTTGTAGAAGCGAGGCCGGAAGACCCTCAAGTAGCTGAAACGAGTTTTCTGCGACTGGACAAACAAAACGATGATCGTAGACTTTCCTTGCCTGCAATGTTAGAACATTGCTAAAATAATATTGCATTTATTTTTTACTAATTTTGAATATATTTTTAAGATTTATCTTCCCTATTGCATTTTAGATTGTTAGATTTTAGTTTATTTTTTTCGGTTTTCAAATAACTCCGTCCAATGTTCCAATTCTTCAGTCTCAAACAATTTAGCTTTCAAGAATAACGTGCAAATTATCGTGACTCCTGGTAGAAAGTTAGTTTTCTGAAAATACAGATTCGTCATGAAAGAAACCGAAATTAAAAAAAATTGACTTTCCGATCGTGTTTTATGATATATACGTGTTTTATGATTTCAAATCTTTGAACCCTGGGTCGCTGATCATCTTCGACTCGACTCCTATCAAGTGTTAGAATGCAAAGACGAGTCAATTCACTGTTATGGCGAGTCGCAAGTCAAGCTTTTTTAAATCACTAGTCACAGTAGATTTCGTGAAAACAGCGAAAGGGATATTCAGTCACATTTACATCAAGAATTGAAAAGTTTCATCTCGTGTTAAACCGAAGATATTTTGAGTATCAAAACAGAAGTTGAATTACCAACCGTGCAACCATTTACCTCAGATAAGCACAGCAACAAACTATTGAAATTTTGATTTTTATCCACATTAATCGATTTCCTCTTGCTTGTTTCAAAAACTCGCGGAAATATTTAAAAAGAAAGTCTTTCTAGTTGTTAGTGCGAGTCCGAGCTATTTCGTTTAGATCAGAGCCCAGGGGTGTGCAACATTCTCTATCGGTAGGCCGTATAAATTTAGGTTTACCATACGTCCCGCTTTAGGCGGGACAGTCCCGCTTTTTAGCGTCTTGTCCCGCCGTCCCGACAAGTCAGCCAAAAGTCCCGCTTTTGCGTTCAGCCATCCAGCATAATACTCGAACATGTTCTCGTTACTGTTGTTTCTGTTTTGGCGTAGTTGCATGGGGCTCTGCTGATAAATCTTTATTGCACCGATTAGAAATTATGCAGAATCGGGCCATTCGCGCTATTTCTGATGTTGCTTATCGCACACAACTAAGTCCTATTTATAATAAACTAAGAATTATTAAACTTGTAGAATGTAGATATACATAGAATTGAAGTGTTAAAGTTAATGCATCAACACCATAACAATAAACTCCCTGCAGCATTCACTAACTACTTTTCAAAGCAGAGCAGTATTCACTCCTATGGGACACGGTCATCTGCTAAAGGCTCTTACTTTGTGGATCGCTTTTCCACCAAGCTTACTCAAAACTCCATCAAATTCGTTGGTGTCAAGTTATGGAACACGCTCACTGACAGTATTCGATCAATGAACTACATCTCCTTCAAACATGCATTGAAAAATCATTACCTTGATGTTTATTTTTGCCAGTAGTCTGAAAACATTGCCTTTTCATGTGTCTGATCTTCTTCTAGTCGTATATTCCCTGAACCGTTACCGGTACCATACCGGGATGCAATCGTGTTCTTCCACTGTATTCTAAATTCGCATCGTCATTTACTCTGTATGTGCCAAGTTCTGTTTTTCACTTTCGACAACTTTTTATCATATAACCTAAATGTGAAAGAAATGCATGCTTCAGCATGCATCAGTTCATTAAGCCAGTAAAGTTCTGTCAAATTGAAATTAACGTTGCTGGGCACGCCGATCCAGTTTTCAAAGTGCTTAGTCATGTTAATAAGCGTTATTCTCGTTTAATTGTGTACATTGAGGTATATCGCATTCGCTTGATGGCGCCCTTGAGCTCGTCAAGCGGTACCGGTTTCCTTAATTAAAGTCCTCATGGCTCTTCATATTTCCGTATTTTATTTATCATCCGTTGTTGTTGTTTCTATGCTTTTTAGTACCGTATTGTACGTGATAAACCCAAGTCTTTTGCTATATCTGTTGCTGTAATCCAGCATATAGGTGTCGCTGACACCAATGACATTAAACAACATGATGCGCAACTCCGGCATTTTTGGCCGAAGATCGTATCCGATAGCACGCTCCAATGCACATACTTGACGAGACGAAAACGAGCGAATGTGTGCTGCTTTCAAGGCATAGCACGAATGGTGTTCGTGCCTGCTTTGACAGTTGTTGTCGATTTTAATGATATATTGGAAAATTGAAGGTAAAAAGAAATCGGAAAAAAGTAAGGTAAATACTATTGTTGTGTATCACACTCGGGCATCGCACTGTTAAGTACATGTGGGAAAGCCAGCTTTTGTCAAATACTACGAAGTTATTAAATCAGTACGGTACGTAGTTGCCCATTTGCCGAAATTGCTTATTTACTTACTCCTTATGGTTTCAAATAGTTCATACACCTCCATTTCGATTTTTTTTAATCAGTGAGGATATATACTCATTGCTGTAACATACTATTGCTCATTCACTTTTATTTGCGTATTGAATCAAAGGGTTAACAAGTTCACCTAACATTTCACTCATACCGGTCTATATTGTATAGTCTGATCTCTCAAGTATTTGGAGCCACCGATGCTTGTAATTTTCTGTCTAAACCCCTTTATTAGTTGGTTTATATACCAAATTCAGTAAAACATTTTTTACATAAAACATGAGATATTGGATTTATTAGCTTTTCCAATCTAAATCATATAGACTGCTTTATTTATTCTTAACGAAAATTATTGAATCTCCTCTCTTTCTTCAGATGTGAAAGTTTTGGAAAAACCTGTCTAAGCATTGTGGGACTCCTACAGCACAAGAGGCAATAGCAAAAATAGTAAGTATATCAATCAAGAAATTAAGCCGACATAAAGCAAAACTTTTAACTATTCGTCCAACCTCAATTTCCTAATATTTATTCACAGGACAACTGTAGCAGAAGGGGATATTTCAGAAGTCTGGCGACATATCAGTGACAGTGTGATTCCAAGAAATACAATCAGAATACTCCATAAATGTTTGCAATAGAAGAACAACCTATGGAGGCATGCAAAGACATTTGAACCTCCGGTAGAGTTGTGTATGGCCCCTACATCCCGCAGGGCTTGAGGAAAATAACTAAAATTCCGAAGCGTAAGATTGCATAAGCGGTCTTCTTTGTAAAAAGGCACAAAACATGCCAGACATACTTAAAACAGCTTTGGAAAATGAGGATTATGGGTCGGTCACTCACTACACCTGTGTTATATTTGATTCATCAACTTTTGGTAGTACTAAAGAAGAAATTCAGGAAAGGGTATAATCATGATTCATGATAAAATACTGTTATATATTTTGGACAACTTCAATCTAGACCAGGGATATCAAACTCGCGGCCTCAGAGAACTTCCAGTGAGGCCCTCGAACGCTTAACAATAATTGTAATAGTATTTTGGAGTTTTTTTTTATCTAAGTGTAATAGATTTTTCAACCTTTTTAAAGTGAAATTGAATATTCACACAGAAAGCAATTTACCGAAAGTAGTTTCGGAAAATTAATTTTTTTTGTTCACATTTTGACCCAATTAAGAATACACATCAAGCTAGCAAAAGAATACTTGAATAAAACACTTGAGTGAATAAATTAAACGCAAAGTACATGAAGAAGGTGGCATTTTCGAAGAAAATGGGAGTTGCAATATTTCTGCATTTCACAAAATTTTGAAGCACATTGTTTAATTTGTCATATTTCCATCAGTACAATGAAAAACACATTAAGCTCAGCAGTCAATACGACAATTTTGAAGACCAACTTCGAACAGAAAATTTCCATGTGTTTGTATATTAATATAAATATACAACGACTTAGTTACTAAAAATCAATATCAATAATAATTCAAGCAATCCTATGCTATGCAATGTGGCGCGAAATGTCTTGTCGAAAATATCTGTCATTTGTTTTTCTACTGATCTATTCATGAAATGATAAAAGTAACTTTTTTGCATTACTGGAATTAATTAAACATTCGCAAAGTTCCAGATTAACCCATGATCATGTGACCTCGTTAGTTAGAGTTGGTACCATAAAATCATTTCAGCCTGGCCTTAGTATGCTGGTGACACAAAGAGATGCCAAACGTCAGGACAAATGTAATTAAAAAAACATTGAGTTTATACTGTAGTATTTTTGTTAATTTCAAGTCCATATATTTAGATTAAGTCATTTTTAGTGTATGTATTATTCTTTCCTTATCCAAAGCTTGTTCAAAAATGATTTTGATGGTTGTATAAAGAATTTTATGATTTTTTGTAATAAATACAGTAACTTACAATAATAGTGGAATGCAAATATTAATATGTAATTGCATTTGAAATTAAAGAAAATAATAAAACTTAATCAACTGTTTAGTTGCATCACAATATATGTCACAAACTAAATCTTTCTGAAAAACATACCTTTCAAGTATACATTATCAAAAAGTGTTTTCGGCCCTTTTTACAATTTCCAAAATGCAATGCGGCTCTCGAAAACCCATGCGTTTGACACCACTGATCTATTCTAGACAATTCAAGCATTGCTTTGGGAAATAATATCACTTCAATTGAATTGAAAAAAATCTCGCTACATAAATACAAAATCGTTGCTATCATAAAGGTAAACCAATTCAGCAATTCTTTGTCTTGAACTTTTCATACTCCACAGCCCCTATTAATTTTTTTTTAATTTTAATCACCATGTGATGGTCATACATATCTTTAACTTGTATTTTCTGTCATGATGTATTATCTCAATGTGTCAAACCGTAGTAGTATATATTTACGGTCAAACTTTTAATTAGTGTGCATATTTTGCTTCCAGAAGACATAAATGTACAGTATTGTCTTGTTTATTACCTCAGCTTGGAGTATTGACAAGAAAAAGGTGCCCGTAAAACTCTTTGTTATAATCAGAATTCACAATTAATAGGAATCATAAACAGCCAACATTCAATGAGAATTATATGCCAAATCCCTCAGAATAAATTTGTCTTCTAAAATCGGAGGAAGGCAAAACATATAGGTAGTTTCCATTCATACAAGCCTTTCAAGAAGACTTACTCGAGCCAAACTAAATGAGCATCGTCAGATGATCGGTAAGGCTGCAAGTTGAATCAGCCCTGCAACCTCCCGCATAGAAGATATTAATTAGTGGGCTATGAACTAAATTTCTACATTTAGACACAAACCTATCTACGAGGCATTATGTACCAGCAATGTTACCTACGGTTAACTAAATATGTAATTATGTCTAATAAATTAACCTACTAAAGCAAGTTCGATAGGTGCAAACTAGTGTTATGGAATTGTATCACAGCACCGTTAAGAGAAGTAAAAACAGTTTTGCTGTTTTGTATGACACTCTCTTTAAATGAAATTTCAATGTTTTTTCAATGTTTTCCAACATTAATATTACTAACTTTGAACTTTGTCATTATCTGCAAAATGTTCCACAAAATCTTTACGCTATCGCGTTTGTAATCTTCTCTGATAAAAAAAAACTTCTATGATGTCCAGAATTACTCTTTACAGCTTGTCTGCCATTCCAGCTTTCCAAGTGAGCAAAACTTCTTAGATATAGAGATTATTTTCTTTCGTTACAGGCGCAAAAAGGCAGGCAATACACGTAAAGAAGACGCCGGGTAGCAAAAGCGAGCGGAAAACGGTCGCGAAAGGCGACGAGAAATATGTGCATTGGAGCGTATCATGAAATACAATCTTTCGCATGTAGTCTTATGGAGTGACGTCAGAGTTGCCTATCATGTTATTTAATGTCATTGCTGACACGATGACTTAATAGTCTTTCGCGACTCCTCGTCAATTGCGAAACATTGTGTATTTTTGATTTATTTAAATTTATTATTATTTGTTGACAATGTTTCATGCACGACGAAATAAAATATCTGAATCTGAATCTGTGAAGCGCAGCGCTAGCCTACTTACTGAAGACGATTGCGTTTGTTTCCCGCTGATTCCCATTGATAGCAGACGTATCGCATGTGAAACCATTACTAATTAGTCTAAATTCGAATTATTTGTACCGGTATCGTTAACGTCAATTTCTTTATATTTTTCGAACTGAATCCGATATTCGTACAGAGAATATGCGCATGAAATTTCGGTAACAATATGGTCAATAAAGACAGCCGGGACAGAATAATTTCAAATTAGGAATAACTGAAACTTGTATTTTTATTCAAATAATAACGTAGAAGTATCCTAATTCATTAACAATCATTATAAATTATCAAACAACTATCAAGGGGGCGCATTCTTAGACTTTGCCACGGGCGCCATTTTAAGTAGATACGCCACTGCTCACCAACATAAAAAAGGCCAACAAGAACGTGGATTTGAATTACTTGAAAGAATACTAGCTGTTGTAAATCCCACCGATCGGAGAAGGTAAAATATCTAGAAATTTTAGAACAGTAAACAGCCCTAATGAATTTATCTAGTTTTGAATAACTCCAAACAAAAATGTGATTTGAACGGCTCAATTAGGTATTTCCGCAGATATGTGCACATGGGTCGATTTGTTATTAATATGTTGTTTTTCTTTTCCTTGTTTGTATTTTTCTTCGTGATGTTTTAAACAAAGTTCCATTCCGGTTGGTTTAGGTAGGAACTCCACCACGTTCCGATTGTCGTTCCGTTATGGCTTTCGTGTCCATATATTTGGGCATTAATCTCTTGCTTCACATCAAATTTTTGTGTGGCCTAATTTATGCAGTTGTGGTGTCTTCTTCGCTAGCCTCTTGCACAACCAGCGAAATCCTGCTGCCCGAATAAAACATGGCATAAAAAGTGAACTACAATGAAACGCAGCACTCCGAGAGAATCACGACAAAAACATGATATCTATATATACGTAAATAACAATAAAGTTTCTGAAAATAAAAAATAAAACTTCGGCACAAAATTCAAACATGGTCGGCCTTGATGGTTAAAAAATTAGCATGCATGAATAGTCCAATATTCTATGCAATCGAACAAGTAAATGATGCAAAAACTTTATGAGTGTACTAACGAAATGCTTTTATTGTTATTAATCCGGAAATTTTGAGGCACGATTTCGATACCCATAGCGGTTACTAATATGTTAGTTGCAAGACTTGTAGGTTTAAGGATAGATCGGAGGGGTCGCGTCCAGCATAGTGCATAGATAAAGAGATGTTACATAACATAGATCTGTAGATGTTACTGTACCGGTACGGTACATTACTGCATTAGATGTTACCGATACATGCATTATCTCTGCGTCCAGGCTAATTACGATTTTCCGCTACAACAACTCGCGTCTGACAGTTCAGTGGAAGCGAAAATAGATTGAAAAAATATACCGTAGTCGATACCGGTACCTGTACTGGTAAAGTTAGTCCAGTGTAGTCGAGACTGTGAAGGTACCGGTACGGTAGGTACGGTGCTGTAAAGGGATTCGGATACGGTGAACCGTTTACTCATTAAAGTGTAAAACAACAGGGCAACTCGTTTACATCGCAAATAATGGGGTCTCCCTAGAACCAGGCACTTGCGATTTCAGGCACTTTTATATTTTTTTTCATTTCTACCGTATGTATGCCAGTATGTTATTGGGGATTCCAATTTTTATTGTACCAATCAGCCAATACTCGTAGGCTATTATTGTTTATTAGTTGACAAAACAATAAATCGCTACCAGATGAGCAGACTTTGCTTAACAGCATAAGGATGAATAACAGAATAACACTACCATACTGCACTAGGGCTTATTTTTCAGAAATATGAAAACCGATACCGGTATCCATTTACTTATAAATAACACACTTTTCTGTTTTTATTCAAAATACTGAAATAACTGCTGAGAACATGGATTATCAATCATTTAAAATGTGTAGGAGAATTGTTTAGTTCATATTTTTTCTTGTTATCTCAGTAATAAAATATAGTCTACATTCCTTTTATTACAGTATTATCTTGCAAAATAAAAAACGATTTGATTGATTGATTGAACTTGGAACTTAAAAATGCATAGAAGTATATGCATCATCTTTTGCGCACAATTTATCCTGTCAATTGCAGCTGGTGGAAGTAGAGATGGCAATGAAATACCAAATACTGATGATAATATTCGAAAGTTTCGAAGTGGAAGAGTTAATCAAGTCTGGGAAAAAGCAGAAAAGGTTGGTTTGATTGTTTCTTACAGTTCTGCACCATCAAATTCAACTTCATTATGATTCTATCTCAGTCTCTGCAGTACGGCACACTTTACAGATCGAGCGACATTGTCTTGTTTCAGAGAATCCCATTTTCCCAATCCTTTCAGGACATCTGGACATTGTTGTCCCTCAATAACGGTGAAAATACAGTAACATGAAGTTAAACAATGGACTAAAAAGAAGCGCAATCTAAAAACGTCATCATTGAATTCCTCAGGAAAAAATAATGTGTTTGTTTTATTGAACCAAATGACAGGACATTCTTGAAATTGGTAACTGTGCCCAACTGCCCCATGGTAGTAATCATTGAAGCTTCACTGATCAGAATAATTCAATTTTAACATAAAAGTGTAAATGCTGCAATATCTCACTAATAGTTTGTGTTTTGTGATACTGATTTATTTTTTATCAATAGATGAAGCTTCCAGCACTGAAGATGACAGATTTGTACGCTGATTTGAAACACCATGATCGACTATTGATGGAACACAAACGAAATAAAGTTAATCAAGGTGAAGATGACGGTCTCAAAGAAGCAGAGCTCACTGATGCCCTCCATGGTGGGTTACATCTAACTAACTGTAAAGAGCTAATCTATCAAGGATTTTTATATCACTTATTTAGTCGTGCTTTGTATCATCTTGAAATATGGAATTATATTTTTGTTATGTTTTTTGTATTTATATTTCACCAATGTTACAAACTTAAACTGAAATTATTTTGCATGGATGGCAAAATCAAATTATGGTGCGTGCTATTTTAAATATGTTCAAAATTACTGTCTGTTTTGACTATGAAATATAACTATACTATTATTATGTCATAGTCATACAAATTCACAAAGATTAATAATCTTTGCAGTGCAAAACAATGTGATGAACTTTTTTTTTCTATTGTTGACCTTTACCAGAAGTTGAATACTTGAAAACCAAATGTGCCACATGATAATTGAACTAGGTAAATCATGTTTTTGACACAAAACATAGTTTGAATTGTTCTTCAAAACAGCAATTACAACTGTATCTAGTTATAAATTTTGCTTTCGGTGTGTGTCCTCGTCCCCGACTTGCATTTTATTCCTATCTATGTTAATTTTAGAGATCATGCTGAAATATGGTCTGGCTGGAAAAAAGAGAATAAAACCACAACAGAAGCGGGAAAAAATGTCTACAGATACCAGGTTTCTAGAGGTAATTGAAATAATTCTTTGACTGGTCTTTCTAGTAAGAGCAATACTCCAATATGAGGCCATGAATCTCAGCTGTTTGAGTATTTTCTTTGAAGATCAGTGGGTAAGCATGATTGAATAAAGTGATTCGATAATACATAATAAAGTCTGTACTCCCGAAGTATGTGAACCAAGATGGCGGACACTGGAACGTAGTATGTGTACCAGGTTAGAGTTAAGGCATAATTTGATTCCAATTTTCCTTATTTTAGTTCTATTACGAGTTCGGGGACTAGCCAAATGACTCCCGTAGTATTGGTACCTGAAGTTAGAGCCTAACTCTGACCTGGTACATATACTACGTTGCGGTGTTCGCCATCTTGATTCATATACTTCGGGAGCACCAAAAAGTCTTTTGAGAAATTGAAATGAAACTCAAAATTTTGGATGAAATATCCGGTCCTACAGGATGCAGAGAAAATTTGAAAAAAAATAAGACAAGCAAAAAAATAAGAGTAACAGCTTATTAGTGGCTCAAAGCATTTAAAACTGAATGGTCCATTGCATGCGGAGAAAAGCCATATTTACCCAACAAGAACAATAACCCCAGCAGCAAAAACAATTTTACAAAACATTACATAAGTCAACATTGTCTTGAACAAGAAAACAAAATAGCAGTAAAGCTATTCCAGTCAGTATGTTTCAATAATTTATTCTGGTAGTGGCACACTCAGGGTGACACTAGTTCTGAAGACATGGGAAAAATACGCCCTGTGTGCCAAATCCAGCTGATGCTGTCGAAAATTTCTGCTTTAAACTAATTCTACATGCACTACATTGTAAATCTGGTTTGCCAATCGCCACAACCAAATGAGAACTAAATTTTGATGTTTTAGCTAGAAAATAGCTCAAGGAATTTGTGGATTAGCGATTAATTTCAGTTTTGGCACGAGGCTTATTGTTGCCACTTTCACTTTTGAAACACTGTTCATAAACGGAACTTTTTATGTCATGCCAGTTTGGATGGGCAAAATTTTTGGCCTCTGGTCTAAAAACCTTGTCTTCACTAGTTCCTAAAATCTTAATATTCGTCAGGATCCCAAGTTGGATAAACTGTGGCAAACAGCAAACAAACATGGAAAGTTTACGGATGATGAACTAAAAAGTCTTCACATGGAGTTCATTCACCACAGAAAGAAAGTAGAAGAATATGAATTGTTAAAATCAGAAACTTCACAAACTGATGGTAAGCACGATTGACATCAAAGGAAATAAACCAGATATTAGGCACATTACTAATTCAATCCACCTAACCTTAGTCTTGTCAAAAAAGACAGAAAATTAATTTTATTTTGCTATGTTTAGGTTGCTATGCTAATCCAACCATGTCTTATTTTGCTATTCTCAGTAATTATAAACTATTGCTTTCGATGTGCATATTTTTCAATTTTTGTTTCTAACGAATTTCTCATTTAATTGATAACTCATTGGCTGGTGTTTTGAGTGTAGTTTAAATCTTGTTTGCGATGAACACTAGAAAAGGGGCATGTGGCAAGAATTTGTACAACTACGGAATCCTATACCAGTTTAATAAAATAGTTATAATTCAATGAAAATCAAAATATATTTCCGATAGATTTATTTCGCCAGACCATGTTGCTGATCGCAATTTACTTATGTTCGAGTTATTCAATTATTTTATTTTTCTCCTGTTTAAACACATTTATCAAAGCCAAGTTTAGAGTTTGATTTAAAAATAAATGGATAAATTATACCCCTGTACGGTTTATGATTTTGAATTAGTTTTATTAAGTGCTACCTTAATTAACATTTAGACATGTCTGACAATGCTGTCGAAAAGCAAGTCAAGATAGAGGAGAATAATTTGAAGCGGGAAAAAATGACTGAAATTTTAGGAGACATAAAAGAAGGATATGAGAGGTTACATTTGAAAACAAAGCAAGGCACATTGGATGGTACAATATGATATTTTTCAATAGTAAATTGCTAAATAAACATTTCAACATTTGTGGAATGGTAGGTCCAGGCAGTACCGGTAAATGTAAGTTTATGAGGTTTTGGTACCATTGTATGCTGCCTCTCGTAAATATTTGTTGTGATTGCCTTTGAAAAGGAGTTTAAACAGAAGGCAAAAAGTTATTGTGTATTGAACTGAATTCTTGATTACCATCTACTTGGAACCCGAATTGGCCATTGCTATAAGGATGCTCAAACTGACTGCAGGTCCTTTCTTCTTGTTTACTTCGAACTTCGGATCCGTATATATCCATTTTCCTGAGGATATTCGAACAAGATGTTATTACAGTAATAAATAAATAATATTAACTTAATCTCTTCAAGGATTCTGACTTCTTTGGACAAAACAAGTTGTTCTGATATTTTATTTTTATTACTCTTATGGCCACTTTGTTCTTTGAAAAAAAAAACAATAAATCAGATTATTTGAAAAACAATGGCTAGGCAAGATAACTCAATATTTAGAATCAAAATTAATGAAACCGCTCAACAATTTGCCAAACGGATTGCTCACGTCATATTACCGGATTATTTTATCGGTTGTTACTGATAGTTTCATATCTAATAACTAACTAACAGTTTATAGCAGGGCTACTCAACTGGACGACGAATCGAATACCCGAAAGGATTCGGACTGCGTCTAATTCTTTATTTTGAATCATTAGCCCCACTGTTGGAATTTCCTATTATAAAATCACTTTCATAGATTTAAATATATATGGAATAAAATATAACGCCATAGTAAACAATATTGATTAGCTAACAATCATTAGTCGTCCGAGGAAGTGCGTGTTTAAAGATGCCGAAATATAAATTCTGGAAGGACCGGACCCAAATACTTTTGAAGTTTTGTATGCGGATTATGGTAAAAATAGTTAGTAGCCCTGGTTTATAGTATGTAAACTGTTGATAAATTACGGTAGATATAAACTACAATTTTCTGTATTTCAATCTATTTGTTTCAAACAACATTAGAGAAATAGCAAATCGTTTTAGTAAGTAATGAAGTGTTAGCCTTTCATACAATTCTTCATTTTCAAAAATGTTTTTAACGAACTTCTGTAATAAAGTTAATGATTTTAATTGTAGGAGAATCTGTTCCTTTTACTGAACCAAGAGTTGCTAATCTTTGGGAAGAAGCAATGAATGGAAATTTTACTGAACAAGAACTTGATTCTATAAAAGAAGAACTTCATCATTTTCAAACACGAATTCAAAAACATTTGTTTTTTAGGTGAATTTGATTAACTGTAAACTTGAGTTGAAAATTTCAGAGATTTGTAATAGCAAACCTACATAGTATTTTGTCAGTTGTGGAAGTGATACTTTACACTATCCGCTATTGCTAAAGCAAATAGTTATTGCGAAATAGGACTATTTAGAAAATGAAATAATAATTTCATTTAGGTGAGAACTTTATGTTACAAATGATTGGATTTTTTATTCAAACTTTGAATTTGTCATAAAGATATCTGTATTCTTGACCCTGCTGTTGCATGTTCTCTTTGCCCCACCCTCTTGTAATTTGGTTAATCCAGTAGGAGTTATTGGACACAAAGTAGACCTATGGATCGTTTTGTTATTGCGTTTGTTGTTTATCTTCATGTTAGTATCTCTTTTTTTGTTCTTCTCATGGAAATTTCTTTTTAGCTACTGGACCAATTGCTTTGAAATTTTTATTGGGTGATTGGCTATTATTTGATGACATCATCAAAATTAAAAATTGTGTACCACTCTGTGTTCTACGTATATTTGAGCATCGCTCTCTGGTTTGTTTGAGGAAACTGAGCTATGCTTGAGGCCTCTGGAACAAACATCATTCTGATGTACAAAATTTGATCTGTGTATCATGTCTTCTTATTCACTGGATATTGGAATGTCCAGAGATTTTAGCTTAAGCGTATTTCTGATTATGAGCTGTTTAGTACATGTGCTCTCTGAATAGATGTTTGGAATTAGTGATCCCATGTAAAATTTAGCTTAAATTGTGATTTTACTGAAAAATATATAGGTTTTTATTTTCATCGGAATTAATTACAGCTGGAATCTAGAACACTGCACAAAGTGGCACTTCCGTCTGATCCCTACACACATGCGAATTTTGAAATCATAAATTCTTTTGTCTGAATTTCGAAATAACTTCAGAATTAGTCTGCCACAAGGTGCAGATATAGAAATCTTCAGCAAATATTTTTTGGGGGAAATATATTTCAGAATTGAAAATTAACCAAACTGAGGTTCATTATTTAAACAAAGCAATTTGAATATCATTTTTTTTTATTTAAACGTTCGTTATGTATTTTCATATTTAAGGGATCAATTGAAAAATTCAGTTCAAAAAGTTGAATATCATGGTGGAAAAGAAGCAGCACCTACAGAACATATTGAAGTGCATGATCATTTACAAAATAAAGTACAGGATCTGGCAGCAAAGGTAAGAACCATCAGTTTCAAAATTTTTGTCTGCTTTTTCATTAAGTATTAGCCAGGTACTATGATTTTTTGCTCATTACCTCCAATTTCCAAAAATTTTTGTAACATAGAATACATAAATACTTGAATTTCTATGCCAATTATAGGATTATAGTTTTAGCATTTTTTTTATTGCAAAATTAGCTTATCAAGATTCATGAAATTTTCTTGTAGCGGTATTGAAGTACCTGCAATATGACTTATCTATATATCAACATTTCGTTTTTAGGTTAAGAAAATGCACCATGATATATCAAAAAAGCTTTCTAGTGGAAGTGTATCACACAGAGAATTATGATGACTTCTGACATTATCGGCGAGGTGTGTATGTTGTAAAGAGCAAAAGTAAAGCTATCTTCCTGATGCTTTTCCCTACCAGTTCATTCACCCATGTCTTCTATTGCAAAAATATTTCTCTGAAATGACCATTTAATATGACAGTGGTTCCCTAACTTTATGTTCGCGTGATGCCAGGTTATCTGGGAAAAACTCATGGCGCACTTAAAACGAAAATAAAAATGTTGCTTTCTAATAAAACTCACTTTGTGATCGATAATGTGTACTTTGTCTTTTTAAAATTTGTAAACATAAGGATTGAAGGCTAAAGTTCAACTTGTTTTTCTCATTTCCTGCTGATTCCCTTCGAAATTCTCAAAATTTCACTCATGTTAGCTAAACTCGGTTCAGCAGATAAATAAACTGCAGCTCACGAAATTGCAGCAGTTACGAACTTGCACCATTTGGGAACTGCTGTAATATGAGACAATCTACTTCTATTAATTCCATATTTTTTCTATCTTAATACTTGTTTTTTCAGATAGCAAAACCTGCATTCGGTACAGAATACACAACTGTTGATATATATACCATTTGCAAAGCGTTTCCTATGTAACCTGACTCATGTATGTATGTAACACTCATCCAGATTTGTTATACACACTCAACTGCAATGAAAAAATGATTTGTTGTGATGTTAATCAAAAGTATCCTAAATTATGTTCCCACATGTCGTACAGAATTTACAGCGCAAATGTTGATATATATACCATGTGCACAAGTGTTATCTGTTTAGCATTATTGAGATTGCCTGACAACTCATTCAGCTTCACGTTATACACACTCAACTGCAATGAATAAATGATTTGTTGCGATGTAAATCAACTCATGTTTCACCATCCATTCTTCTCATTATTTATCACTTTACCTTGATTGTTATTTCATTATGATGTCACACAATTAAATTAGGGATTATTTTTGCAGCATGATAAATGTTATCATTTCTCATAACAATTTCGTCCCATTGCCTTTCTATTTCTTTTTTAATTTTTGCCACAAACTTTACAATTATCTACATGTAAATCCATGTCATGGCTGTTTTTTTTATTCTTCATCATTTACCTTATGACGCAGAATCTAATAATAATAATATGCCAATTATGTATGTAACTTGTTTTCGTGGTTTCGCTTGTTATTTGTCAGTTTCCCAAAATTTAGGTTCAAAATCAATTATACAACGGCCATTTTGTCTTAGGCAGAATTTTGGTGCAGTTGCTGTAGACGAAATTAGTCCTACAAATTCTCGACAGAATTTTAGTATAAATGACAGAAAAATATGGTTATAAAAAATTAAACTTTTGTAAGCACCAAACAGCTGAAAATGAGCATCAATATATTTGCCTCTATTTTGTCTGTGTTTTAGAAGGCAATTCTGATTGGGGAAGAAGGCGCAAACACGTAATTCTTCTTCTTCAACTGTTGTCAGTCAGTCAGTACGTGCAGTGGCCCTAGAAAGAGGATTTACCTAAAGTTTTTATTTGGTGAGAGATTCTAGTATTTCAGAGGTCGCCTTTTTGATGGGCGTGTTGTTTCCCCGAGCTCAATTCCATAAATACATGATAAAAATTGATAAAAAGTCAATTTCATAAATACATGATAAAAATTGAAGAGAATCATCATTCTCTTCACATCATTTTCCTTGTTTTTTTCACTTTTTTAAGAGACACAGCCTCGTCGTGTCTTCTCGTCTCGCCATCCATCCTCGTCTTCTTTTATCTCCCTCCTATATAATTAATTTATTTGTTATCTGCCCTCTTCTCCGCTCTGATTATCTGTTCCCTTCGCCCATTATTTCTGTTCCTCCTCCTGTGAACTTCCAACTCAACTGTTTGGCCTATTTTTTCTGATTAGAATCTGTGCCCTTCGCCTATTATTTCTCTCCTCCTGTGTTGTTTGTCTCCAACTCTGAATCTGCCTGCTATTTCCTATTCCTTCTCCTGTGTTGTTTCTCCACTCTGCCTCTTCTCCTGTGTGATCTTGGGCCTTTTGCCTATTTTCTTCTTCTTTGTTGTCTCCACACTCTGATTATCTCTCTCTGAATCTGCTTTGCCTTCCTTCACTTTGATTCTCTTTTTCTCCTGGCCTTTTTTCTTTCCCGTGCTCACTATCTTTCTCCATTGGGCGTGTTTCTTCCCCCGTGCTCTTGCTCTCTCTGAATCTGCTGATTCGCCTATTTCTCTCCTCCTGTGTTGGTTGTCTCCAACTCTGAATAATCTCTCTCTGATGCTGCCTTTTTCTATGCCTATTTCCTTCCCATTCCTTCTCCTGTGTTGTTTGTCTCTCCCCACTCTGATTGTCTGAATCTGCCTCTTCTCCTCCTCTGAATATCTTCTCTGCCTATTTTCTTTCCCGCGCCCACTCCTGATTCATTTTTCTATGCCCTATTTCCTTCCTATTCCTTTCTCCTGTGTTGTTTGTCTCTCCCCACTCTGATTGTCTCCTCCTCTGAATATCTTCTCTGCCTATTTTCTTTCCCGTGCCCACTCCTGATTCATTTTTCTATGCCCTATTTCCTTCCTATTCCTTTCTCCTGTGTTGTTTGTCTCTCCCCACTCTGATTGTCTGAATCTGCCTCTTCTCCTCCTCTGCCTATTTTCTTTCCCGCGCCCACTCCTGATTATCATCATCTCTCTCTGCCTTCTTTCTTCTCCCGTGTTGTGAATCTGCTTTGAGCCTATTCCTTCTTTTCCTGTGTCTCACTCACTCTGAGTATTACTCCGAATTGCCTTGGCCTATATATCCCTATTTCTTCTCCTGTGATTATATATCTCCACTCCAATTATCTCTCGAATTTGCCTTGGCCTCTCCGAATCTGCGCCTTGGCGTATTGCTTCTCCTGTGTTGTCTCCACTCCGATTATCTCTCTGGAATCTGCCCTTGGCCTATTTCTTCTCCCGTGTTGTCTCCACACTCTGATTAATCTCTCTGAATCTGCGCCTTCACTCCGATTATCTCTCTGAATCTGCCTTGGCCTTATTTCTTCTCATGTGTTGTCCACACTCTGATTATCTCTCTGAATCTGCGCCCTTGGCGTATTGCTGATCCTGTGTTGTCTACACTCCGATTATCCTATGTGTCTACACTCCGATTATCTCTCTGAATCTGCCCTTGGCCTATATGAGTCTCCCGCGTTGTCTCCACACTCTGATTATCTCTCTGAATCTGCGCCTTGGCGTATTGCTTATCCTGTGTTGTCTCCACTCCGATTAATCTCTCTGGAATTTGCCCTTGGGCCTATTTCTTCTCCCGTGTTGTCTCCACACTCTGATTATCTCTCTGAATCTGCCCTTGGCCTATTTCTTCTCCCGTGTTGTCTACACACTCTGATTATCTCTCTGAATCTGCGCCCTTGGCGTATTGCTGATCCTGTGTTGTCTACACTCCGATTATCCTGTGTGTCTACACTCCGATTATCTCTCTGAATCTGCCTTGGCCTATTTCTTCTCCCGCGTTGTCTCCACACTCTGATTATCTCTCTGAATCTGCGCCTTGGCGTATTGCTTATCCTGTGTTGTCTCCACTCCGATTAATCTCTCTGAATCTGCCCTTGGCCTATTTCTTCTCCCGTGTTGTCTCCACACTCTGATTATCTCTCTGAATCTGCGCCTTGGCGTATTGCTTATCCTGTGTGTTGTCTCCACTCCGATCTGGAATCTGCCTTTGTCTATTTCTTCTCTTGCGTTGTCTGATTAATCTCTCTGAATCTGCCTTGGCGTATTGCTTCTCCTGTGTTGTCTCCACTCCGATTAATCTCTCTGGAATCTGTCTGCCCTTGGGCCTATTTCTTCTCCCGTGTTGTCTCCACACTCTGATTATCTCTCTGAATCTGCGCCTTGGCGTATTGCTTCTCCTGTGTTGTCTCCACACTCTGATTAATCTCTCTGAATCTGCCTTGGTCTATTTCTTCCTCTTGTGTTGTCTGATTAATCTCTCTGAATCTGCCTTGGCGTATTGCTTCTCCTGTGTTGTCTCCACTCCGATTACCTCTCTGAATCTGCCCTTGGCCTATTTCTTCTCCCGTGTTGTCTCCACACTCTGATTAATCTCTCTGAATCTGCGCCTTCACTCCGATTATCTCTCTGAATCTGCCTTGGCCTTATTTCTTCTCATGTGTTGTCCACACTCTGATTATCTCTCTGAATCTGCGCCCTTGGCGTATTGCTGATCCTGTGTTGTCTACACTCCGATTATCCTGTGTGTCTACACTCCGATTATCTCTCTGAATCTGCCCTTGGCCTATATGAGTCTCCCGCGTTGTCTCCACACTCTGATTATCTCTCTGAATCTGCCCTTGGCCTATATGAGGTGTTGTCTCCACTCCGATTATCTCTCTGGCATCTGCCCTTGGCATATTTCTTCTCCCGTGTTGTCTCCACACACTCTGAATCTGCGCCTTGGCGTATTTGCTTCTCCTGTGCTCTCCACACTCTGATTATCTCTCTGAATCTGCCTTGGTCTATTTCTTCTCTTGTGTTGTCTCCACACTCTGATTAATCTCTCTGAATCTGCCTTAGCGTATTGCTTCTCCTGTGTTGTCTCCACTCCGATTATCTCTCTGAATCTGCCCTTGGCCTATTTCTTCTCCCGTGTTGTCTCCACACTCTGATTATCTCTCTGAATTTGTTGTCTCCACACTCTGATTATCTCTCTGAATCTGCCCTTGGCCTATTTCTTCTCCCGTGTTGTCTCCACACTCTTGATTATCTATCTCTCTGAATCTGCCTTGGCGTATTGCTTCTCCTGTGTTGTCTCCACTCCGATTATCTTCTTCTGTGTTGTGTCTCCAACTCCGATTTTTCCTCTCTGGAATCTGCCCTTGGGCCTATTTCTTCTCCCGTGTTGTCTCCACACTCCGATTATCTCGCTGAATCTGCGCCTTGGCGTATTGCTTCTCCCGTGTTGTCTCCACACTCTGATTAATCTCTCTGAATCTGCCTTGGTCTATTTCTTCTCTTGTGTTGTCTGATTAATCTCTCTGAATCTGCCTTGGCGTATTGCTTCTCCTGTGTTGTCTCCCCTCCGATTATCTCTCTGAATCTGCCCTTGGCCTATTTCTTCTCCCGTGTTGTCTCCACACTCTGATTATCTCTCTGAATCTGCCCTTGGGCCTATGAGTCTCCGGTGTTGTCTCCACCACGATCTCTGGCATCTGCCCTCTTCTTATTCTTTTCTCTCTGAATCTGCGCCTTGGCGTATTGCTTCTCTTGAATCTGAATCTGCTCTCCACACTCTGATTATCTCTCTGAATCTGCTCTCCACACTCTGATTATCTCTCTGAATCTGTCTTGGTCTATTTCTTCTCTTGTGTTGTCTCAAACTCCGATTATCTCTCTGAATCTGCCCTTGGCCTATTTCTTCTCCCGTGTTGCTTTTTGCTTTCTCCTGTGTTGTCTCCACTCCGATTATGGCCTTTGATTATCTGTCTGGAATCTGCCCTTGGCATAATTTGTTGCCGCGTTGTCTCCACACACTCTGATTATCTCTCTGAATCTGCGCCTTGGCTTATTTGCTTCTCCTGTGTTGTTGTCTCCACTCCCAATATCTCTCTGAATCTGCCCTTGGCCTATTTTTTTCCCCCGTTTTGTCTCCACACTCTGATTATCTCTCTGAATCTGCTCTCCACACTCTGGCGTATTGTTTCTCCACTCCTATTATCTCTCTGAATCTGCCCTTGGCCTATTTTTCTTCCCCCGTGTTGTCTCCACACTCTGATTATCTCTCTGAATCTGCCTTGGCGTTTATTGCTTTCCTGTGTTGTCTCCACTCTTATCTTCTCTAGAATCTGCACCTTGGCTTTATTTCTTCTTCCTGAATCTGCCCTAGGCCTATTTCTTCTCCCGTGTGGTCTCCACACCCTGATTATCTCTCTCTGAATCTGCCTTGGCGTATCTCTAGAATCTGTCCCTTGGCTTTATTTCTTCTCCCGTGTTGTCTCCACACTCTGATTATCTCTCTGAATCTGCCCTAGGCCCCGTGTGGTCTCCACACTCTGATTTTTATCTCTCTGAATCTGCTGCGCCTTGGCGTTGTTGTTGTTGGCGTGCTGTCTCTCCACTCCGTATCTCTCTGGCAGTATTTTGGCTTATTTCTTTTCCTGTGTTGTCTCCACACTCCGATTATCTTATTTTGGATTATTTCTT